CAGTCGTACAACTTGCTCACAAAGGTGATCAGGTAAGGCTTCGCTTTCCAAGCGGACATCTCAAATGGGATGAGGTAGGTCTGATCACACTTACTGATGCTTCGTTCTCCAATAAACAGAACTACCGTTCCCAACAGGGACGTTGTCACTTTCTTGGACACCTCACAGAGATCAAGGGCGGTAGCTGCAACACGTACAGAGTAATGCCTCTGTCTTACAGTTCTACCACGATCCGACGTGTGTGTCGAAGCACGCTCCAGGCTGAGACGTGTTCACTGCAGCATGGTTTCGAAGCAGGGGACAAGCTCAGAGGTGTCTTGGCAAACCTCAAAGGCCAGATCAAATCCATGCGGACATGGGAGACTGATGCAAGGAGCTGCGTACCGCACTTAGCCCTCACAGATTGCCGCTCATTGTCAGACCACTTGGCTTCCGAGATCCTGGCGAAGGTGAGCGACAAAAGGCTTGGCATCGAATTACAAAGTATCCACGAATCCTACTGGAATGATGACCGAAAAACATAGGACATCTATCCGAATGGAGGAGACAAGCTGTCATGGACAGCAACACACACCATGATCAGCGACTGCCTTACAAAGAGTATGAAACCAGATTTCATAATTCGAGTGTTGGCAGAGTGCATGTATAAAGTACAGAAGCAGTAACAACACCGCTGCGTTCTTTCTCCGCAATGCCCTGTACAGACATAGCTGTATATATTTCTATGTGACACCTGAAGAACAGGTTGAGTGTCAATTTGTGGTATGTGATACTCCGTGTAAAGGCCAGGTTGTCACATGTAGTGTCTGCTGCCATTTCGGCTATCAGGGCCCTTGACCTACATCGCTATCGCCACTAGCAAAAAGAGCCGCGTTGGACTGCACGATACCGTTGCCAATTCACACTTTCAACTAACTTCCAAGCCGTCCCTTGCAGTGAACCGATCGGATTCAAAACCGCTTCTACTGAACGTTTCTGCAGTTTCATCTTCAAATGGTATATGCTGATCCGTTTACGCTATTCTTGGTATGAGCTAGGGTTTCCATAAAACACTGGTATGTACGAGTCCTTGGTGAAGTTGGTGTCCAAGGTCGAAGAGCTCGTGCTCGACATGAAGAGCAAGTGACACCTACAATCACCAGGGTCGTTGTCAGGAGCTAGAAGCACAAATTGATGCCAAAGAACCCAGCAGGAAAATTGGAGTTGGAGTGGAAGTGGAAGTAGATGGTGAAAATGGAGTAGCGTAGTGGAGCCCAGGAGCGCAACCGCTCCGCTGCCAGTATCAACTGGGCAGCAGTTGCAGGATCAAGTTGCACGAAGTCCTTGTTCAAGAAGTAGTGCAGGCAAAGCACGCGAAGTCTTTTGCGGCGTAGCGTTCTGGTTGGCTTCGAAGCACCCACCTCTTCTGTGGGAAACATATTGAAAGGAAAATGGCCACGGCAGTGGCATATATGAAACGTCCGAGTTCCATGCAAAGGAAACCTTAGTGTGTGGCACACAATCAACAGTTTCCCTTTGCAGTGGCTGGTACCTCACACGTTTGGCCAACCAGGAAACCATTCCAGAACCGTTCCTAAAGATAAATATCTCCAGGGGTAGGTAGGCAGGTACAACCCAATGCCAATGAATTTCAGGGATAATCAAGTCAACTAAATACTGTTTCCGTCATTTTTTGTTCAGCTACAAGTAGACGAATGCCTGTGCAACAAATGAACAAATGAAAGTTACCTAAGCATACAAATGGTCTAAAATGGTTTCCCCTTGCAGTAGCTGGTATTTCACACGTTTGGCCGAGCGGGAAACCATTCCAGAACCCTTCCCAAAGATAAATACCTACAAGGGTAGGTGGGCAGGTACAACCCAATGCCAATGAATTTCAGTGATAATCAAGTCAGCTAAAAACTATTTTTGCAACCTTTTGTTCTTGTACAAGTGAACCAGTGCCTGTGCAACAAATGAACAAATGAAAGTTATCTAAACTATCTAAGCTACCTAGGCATACAACAGTTCTAAAATGGTTTCCCCTTGCAGTAGATGTTCTTCACACGTTTGGCGAACCAGGAAACCATTCCAGAACCTTTCCCAAAAATAAATACCGCCAAGGGTAGGTAGGCAGGTACAACCCAATGCCAATGAATTTCAGGGATAATCAAGTCAACTAAAACGGTTTCTGCCATCTTTTGCTCTTCTACAATTAGAGGACGAATGCCTGTGCAACAATTGAACATATCCAAGCTGTCTAAGCTACCTAAGCATACAACAGTTCTAAAATGGTTTCCACCTCCAGGGGTAGGGAGGCAGGTACAACCCAATGCCAATGAATTTCAGGGATAATCAAGTCAACTAAATACTGTTTCTGTCATTTTTTTGTTCAGCTACAAGTAGACGAATGCCTGTGCAACAAATGAACAAATGAAAGTTACCTAAGCATACAAATGGTCTAAAATGGTTTCCCCTTGCAGTAGCTGGTATTTCACACGTTTATCCAAGCAGGAAACCATTCCAGAACCCTTCCCAAAGATAAATACCTACAGGGGTTGGTAGGCAGGTACAACCCAATACCAATGAATTTCAGTGATAATCAAGTCAGCTAAAAACTATTTTTGCAATCTTTTGTTCTTGTACACGTGGACCAGTGCCTGTGCAACAAATGCTCATATGTAAATTATGTAAGTTATCTAAGCATACAATGGTCCAAAATGGTTTCCCCTTGCAGTAGCTGGTACCTCCCACGTTTGGCCAAGCAGGAAAACATTCTAGAACCTTTCCCAAAGATAAATCCTCAAGGTGCATTGTCTAAGGTGACATCTCTGTGCCATAGCTGCCCAGCCTCCCCAAATGTCCCAAAAGAACACGTGTCCAGTCAGTGGTGTCCGGATGAAGGTAGGCAAACTTAGCATTTTTCTAAGTGATAGCTGCGACAGCTGTAGTTCGACACACAGCTGCTTGCTGATTCCGCATGTGATGATTTGTTCCTTGTTTTTCTCTTTTGACACAAACAGTATTGTTTTGAAAAAACTGCATGTAGGAGTTTGCTGTTTTATTGAACATTTATCTGGTTGGACATGTCGGCAAAAAATTAAACAAACAATCGCACGGGAAATGGAACGAGTCCAAAACTAAATTCGTGTGAAAAAGGGTGGCTTAGGGTTCGGGCCCGGGTGTACCTTAATGGTTTGGCAAGAAATCGCACAGAGCGCGGGCAAAAACCTGGCTCCATAGGTAGTAAATGATACGACCGTCTGTGGCCGCCACCCACTGAAAAATGTTGCGGAGTCTCATGGAGTGCTGTTTGCAGTGTTTTTTTTTTTGATTCGCCTCATGTTATTCATTTTTTTGGGGTGCAGATTTCCTCATCGTTTTTTTCCTGAAATGCGATGGTTTCAAAAAATATTTTTAAAATGTTTTTACATGCCTTTTAAAGTTGGAAGATACCATTTTCGAACCCATTTTGGAACCCAAAAACGGCATAGCTGCCAAAAAATTGGGTTGTAAGACCACCCTTGTAGATTCCATTTTAGAAACAATTTTTGGAATTTAAAATGGTCCCTACGGGGGTTTGAAACAACTTGAGAGGATGAAAAATTAGTATCAAAATTTTGAAGCGTGAGCAGGCGCACAGATGTCCTGGGCGCAGGTTGTAAGAGCAAGAGAAACCCAATGTCAACATGTCGATATTCAGAATCAAATCATTTGCAACAAGTTTCACGAGCCGTTCTTTGCAAAACGTTGGAACTTATGTGATGTTCATGTTTCACGGTCAACGCAGATGGAAAAAAACAGTGTGACATGGTTTAAATGAATTAAATTTCAATCCCATTCCAATTATTTTGTTTTGCGTTCAGTTGAAGTGCAGTTGGATCACCTTTATTTCTTGGGATCGACCCTGGCATGGACCCCACGCATAATCGCAAAGTTGAATGAACATTTCGGGCAATTTGTTTCAATTGAGGATTGGGCAAACATACGTATTCAGCAATCAATATTGAAACTCAGATGCTTGCATCGCAAATCTGCGCTTGCACTGCTGGTATTGCTGGTTAATTGTAGTTTTTCATTCTATACGTAGTGTTTCCCGTCAATGACGCTGCTGCATTCGCAGCGCCAACGCGCAAGTGATACTGTTTTCCGCAGCGATTTTGAAGCTCTGGCCGTGGAAAGGTAAAAACTAGGTGATTTAAAAACATGGAAAATACACATGTAATCACATTCCCATTCAACTGTTTCCAAGTAGGCCACTATGGCCCAGAATGCTATGTAGCATTGATGCCCGCCAAACCACCTCAAGTTAAGTCAAAACATTTGACAGTCATGAGCCATCAATGTCATACCATGTCACACCCATGGCCCAAAAAGACAAACGAAATAAACTACAAAGTGTTGGATACCGAACTGTTTGAAAGCGTTCCCATCTTCAGAGGCAGGGTGGGCTGCGTGTAAGTTGCCTACGGTGCCTGGTTTGGTAATGGTCCTGACTCCTGACATGCAGGTTTCTATTATAATGGTTCCATTCTATAATGGATTTTGCTGAGTCTGGCTGTTTGTTTTGTTGTTTGGTGTGATAGGGCAGGATGGTCAGGGTACCTTTTAATTTTTAAATATTTTTAAGGGAATAATGTCTTTTGAAACTAACAAGATTTGTGATTTGGTAGTAACAAACAATTTGTTTGCCAAGGGCTTAGGTGCTGTTGCTTACAGCGATGTGTGGCCAATTGATTTTTACCAGCGCCGGAGGTAGTAAAATTTGCGGACGTTACTAATCGTTTCTCTTTTCACACTGTTGGGCAATATCATTTCAGCCATCCGTTTAGTCCATTGCGGGAGCTTTCCGTAATGAATGCCTTTTCCAGTGGTGGTGTGTTGTCACTATTGCCCACGCTATCCATTAACCACCTTGACCAACACGACCCCCCAGTTCATCACTGTTTGATATAAAATCCCTAAATGCCATTGCAGAAACCAAGTGGTGTTCGGGCACCTGCATGCCTCTCAGCTGCTGCAGGTCGTTATTTTTCTTCATGGTGAGATCAGCCGTAAAACCCGATGGAACCCATGCGGTGCCCAGCGTCGCCATGCTGGGATCGGTTTGACTATGTTGCGGTGTGTCGGCAAGCGGCGCACATAAACAGTATAGGAATGACATTATTAATGATAATGTATTTGGAAGTGACATTAAGGATTACGGTTAATTGTTTCCAATACTGACATGGGGAAATCCTTTTTGAATCCGCGCCTGGAGAACTGCAGGGTGAACTACCACATGTTTGGCGTTTGTTTTGGGGTTGCAATTTCAAGCATTCAAATGTAAAGACCTTTGGGTTTGCACAGTGCTTTGACTGGGGGTTTCCAGAATCCATCATTTTTTCCCTTGGTTTGAGCAGCAATATTATGTGATTGGTAGCAACCGTTAAAACTTCAAATTCCGTCAACGATCTCATTGAGTAGCGTTCCATTTGATCTGCTCCATTCAATGTATGAAGGAACATCCGTACCAGCATGTCAGAAGTTTAAGATTAACATGACCCAAATGTGGGGTAAACATACCATACAGGGAGCTGGAAACACATAGGGTTGCTTCCAGAACATGATGCGTTTTCAGGTGCCGCGGACCCGGCCCCACCTGAACCAAATCATGGCGACTTGGCATCTAGGGCGCGGGTGGGGCATGGCCGACTTTTGAGCGACAGAAACATGTCATCATATCATTGGAATTTAGAGTCCACGTGGAAGAACATGTATGTCTGTATGCACGTACCTTCACGTTTGGATAGACAATAGATATATGATATATAGATAGTTAAAAAGATAGATGGGTAGGTAGATAGGTGGGTACGTTGATAATTAAATGGGTGGATAGATTAGATAGACCAAACAAGACACACTCGGAATATGTCGAAAACATATATAGTTGGAATGTGGTTTTGAGGGGCAGTGGGAACGTTTTTAAATTATATTACTTTATTTCCATCAAAGGCAAAATTGGTCCACGTAATCACCATCCAACAACAGTGTACTTCAAGATCACTGAACAACATGTAGTTTAAAATGTGTTTCCAACATGGTATATAATAATTACAAATCTTCACATATAATATATCATCTCTATCTATATATGCTTTACACATATATATATATATCCGTATTTACACTAATATAGAATATATAATATATATAATTCATATCATATGCATATAATAATTTATATGTATATAGATAAATAAATAAATATATACATATATGTAGAATTATTTCTTTAACATTTTCTATATATTATATAAAATATAAATACGCAGTAGCACAGAGACGCGCCTAAATAGAACGGGCCAGGTCAGGAAATTTTGAGGTTGTTCGGTCACAAAGACATATGCATAGAATATTTCCAGAGGCTTTTCATCAAAACAAAAGGGAAGACAAACGTAAAACACGAACACGCGACAGCCCTGGACACTTCTTTTGCGGCCCAATAGATTCTTTATGTCAAATTTCAAAATTCAAAATTGTCAGGCTCCCCAAACCCCAAATTGACCGATTTCCTCCTACGGTTTGTGTTAAAAAAACGAAGACGTCCCCCTCCATTACTGATGTTTTCCACAATGTGTTTGCCATGTAAAATGCCAACGTTTCGTTGCAGGATGTTACGGGACTGGTTTTTACCTCGCGTGACGATATACATAGAATATGGAATTGTTGGAACCTTTGGCAGACTCAGAAATAGAAATAAAACATAGCACGATATGGATTTGTATTCGTGCATTTTTGAAGGGGTAAAATTGTCCGGAAAAAATGTACAACCTGTGTGCTGTTGCCAGCTATTTGCCAAGCATACCTGCACTTGAGAGTGAGTAGTACTTAGGCAGCTCATATCCATAACATATTTCCAGAGGTATTTCATCAAAGGAAAAGGCAAAACACACTTAAAACATGAAAGCACGACTGTCCTGGACAGTTCTTGTGTAGCTCAAGAGGTTTCTCATTTCAAATTTCAAAAGGAACAGGTTACCCAGATCGATTTTTTACTTTTTATTCTATTGAAAAAACACCTTTTCCACAAAGGGGTTTCTCGGCAATGCATTTTCCATGTGAAATGCCAACATTTCGTCACAGGACCGCCTCATATCTTGTGCGAACAGATGCGTAGAGTATGGGATTGTATTTTTGGAATCCCCAGGGCAGTAGCTCCTGTGGAGTCTATGTGTTGCTTTTGTTTTTTTGTTGTTGGGAGAAATATTCCAGCTACTTCTACCTGGTTTGAAGAACTATTTTATCTATTTTTTTGATATTCCATTTATGTTTTCATGTTTTTCTATTTTGTTTTTTTTCATTTTTCTCCGGGTCGTTTTGACAGGGACCAAAAAATTGATCAATATTCCAACTGTTTTTTTATTAAAAAATCAGGATTGAACATGTCCCATATTCTATCTACCCCAGGATGACTATATAGTACATCTAGGTTTACAGATGTGCATGCAGAAAATGTCACACTGTGTGCAAATGTGGGCAATGTTCAGGTTTTGTAGTGCGCATGTTGCCAAGATTTCCCACCAACCAAATCCAATCGACAGTGCCCGTCGGTATGAGGTGGGTTTGGTGCTTCTTTCCATGGGAATTTTGATCGTGTACATGTCCGGGGCCTCACTTGTTGGCAGCTTGGGGTTGGAGCACCTGGAAGATAGAGATGAATGTACATGGGATGGGTCATAATTGTAGACTGGATTCTCTGATCTGTGCCGGTAGGCGTGGTTACGTTTTAATCGTTTTACGTTTTTCCCCCTGATTTGCTTCATCATTTGGGGTTTGCTCGTAGTCTGGGATTTGCTCGTAGTTTGGGATTTGCGTGATACCCTCATCATTCCTCATCCAGAAGAATCGGACGGCACATGAACTCATTTGCGGCCAGCCCACCGACCAACGAGGGCCAGGACAACGGAACATCACGCGGTCTTACGCCAACAGCTACCAACGAAACTTCCAAAAAATGGATGAAAAACGCCAAGTTCATCCTCCGTTCCATTGGAGGCGACTCGAACTCTTGCAGATAGTTTTATTGGAAATCATGAAAACAAACGAGCATACATCTAAGTTTTCCCGTAAGTTAAGAGCAGATTCTTTTGATGCTCACTTCCCACTCAGGTATCGAATCATTGATGACCTGCACAACGAGCAGAAGGCCGGGCTGCACCCATTTACCAAGGCATCGGATTCGGGTGGCCTTGATTTGAACAAATGTGGAAATCCAACTTGAACAATCAGGATGGTGCCCCCCAGTTGTAAGTTGGTTTATAAACCCCATTAACTATAGTTATATCTGCCATAAACCATAGTTATGGGAGTTATAAACCAACTTAGCTAACTATGGGGCACCACCTTGATATTTTCCAAAGAAAAACAATGGAAAACATATGGACAATCTATGACATGGAAAATCATCCGCATATTGGGTTTCAAAAGGGTGGGAAATCATGGAAAATCTACATGAACGTTTCGATTTTGACAGATCCCCAGGATACATGCGGGTTGTTTTGTTTTTGATCACCCCAGTTTTAGATGATCCTAGTATACCTATTCATTTCTCAAAGAGGGGGATCATGGGACATCAAACGAGGATGTTTTCAGGGCGAGATTGCCAGATGGTAGTTGCAACATGGGAAACTGTGCAGAGGCAACTCTAGGTCCGGGCTCCCTGAAACTGTAGAGCGGCGGAAAACATCTGGAACGCCCTGGAAAGCCGCTCTGCAAATGCTGTACCCCATGGCCCCGGCATCATTTTTGTGAAATCGATTGTTTCTGTTTCGACCTGAAAGGTTCCAAAGGTGGTTTTTAGCTGCAAAAAAGAAGGGTAGAACTGACAGAACAGGTATTCATTCACGACTGGGGTGCTGGCATGTGCTGGCTTACTTGGAACATTATTGGAATCGCTGCATGGCAAGGCGCCCCCAAACTCAAAGAAACAAACATTGGTTTTCAGGCAAACCGGCCTCTGTGTGCATAGTTTAGCCGCAATTTTTTCGCATGTTTGTTTTACCACAATTCAGCAGGATATTTCGAAAAAATGCCTGGCTTTGATGGGGAAAAAAACAGTTTTTTGTTGGTTTACCATGGTTACCCTCTGTTAAATTAGCTTGGCAGGATCTACGGGGGCAGATCGTGGCCATGGCAAACAGAGAATGGCCACGTGGCAGCGAACGGTTTGGCTGGACATTAAGGTGGGAAAAGTGGGTCGCTAACCAACAAAGATGTGGGGTGTAACCAACCAAAACTGTTATTTTTTTTGATTTATGAAATAAACAGAGAACATTGTAACGCTAGTTGTACGTGGATTTATGGTGACTTATCGGCAAAACTTGGATGTTTTTGATGGTGGCTTTAGCCAGCATTGAGTGGGATTTAACCATGTCTTTGTGGGTTCATAGTAGCAGGAACAAATGTGAACTTTGAAGGAAGATGGTGTACGTAAGCAAACCAATTCATGTCAAACAAGACTCATCACTACCCAACTTCTCCTTGAAGTTCATGTTCTTGGTGAAGAACCTTTTTGGAGGTTTCCTAAAAGTGAAGGGAACCCCTAAATCATCTATTTTATTACTATTTTCCATTCTAAAGCATCCAGCTATTGGGGTACCCCCATTTCAGGAAACCACCATTTTCGCCCCAAGGGCAGATGGAAATCCCAAACTGCCCAGGCCTCATCTCCTGTCGCATCCCGGAAGGTGCGCCTCCATGGTGTTCGATGGAACAATTTTTGGCAGGTACGTCCAGCAATAAATCTGGGTAAATATGGTTAATAATTTAAATCAATCTAATATAATATGTATACATATATATATAATTATATAATTATATCATCTTCAAAATTTTGTGGCCTCATTGCCACGTATCCTCAATCGAAAAGCGTGTTTCTCAATTTTATGTCAAGAATGTGACGAATCGTAAGATGCAGCAGTAATGCCCCCCAACCAATGGCTGAGTTGTGTAATTTTTCACACCTCCCCTTTCACTCTTCATATCCCAGTATTGGATGATGGGTTTAACCAACATTTTTTACGGTTAAAAACCAGTGTTTCCAGTTGCCATTTGTTTCTAAAACCATACTTGGAAGATCACCCCAATCTTCGTAATTTAATTCGTCGTTTTTCGTAAACCCTGAACCCCTTTTTTAAGTCCAGATAAGTCCGCTATCCATCGCTATCCCTAGGGTTATCCTATGGTTATCCCATAGCTGGGTTACAACGCCCCAACAAACCACCAACCAATTCAACTGCATGGGACCCGGTGCCCATCGGTGCCCGCGCACAGTGACAAGTTCCTGGAGTCCAAGGACGAAGCCGTGGCAAGAAGTGGGCAGCCACTCGGGCAGACGGCGTCGGTTTTGGGCTTGGGGATGGGGATGGCAGAGATCTTGGGGATGCTTTACAATCATGACTAATGTTAGTAGAAGAGTAAAGCAAATGAAAATGGCCATTTATAGTGGATTTTCCCATGAAAAATGGTGGATCTTTCCATATCTATGTTAGTTTACCAGAGGGTAAACCATAGTAACCATAGTAAATCCCGTCGCATTTTTTTACTGATGTTGGTAAGGCAATAAGCAACCACTATTTCTGATGGTTCAGGTTTATACCATCCCTAAACATCCTGGTTTATGTTCTTCACCGTCCCACAGAATGATAAGAAAATGGGAGTTTTGTCATAGCGAAATGGTGATTTTTATGTTATAAAATGTATCATAGATTTTTATGGTTTTTATTGGGGTTGTGAACCCTTACAGCAGTTTGGTTCCCAAAACGCAGCAGATGGCACAGACAATTTTCCTGCGACACTCTGTTAGTGCAAACAACGCAAAAGGAAAGAATATTTTCTTGGTGTTTCAGCCCTTCCGTCAACACGAAAACCACGGATAAAAAATGAAGATGCAGCACGGAATGGACAGAAACATAACCCATCCTTGTTTTAATTATGCAAAGTATCTTTTACCCTCCCCACCCCCACTTCCCATCCCTTATCTGTGACATAGCATGCAAGCGTGTAAGGCGATGCAAGAAACATTGACTTTGTGTGAGGTGAGTAATGTACATACATGAACGTTACGCCCCACCTCATCCCCAACCCCGTACCTGTGACGTCCTGTGCAAGCGTGTAAGGCAGCACAAGAGACGTGGCCGTTATGTGAAGTGAGTAATGTATGAACATGTACATGAACGTTGCTGCCCCACCCCACCCCACCCCCAACCCTAGCCCACTTTTGTGAGACGGTAAAAAATCCGTTTGCATAAACATGGTAATTTTGGGGATGGTTTCCCATTGCTTTACAAACATTAATGATGTTGATCAAATAACTTAAGAATGAATATCCAAAGTCATGGTATGTGATATAATGATATTGATGCTTGGGGTTGATGTCATCCCTGGCAACCTTCATAATCTTCATAGGTTTGATAAACTGGTTGATGGTACTTTCTATTGGTGCTGGACACGCTAGTCGGATATCTGTTATATCAATTTTTCGTAGCGCCAAGTTGGCCCGACGAAATCAGCCCCCATTCTCTGGGTCAAGCTGCCGGAGGAGGCCTTTGTACGCTTTTTTCCTTGATGTCAGGGGTCTATCCACTTGCTTCTAGGATTTCAGGGACGGAGTGGCCAAACTATACAACAATTAGTTATTATATTAATCATTTCCTTCCAATACAAAATATTGCCATGCAAATCCCAAGATGACTAGATCCGATACTAAGCCAGTGGTGGTCTGGGGGGTATTCAAGATTAGGAAAAGGAATTCATATGTATACATCTTCAGTGAGAGGCCTTTACTTGTTTCTGCCCACTCTTTCAGCAGCTGGCCCGGCTAAGCTGCGCTGCCCATGCTGTCTTGGTTTCGGGCAATATGTTCTTGTTTGTGGCGTGGCCTCGGTCCATGCATAGCTTTGGTTCAGCACATTGGCCAGGTTTTTTTCCCGCCTCTAGGGTGGTTTTTTCCTGGCCGCGTCAGCCCTCGGGTTGTTGCCTATGCTTTCTTTCGTCCTTCTGCGACGCAGCCTCCCTTTCCTTCTGAGAAGGAATTGCGGTAGAAGTTTGTTACTGGTTCTCTTCAAGGAAAGGTCAAAAAAACATTTCACGTTTTACCCAGGCAGTGGCCTCCAAACATTCGGGCAGAACCGATACATGAAAAAGCATTGCCATGTATCCTCTAGGAGAATCATCTAAAGCCAAATGAACCACTAAAATACCTTGGTTCATTGGTTATTAAAAAGAATTGTGTCGCCTGGCATTTCTCGTGTTGGTCACAACCCATACTGGTAGTAGGGACAGGGACATCTATCAACCAACTAGTATAATGAGATGGGACAGGTATTTTTGATGGCTCAAATCGGATTTTACTTGGAGGTGTTATATTATTCAACAGTAAGGTTCATTAAATGTGTGCACTCCACATTTTCACTTTACAAAGCTGAAAGCTGATGGCTTCCTCGAATGGATCAAGCACCCCATTGGCGAAACCAGTACTGTTGAAACCTGGAGAAAAATTTATCGCGTTGGTCACAGTAAGGTCAACCCACCAATTAACCATTGGTCAGTCGGTTGGAGGATAGCTGTATATATTATATATATAATTATATATATATATAATGTACAAATCCCATGAATGCCCATGAATGTCCAGCAAACCACCAGATTGAAGGACGCTGATCCCAAATACTGTCTCTGTCGTCCCTGTCTACTGGTTGATTGGTAGAGATTCCCGGTTCATGGCTGCTAAGAAAACCACCAAAAAAAAGGTAGGTCCATATGAAGTGGTATATGTACGATTGACAATGGATAGTAGCCTGATGATACCCCACCAAGTCCTTGTTTGTTACTGGAACGCCGTTAACATACACACACATTATTCTTACATATAGTATATTATGTTATATTATATTATAAAATATTATATTATATTAATATTATATTATATATTGTTATATTCTCTTTATCTTATTGTTTTAGATGTAGATAACAAATTATGACGAAATTGAATGAATGTACATATGAATATTTGTTGTGTATGGTATATATGGTTTATGCATAAACACACACACGCATATGCATATATATATATGATATATATATATATATATGCACAGATACATATAGAAATGAATTCCACATTTGCAGCCTTTCTCGAGGTCCAATCGCTTCGCCAAAACCATGGGCTCGTATGAGGCCGGGCCAGAAAGCCAGGCAGCCAGGCCCCACGTCTCATGCAGACATGGTGGAACAGATCCCCGAGAGAATCCAGTGGAAACCAAAGAAACAACATCCCCAAAATTGATGAAATCCAACGAAATCCCAATATCTTTTGAAGATGTGACCAGTGAAAATCATCCAAAATGCGTGACATGCAAAAACAGATGTTTTTCAACTGAAACATGTTTTTGGGCTGTTGAAATCTGGCTAAAACTTTACAGATTGTTGATGGGATGGCAGGCTAGCCGCGCAGTGTTGAAAACCCCTGTTGGTTGATGATTATATGTAGGCGCTTATACCAATAGCACAATATATGGATGATTTCCCATTGCCAAGTTTTTTTTTGGATGTTACTCTCTTGTTATTTAACCGTTTGCTGTGGGATTTCTCCGTTTTTAATCAGTAAACCCTTGAAACATATAAACATTTCCATAGCAACCCATAAAATTACCGGAGGGTATATCGCACTTTTCTACGATGATTTGCCTTTGACTGATGACTTTGCAATCAGTAAGGACCTAAGGACCTAATGCCTGAGACTTGTTCATCTCGCAACGGGAATCGCGGGCATAGGGTGAGCACACAGATGTTTTTCACCAGTCAGTGACGGTTCCATCTTCAGCAAGTGCGCTGCGCTGAGTAAGGAGACTTCTTTACCAATTGGGGGGAGGTACTTATTACAGTATTTTGTATTTAGTCATTGGGTTTACCTTATCATGACTCCAATCGTTAGCCTAATTAGAAAGTTTAGAAACCAATTTGATTACCTATTTGGTTGTGAATTATCCAATAACTTCCTGAAGAATGGTTGGTTATGGTTTACCACATTCATTCCAACCTCACTATTATGATGCTTTACCACACAATTGTTTACATTTTGGCCTCATTCATCCCAGATGATGAGATTTGGTGATGGTTTACCGGTTTACCACATCATTACAGTATTTTGATTTGTTTATTCCCATTGCCCCCTGGTATCAAACATGGCTTGCTGGAAAAGTCCCGGTTTTGCTCGATGATTTTCCTAGCTGCCTCCATTTCGTTTGGGGACTTTTGAGCCAGCCACGTTTGATTCTCAGAGGGTAACCATTTGAACATGGTAACCATGCTTAACGATGCTTAACCATCATATCCTATGGCAAATACCAATAATCTACCATGGAAAATATCCCATTAACATCCCATTCCCATTAAAATTTTACCAGTAAATGTACACCATTAAATCCCATTAAATCCCATTAAATCCCGTTAATGTCCATATTCCCAAGAACATCCCATTCTCATTTAATATCCCATTAAATGACTTAACCATACTTAACCATCATATCCTATTAAATTCCAAAAACTACCATTAAATATCCCACTACCATCCCATTCCCATTAGATCCCATTAATGTCCCAATGATCCGTATTCTATACGGATTATCTCCCGTTGATCTCCGCCAGGAGAGCAGACGACCCGTTGAGCACGTCGTGGAGGAAGTGCACCCAGGGCACCCTGGCATCGAAGAACTTTGGTAGCCCAGTGCCATAAGTTCCACGCCTGCCACGCAAAGTGAAGGTCGATGTCACCAAGTGCCACGCCTGCCACGCCTGCCACGCAAAGTGACGGTCAATGTCGCTCGCCAAGTGCCACGCCTGCTACGCAAACAGGGGCAGCGTCCACGGCGCCAACTGGGACCCAAGCGGCTATCAGAGCCAGCCCAGTCCGATAAGTGTTACGCCTGCCACGCAGAATGCACGTCCATGTCGCCAAGTGCCGCGCCTGCCACGCAAAGTGAAGGTCGATGTCACCAAGTGCCACGCCTGCCACGCAAAGTGACGGTCAATGTCGCTCGCCAAGTGCCACGCCTGCCACGCAAACAGGGGCAGCGTCCACGGCGCCAACTGGGACCCAAGCGGCTATCAGAGCCAGCCCAGTCCGATAAGTGTTACGCCTGCCACGCAGAATGCACGTCCATGTCGCCAAGTGCCGCGCCTGCCACGCAAAGTGAAGGTCGATGTCACCAAGTGCCACGCCTGCCACGCAAAGTGACGGTCAATGTCGCTCGCCACAAGTGCCACGCCTGCCACGCAAACAGGGGCGGCGTCCACGGCGCCAACTGGGACCCAAGCGCGCCATCAGAGCCAGCCCAGTCCGATAAGTGTTACGCCTGCCACGCAGGATGCACGTCCATGTCGCCAAGTGCCACGCCTGCCACGCAAAGTGAAGGTCGATGTCACCAAGTGCCACGCCTGCCACGCAAAGTGACGGTCAATGTCGCTCGCCAAGTGCCACGCCTGCCACGCAAACAGGGGCGGCGTCCACGGCGCCAACTGGGACCCAAGCGCGCCATCAGAGCCAGCCCAGTCCGATAAGTGTTACGCCTGCCATGCAGAATGCACGTCCATGTCGCCAAGTGCCACGCCTGCCACGCAAAGTGAAGGTCGATGTCACCAAGTGCCACGCCTGCCACGCAAAGTGACGGTCAATGTCGCTCGCCAAGTGCCACGCCTGCCACGCAAACAGGGGCGGCGTCCACGGCGCCAACTGGGACCCAAGCGCGCCATCAGAGCCAGCCCAGTCCGATAAGTGTTACGCCTGCCACGCAGAATGCACGTCCATATCGCCAAGTGCCACGCCTGCCACGCAAAGTGAAGGTCGATGTCACCAAGTGCCACGCCTGCCACGCAAAGTGACGGTCAATGTCGCTCGCCAAGTGCCACGCCTGCCACGCAAACAGGGGCGGCGTCCACGGCGCCAACTGGGACCCAAGCGCGCCATCAGAGCCAGCCGAGTCCGATAAGTGTTACGCCTGCCACGCAGAATGCACGTCCATGTCGCCAAGTGCCACGCCTGCCACGCAAAGTGATGGTCGATATCGCCAAGTGCCACCCCTGCCACGGTGTGCAAGTTGTGTGTGAACAAGTTGTGTGAGCAAGTTGTGTGTGAGTAAGTTGTGGTTGTGTGAGCAAGTTGTGTGTGGTCAAGTTGTGTGTGTGAGTAAGTTGTATGTGGTCAAGTTGTGTGTGGTCAAGTTGTGTGTGAGCATGTGTGAGCAAGTTGTGTGTGGACAAGTGTGTGAGCAAGTTGTGTGTGAGTAAGTTGTGTGGTGACAAGTTGTGTGTGTGTGTGCAAGTTGTGTGTGTGTGAGTAAGCGGGGGGCGGCGGAGAGGCGGGGCCAGGCGGGGCCAGGCGGGGCCGGGCAGAAGTGCACAACCAAAAACAAGAACCCCACACAAAGATGTGGGGAAAAAGGATTTGAGTAACAAACATTGGGAATTGAAGTAAATAATTTAGGCAACAAACATGGGCATGGGCGGACTCGTGATTTTGAATATTTTTGAGGCCACCAACCAGATGGAGGTGTTGTTGCAGTGAGGGAATCTAAAGAATGCAGTCTGGAAGATCCAGTAAGAATTTAAGAGAGAGAGATCGGCAAAATAGATAGTAGATTTAGTAGATCGTTCCTTGCCATGTTTCATTGCCTGAAGTTCAGGCCTAAAGGGCCCATGGTTGGGGCTGGTGAGCAACTGACCCGGCATGGGCAACGAAGGTCCAGGTCTGGGGGCCCCCTTGCCGATGCAATCCGGTCCTGAGCCTTGTGATTGGCCAAGACTAGGAAACACATGGTGTTACACAGAAATACGCCCACAATATATACATATACATATATATATACACATTTATTTATACATAGTATATAAATGCGCATAAATAAATAACGACATAATAAATGACTACATAAATAAATGCATGAATGAATGAAAGAAAGAAAGGATGAATGAATGAATGAACGAATGAATCAATGAATGAATAAATAAACAAACAAACAACACGTGTATATAGAAGTATATGGGTGTCTGAAAATTGTTATTATGATGGTAGTGGTGATGATGATTCGTATAATGATTCACATGGAAAAAACTGATGAAAATTGCATAGCAATGGAATTTTCAAAGGGAAAACAATGATGATAAGGACATTCCCATGACAATTCTAGAGTTTTCCCAGGTACATGGCAGCCTTTGAAGTTCCAAGGGGCGATCCTGCTGGGGAACTCGGCTTTTTGCCTGTTGAGGACCTGATGTTCAAATCTATGATAAGTACATATAGCAACCCCAAGAAGATAGAAAAGACAACTACTAATCAATGGGAATTCCAGGATCCTAAAATGGACGTACTGTACCATATAAGACCATATTTTGGGGGTATATCCCCTTACATGGCCCTTACATAGGCCTTATACATGCTAGGTACCTCCAATTTAGGTTCCTGAAATGGCCATTGAACTAACATAGTGAAAAAGGTTCTTTGTATTTTTTTGGGCGTTCCTCTTTTTCGTTTGAACATGGAGATCTAGTTGGTGGCTTTGATTGTTTTTCGATCATGGTAGTTCTTCAATCGAACATGGGAATTTTTAGTGGATGTCTATATCAATGTCTTAGCACCGAGCTAAGCTATTCCTATACACCGATAGGCTTGCATAGGTGTGTATCTCGAGAAATCTGTTGTCCACTCTTGTCATTAGCCAAGTTTTGCCAATGCCAAGAGTTTTTCTTTGATATTTTTTGGCCGTCATTGGCCACTACCCTTTACTTAGTAACTTGCAATGCGAGTTCAGGATGCTTGATCTGAATGACTTTGGCATGGGAATGTCACCTATTCGCAGCAGCTGAATCAGCTGTGCTGCGGCCTGAAAAAGTTGAATGGATATCGAACGACATCTGTGGGAGTATCTTTCGTTGCATGTTGTGTGAAATGTGTGAATACATGTGAATTATGTGGGTCCCCCTCAACCTGCTGAACCTCCGTGATGGCGATAGAGAGAGAGGGGGAGAGAGAGAGAGAGAGAGAGAGAGAGAGAGAGAGAGAGAAGAGAGAAGAGAGAGAGAGAAGAGAGAAGAGAGAGAGAGATGCATGCATGCATGCATGATTGTATGCATAGATGTATTAATAGAAAGCCATTCCATGGTTTCATGAAGCCATTTGAGCTTCCAGCATGACATTCCAGCTCAGAAAACAGACTCGCTACCTCTCCATCCACGGATCCGCTACAAACCAAGAGGATTGACGGCTAGCGGCTAGAGTTTATCACCCAAAGGACCTCGATATGCCACCAGCCTGAGCTTGGTATCCCAGAAGCTTCTGGATAGTCATCATTTCTCCCCAAAAACGTCGGCCACAACTTGGACTCCAATGATGGACAGCTATGGAAGATGTGGATTTCCAAGCAGAATGTGCTATTTTAGACTCAGCCAAATAGTTGGACATCCACCCGCCCCAGAGTTTTACATTAAGCATCCACGGTTTTTGCGCCAAACCACCATCTCCAAATGTGCCATGGTCAACACTTGGAATCCACCCATCAATCAATCCATCAACTAATCAATCGTATATACATATATATTGGTAATTCATGATAATTCATATATACCAATCTTAGTGCAGTGTTATACCGCAACGAATAATAAGGGCTCGTACATGTATGATCATTTATATACATATATATATACACATATAATATTTATACATATAAAATGGATCCAGCATAGGGAATCCCTAATCCCTCAATGATGGTGGTATGACCAATGATAAGAATCCCAATGATCCATTCCCCCGCAATATTCCTTGTTATATAAATTAAAACTTCGGTAAATCACCCGATGTTGGCAGCTGATCACCGGCTTTGGCCATAGGAAAGCAAGCGACGTCTTGCTGGCTTCTACACCATTGGCACGGCAGCAGGCTGAGAACCCGTTCCGAAATAGGTTTTCTTTCCACCAGAAATGGCTGGACAAGTTTAACACGGCGCCTAACGACCAAAAATAGGGCATAGATATGTTTACATTCACTTGGCGATGGATGGTAACCTAATTATAGAATGCCATCTTTGCAGGTTGAACATCCATTAGCCAGCGATGTGGCAAGGCTACTGAGTTTTGACCCCCATCCCCATAGGGTGGGGAAAATACCGATTCCTCGATTAGCCCTTTGGAAATCAAACGTGGCTAGCTTCGACATCCCCTGTGGAGGTTTCTAGCTGGGAAAATCATCTATAAAGGGGTGATTACCGGAGGCTGCGGTTGGGGATGGTTACCATTGATAGGGATGATCATCTGATCATATACCAACTATATACATGATACGTGATGATGCATGCAAATCTAAGTGAGCTAGGGGTTCTAAGATGAGTTTACCCATAGTCAGTGGATGGGTTTAGCCGGAAACCATGGTTTTACCCATGAAATGTACGGGTTTCCCCATGAATTTGTCCACCCCATCCAGTGACAGTCACCTGGAGGCGTCGGCTGCTACGAGGTGGCGGATGCCGCCAGCGCGCGGCCCCGGAACTTTGAGGGATGCAGAATGGATTATATGGGGATTCTACAATGTGGGGCCCCCTAGATAGCTAAGTTATGCTAAGCTGGTTTTTAATTCCAATAACTATGTTTTATGATATTTATAACTTATAACTTATAACTATAGTTAATGGGGTTTATAAACCATCTTAGAACTGGGGGGCCCCACATCGTATGGGAGAATGTGGATTAATATTTGTAATGGGGATATGGTGCATATGATGATCATCCATTTATGAATCCATGGGGGATCCCCAGTCGTGACCATAGGTTTCAATACTAAACTGGTCTAAAGAGCTTAATGTCTTGGATGATTTGGGGATAGCCCCATTTCAGGAAACCCAAATTTTAGTAGTAAAATGGGTGATGAAGCATGAACATTTTGTGGGGAAGCCTCTGTTCAGATTCAGACATCTCCATATTTTAGACACTGATGGGTTCAATATATATTTTTTTTCATGCATTTTGTCAGGATATCAACATATATCAACCATTAGTCATTTCACGTGTTTAAATGTGTTTAAATGTGCTTAAATGTGTTTAGGAAGTTTTACATGTGGTCAAGGGGATTTAACTGGAGCCTCAACCAGGGAATTCCTGGTTTGTCCAGGAAAGGGGGGGTGCCCCTATGAACCCACTGGTTATATAAGCATTTTGTTTTACCCACCAAAATCTCAATTTTTGGGGTCACGTGCTGTTTTCAGACATGTTAATGTAGTAAATGATGCAGATGATGTCTGTTCGCATGGGCGTCTGATGAGTTATAAATCAGAAGTCATGGTTATGAATGGTGGGTGTTGCCGCATCAGCCGGGATATTTTCATGTCCGAGTCAATGGATGTAATGCTTGCCAACGTCCATGGCGAAGGCACTTGTTCCTTCGGCCAAAACTCATCCTTCCCCACTAATATTAAATACCATCCAAATGAAACCCCGGCGGGATGTATTGCATTTGCTCATTTGGGGGTCCCAAAAGGTCATTTGCTCATATTGAATTGGGGATGTATCCCTATTTTGCGGATCGTTAAACCATGCTAAGCCACCATCTTTGATGGTTAGCCACCCGTTTTACAGCCATTACAAACCATTTACAGCCATTTACATGCATTTTTGATGGTCAAACTGGAATTAGACATGGTTAACCATCCATTTTTACATCCATTAAGTGGGATTCAACATGGTTTTTCCATGTTTTTACGCCAAAAAAACGCCACAAAACTCACGGCAAACTCCCCCATCCTCCTTGTCGACGGCTTCAGCCACCACCTACGACGTTTCGAGCGCCACGGCCTGCAGCAGCAACTCTTGTGCGGCAGCCCTGGGGGGTTTTGGAGCAAAACACGGAAAGCTCAGCAATCCTACAAAAAAATTGCTGTTTTTTAGTGGGAAAATCATCTATAAATGGAGGTTTTCTTGCGAAACTCATCTATAAATGGAGGTTTTCATGGGAAACTCATGTATAAATGGAGGTTTGAATATATGTAACTATGACTCATGGTGTTTATATATATATACACCAAGTTATGGTAAAATCCTAATGATAGAAATGGAGCTTTGAATGGGACAAATCACCGAACTAAATCTCGGAGATTTCACAAGGAGAAACATTGGGGATGTAACGTGGGAAGATATATTTCAATGGATCTTCTATTTAATGGATATTAATGGCATATTAAAAGATATCCATTATATAAAAAATAAAAGATATGTTTTGTTAGCTAATATTTTAATATTTTAATTGATCTTTTATTTTGGCATATTAAAAATATGAACCGACCAAATAGAATAGGGTAGTTTTCATCAACTCGTGATATTCATGGTCAATAACTCATGGAGATTTAAGGATTTAGCACTTATGAACCATCATTGATGGGATGTCATGCATATTTTATGTTCATTGGGGATTATCATCCATAGAGGAGAAATACTTAGCAACAATAGGGTGAACTGGTGGAGTCATATTCGGAAACCCAATAATCCAAGTATTACCATGTGAGATGCAAATGGGGTTAAGTCTTTGCCGATTAATTTTCCGCATTCCGACTAGGATTTTGGCATGTTTTGCGAACACATAGTAACTACAGCCGGGGATTTACCAGCAACAGGTTGAATTTCATGCCAGAATATATCAGAATATATAGAATATAGGAACATGGATGAATATGGTATATGAAGCAAAATTATCTGGCAAACCTGCGTAAACCGACTGATCAGTTAGGACAGCTTTTGATATCTTTATCGTTTGCCATTCTAAGCTTCTTAGCTGGGAATATGTCGTACCATGTCATACCCAGCTAGTAGAAAATTGCCCTGATGTGAAAGTAGATTGGCAATGACACTGGGTCGTAGAATCTTCCCATATCTTTACCCTCTGGTAACGACCAAGGTAGCTATGGAACAGCGCCATGCTACTTGTTTAATGAAGGGTGTGAATCACGGGACCTTTGGATTTAGTCGCCATGCCCTTCACCATGATGATCCATGATGATCCATTATGCCTGGTTGATATTTAAGTGTTTATCATTCAAACCATGTTCTTTTCTACATTTTGGTTGGTTAAATCAGCTAAAATCCATGAGACCTTCAAATTTTCCCAGACAAACATCCGCCTTTTCTATGGCATGCCGGGACGCTGGGTGAACGTCGCAGGCCCTGATTGCTTCATCACGCCGGGGACGGTTTCGCAAGACATGACGATCACCATCAATGTGCGGAGTTGGAATCGTTCAGTTGGGGTTTCAATAGACGAAACATGGGACTGATAAGAGATATCATGGGGCTATCATGATTAATGACTTGTATTTCTTTAAATTATTATTCGTATGTTTTTTTACAATGCAATTCCAGGGATCACCAAAAAATCATGATTCCGGCCTGGGAATGTAGGGATGCAATTGGATCATGGGAAGATGATGGAAGAATCTCGTGATTTAATGCGGGTTGAAATGGCGGGGTTGCTTTGAGACAGAGGGGTTGGTGAATGTAGTGAAACTATATCCCCAACTCTTGGGGATATGATCTCCAATAGATACTTTTTCAGGTTAAAAGAAATCATAAATAGGATCAAACGGGGACGTTTACCAACCCAGATAGACTCTAGACATAGCCTCCACACACCCAAAAAATGTGGGTAGTGTAGGAAAGCCTTACGACTTAGAAATAGGCCTGCAAGGTTACTGGTTACTGGTGGGTGAAGGCTGAGACCAAATCATCCTCTGGTGATCAAACATGGCAGGCGGGAAAATATATGTGAAAACATCAAAATAGATAGATATAGATATAGATATATATATATATAGGTGATTTTCCAGCAAGCCACGTGTGATGACACCGGAGAGCACTAGCCACAGATCATTTATGCCTCGAGCCCGTGCCTTTTTCTGTCTGTCCCAAAAAAAAGTGCCACTTTTGTGCCATGATTGTCACCTTTGTTTTTGTTGCACAATAACTTGTGGGCGTACCCCATTTTAAATCACACCCATATCTATTGTTGGCATATCTAGTTTCAAAAGTCTTGTTTTGGGGACGGTCGAAAACTTGGGTTTGCAGAACCCCATTGTACTACCATTATTCTTGTTTTTTTTGGAAGTGAATCCCGAATTTATGAAATCTTAGCATTCCACCTGGGAGATATCCTCCTGGGAGACCTTGGTTTAGTATTGGATCTACTAGTCTTGGGTCCCAAACACATTGGCCGCACGCAGTTGTGTAATGTTTTGTGTATATATGTATATCTATTATAAAATAAGTGTGAGTGTAAATAAATATATCCATCTATATATTATAATATATGTGCATACTATGAAACATATGTATATAAACAAATACATATATATATATAATATAAATACATATCCCAATGTCATGAGACTTAAACCATCTCAAGCCCCCTTAAAGCCTGTAGGCATCGGCATTCCCGACCCCCAGCCATCTGCCAGTCCTGCAGCTCGGCGCAGTGGATCAGATCCACCACCAGGACAGGCGTTGGAGCCTCAGGACGTCGTGGTACCCGGTTTGGGTGGGTCGGTGTCGGATGTTTTTGGGCATTTTTTGGGTGGGTTTATTGATGGTTTCTGTGGATTTATTGATGGTGAATGTGTGGATTTATTTATTGGGAGGTTCTTGGTGGTAATTGGGGATTGTTGGTTTTTTTTTGATCATTTTATGGGATTTTCTGGTTTTATTGGGGTTTGAGCCATCAAAAACGCGGATTTTAATCAGTAAGAGATGGCAAGTGCCCTACGGTTTACACTTGCATTCGGGGTTGGATTGCCAGAGGGTCCAAAAAAAAGGTGGAGATTACCATCTTGGACATTGCAAATTGGAAATCCTCTATAAATGAAGGTTTCAATAATGGGAGCATCATCTACTTGGAATTTTCCCTTGCCATTTTTGATTTAGAGTTTCTGAATTTTTTCTAGGTGCGTTTTCCCAGCCCAACATCAACACCATGAAGTGATACCTCAGCCCTCAAGCCACCGCCTGACGACTCAGATTTGGGAGTACAAGTTCATCAACACCCATGCCACCTACACCATGAGCATCACCGACAACAGCGGTATCGGTATCACCTACAAGGCCCGTGGATAGAAACTAATCCAAAATAGTCTTTTGGAATCAATGGGATTATCTACGTTCACCAGCTAAGAACTTAATTTGTGCAGGGTGTCTAAGATTGGCACTGTAATGTGGGTAAAACAATGCCATATGTGAGGAATATAGATGAATCATGTACGAATATTAATGCACTACTATGAACTAATCCTCGATCAACCATCATTTTTCAGTTACATCCACTAATAATGTTGGGTAAAACCATGATTTTTATTGCGTTTATTGATCCGTTTTTTTTTTTCTCTCTGATCCGCTTGATGAGTTGAGCATGAACTTGGCCTTGATGCCGCATGGTCCTTTGATGGGTCCTTGAACCCCTGAGAATTTGATGTGAAAAGCCCATTCGCGCGGTTTAACTGGCGCTTCCAAAACCAGTGAAATTGAAGCAGATTTGATCGATGGTTGGATGGTCCCTAGAAACCAGGGAATCTGAGCGAAATTGGGGGAAGTCTGGCTGAATTATAGCAACCTCCTATATCAGCTAGACAAGTCGTGGCCCAGCCACTGTAGACTTGGATTCGGCCCTATGCTATCTTTACGGCTATTGAATACGGCGTTTATTTTTTTGGCTGACGCCACGTCAGAAATGATTCAAGAGGAATCATCCGTGGTGCAGCCAGGTTTGCTGTTGCCCCACGATATCATCCCATCTCCTACACTTGGACATTTAAGGGATAACTCAGGTTTGGAAATCATGTGTTGTCTAGGACTTTTTTTTTTGCGCTGGAGGCGGGGAGGCAAACACCGAAAACAACATGTACAACATTTACCAACCAAATGTGTGGACAATGATGACAATAATGTATACTGCTACTCAGATACAATGATGATTAATTAATCAATTAGTTAGTTATATAAAGCTGCTAATGAGATCATTGTCACCTTGCACCATCCCCCAGAGATACCGGCCCTGGCGTTGAAGACACCTTTCCTCAAAGGATCCCCGAATTGTTCGCAACGAAGATCTTGGAACATCTTGTTTCGCATCGTCCCAGGTCTCGATTTTCCCAGGTAAATTATAACGACCTCACTGCGACCTCACTATAATCGTAGTTAAAAAGGGGAATCATCTCCAAATGGCCTTAATTCAGGTTAAAGACATATTATAATTTACTCAGATATATCATAATTATATATTATATATAGTATTATCGACATGTACTCAATACCCTCCGGTAATTTTTGCCAGTTTGCTATTGAAGCCACTGCCTTTATAGAAATATGTGATTGACCGACATTTTCCATAGCGAAAACGTTTACCAGAGGGTACTACCTACAAAGCCCTGTAGTCACCTCCAATCTCTCTCCTTGTGGGTTGGGAAAGCCAGGTAAACATAAAGCGAACTGGAACATCAGCATTTTCATAAGTAAATCACCATGGTAGTTGGGAAAATCACTACACCTCAGAGGTAAATCATCGAACTAAATTGGCCATGGCTTTCACAACGAGAGAACTCCAACATTTGGATCTATTCCTTTCGCGAGATCAAATGTAAGGGGCATTTATTAGTATATTTGCTATATGGCTATTATATCTTCCTATTTCAGAATGGCTAAATCATGTTAAACTTCAGCTTTTGGATGGTTGAATCCATCGTTTACAGCCATTTAGATCCACTTTTGATGGGATATATTGGGATATGTAAATGATATATATATACACATGTGAATCCACCATAGATCCCACATATATTACGATTTTTCACGGGGTTCAAATCTGTTTTGGCAAGAAATTAATTGGGCAGGTGCCGCCGCAAAGCCACGTCACCGCCTGGTGCGCTGCCAGTTCCGGCACAGCTGACAGGCGGGGCAGTACCCCTATAAATCAACCATTATTGGGGAATAATAACTATAATCATTATCCACATCCCATAGGATCCATGTATGGTATATATGCTAACATTGGGGGTATATTGATGGTAAATGTTACCATATATAGCATACATGGATCCTATGGGTATTGAAGCCATGTTTCTGGGGTATGTCCAATTGGGATATGATATACGAAGATATTTGATTATTGAAGATGATCACTGGATTGGTTGAAGGAAGGTTTTTGCCACCAATCCAGTGAAGATGACGTCGAATCTCCTGGCCTAGGGCCCGACCTGTATCATCTGCAACCAATCCAGTGAAGATAACGCGGTTCTGTAGGATTAGGGACATCATCCCCTCGATTTTTTTGGGGGTTAACACATGTTAATGTTATTAACACTTCAGGTTTTGCCGGGCACTGCCCATTGGTGGATGATGGCTTCACCTCCAGGTCATGGGCATCTATTTTTAAGTCGATTATCCCTCTTTGGGTACCCCCATCATTGGGCATTTATTTCATGATTTATAGTGATTCATCCATGATAAATGGGAGATCATATGATTATTCTAAGTCATAAAGTGATAAACCATGGTTGAAAACAATCCGGGCGTGACATCACGGGTTTCTCGGTTTCTCGGCCTCTTTTTTTGAACGAAGCGCTCGCCAGGCTACGTTTTCCCAGCACCACTGTGCCGACGCTTTCGGTGAGCCCATGGGGACGGGGATGGGATGGATATGGGTGGTTGCTGCATGGCATACATCGAGGATGTGGGACACGTACCCTCTGGTTATTTGTTACATAGCCATGACATGGCCCATTTATAGATGGTTTACCTGGGTTTACCTATTAAAAATTGTGATTTTCCATGGCTATGTTAAATAACCAGATGGTAGTCATTTTTTGAACACCTCACTAGGGTGCGACTTGGAACTGCAGAATTCCCATGTTCAATGAAAGCATCTATCTGGGCAAATTATAACGACCTCACTGCGACCTCACTGGAATCATGGTTAGTAAGGGAAATTATCCCCAAATGGCCGCAAGATTCAGGTTAGTGAAATATTATGATTTTCCCAGATCTATAGGAGTTTTAGATGTTTTTCATTGCCAGATGACTGACCATAGGCACCAGATGAGCGGTTCATAGCCGCAGCTTACATGTCCCTGGTAGACCGAGTGGATATCCGGGGGACAACACTTTGGCAGTCTATATGATGTCTATATCTAACTTTAGCAATGTTTTTAAAAAGCCCCTGGATTTAAGAAACTTCTAAACAGGATTTGAGACGATGAAGATCCATAATCCCTGTTACAATGCCTAATCAAAGATTATTGATCTTCCAAATGTGTGCATTAAAACCACGATTTTTGAATCATATAGTGATCATTAATAATTTCATGTCATTCAGATTTTTGACTTCCAAATGTGGAACATGAGCCTGACGTCAGGTGGACAGTGGTTTCACTCTCTCTGCTGGAGCCTTTGATGCGAGCGCCAGCTCAGGCTCAGTTGGGACAAGTTGGGACAAGTTGCTCCATTTTTTGACACCAAAAGATAGCAGATAACATTAGATAACCATAGACAACCATAGATGACTATCTATATATATAACATCTATATAGATACAAATTATTTTGTAACATCTATAGCACTGTAGTTGCAACTAGTATGCCTCTATAGACAACTATAGATAGATAGCATTAGGTAACATTAGATAACGATGACTATAAAACTATAGATACCTATAGTAATCTCTATATAGTCATCCTGCTAAAGTAGTGGCAAGCAACTTTTCTATCTCTTTGGATGTTGCCAAAACACTGCTTTTGAACATTCTTTTCAGGTCACATTCCTATTTATCTGGGAATTAGCATCCAGCAACCTAACTACACTAATTAGATTTAGGAAATCCGCCATTTGTATAACATATCTTCTAGTTATACTGATCATTTTATTGGGAAACCATTGGTTTTCCATTTCCAACTCAGTTTGCCTCAGGGCACCCGATTTCGGCATGTTGCCTCAAGCCTAACGACCAAACCCTGCGATCCCTCAGCCTGGAATCATGGTGAATTTCTGGGGAATCATCCCAAAATTGCCGCAAGTTTCAGCTTAGTGAATTATACTATAAAAAACCATGTCTATGGAATACTAGGTGTCTATGGATACCATCATTAGATATAATAATCATCCAAATTATCATAATATAGAATACTCGGGATCCATAGACCTATTATCCCAGACATGTCTACCATCAAAAAACCCATCGGATTCACCGGACGCAATCAGCTGAGCTATTTTTTCAACGGCTTCACCGTACAGAAATCGATTCAGAAAGCCGGCCTGTGGGCCACCAGAGGGGCGCCCCAGGCAAGTGGCTGGATCAACCTTGGTTTTGGGGGAGGTTAATGGTGAAAAAATGTGGCTATTTTAAATGTGGATGTATCACTTCTGGCCACAGAAAAACATGGTATTTTTTGCCTGGGCATCAAGCACATGCGAATGTTACTGCATTGTACTGCCATTTTTGATACTTAGACTATGTCTCTAGACTTCCCAGATTTGTCTTTTCAGGGTAGATTCGTAGGAACCCCCCAAAAAATCTACAGAAAATGATTCTTGTTCAACCAACCCAGTGATATACCCTCTGGTAAACTAACAATTCGCTATGGAAACTCACCATCTTTAAGTTCGCGAACTAAATGGCCGTTTTGAATAGCAAACTGTCAAATTACCAGAGGGTACAGGATGGTGCCCCCCAGTTATAAGTTGGTTTATAAACGCCATTAACATCCATTAATTAACTAGAGTCATACCTACCATAAACCATAGAATTCAGCCACTTATAAGGCAACTTAGCTATGTTGGGGACCCCATCCTGTATGATATTGTAGCACCCCAGCCGCAGGAGCCTTTGACACCTCCTCTGGTACGTTCGGGGCACCAAGCTGGGTGGTAAGGTGGTCACTTACCCTCCAGGAAACACACATTTCCATGGAAAATGGTCCATGTATAGATGATTCAGCTATAAAAACGGCGATTTTCAATAGTTATCTTACTTATGTTAGTTTACGAGAGGGTAAGTGATAAATTCAACTTGGTATTTCAGGTTCATTAATAAAATAGAACTTAGATAAAAGCAACACAAACACAGATGTAAATCTTACTTCGGCCTCTTATTGAAGTTGCCACACTACAATAGTTGCTCCTCAACCTATCATCACAGTGTTTTTTTTTAATCAGGGCCACCTTTGTGGGGGCAACGAACTGCGTTTTCGCAGTTTGGATCCAGATTTTGTTCGTGTGGCGGTCAGTTTAGCTCCAGAGAATGTTTGGAAATGGTAGGAATTGTCTTAATTAGTCTTAATTCATTCACCGTATTTTTTTTTTGCCACCTGAATCCGCCTAATTATGTTTCCGTAATCTCAACATTTGTGTGTTGCAAGGGGGCTCGACCCTACTTGGGTGCTTGGTAAACCGGAAATAGTAAGTCCCCACTTTGCCGGTGTTATTGCGCTCCAAGGAAAATAAAGGTAATGTCTACTATCCAGATCTAACCATTCCTTTGCTTATAAAACAGCTAGATCATCGATAGTCATAGATTAGATTGGACTAGAAATGCTCAGACAGAGACACACACACACATGTAGATAGATAGCTAATTGATAGGTACCTAAATAACTAGATAGATAGGAAATCTGTAGATAGGGACATAGAGAATTACAGCTATTGAGATAGATATTAGAGAAATCGAGGCTCTATATGATGTTTTCTGGCTGTTTTACTCCTAATCAGTGAAAGAAAAGACTGGTGACGGCCGGTGGTAGTCCGATTGGAGTGTTCTTATATGGACCCCTTTGGAGCAATTCCAAGACATAGATAGATAGGTAGATAGGATAGGATAGGATAGGATAGGATAGATGAGATGAGATGAGATGAGATGAGATTAGCAATGGCGTAGCAGTTAGACTAGATTAGATAGATCGATTCGATTGCTTAGATTAGATCAAACTATGGATAGGTATTATATATATATACTATATATATATGGCATCAATGATATACAAAGCAACCATGTCATCATGTCAATTCATCATAGTTCGTCAAAATTGTCAAGTTGCCCTCTGGTAAATTAACATAGACCCTGGCATTCATCGGGGTTGGAAGACTAGTTTCCATTAAAAATTGGTGATTTTCAGGGTCGAACTGTTTATTTACCAGAGGGTAATAATAGGCGAGTTAAAAAAACAAACAAACATATTCTCAGCGTTAAAACACCCATGGAATTTCTCTATGAATTCCATCCAAGCTGGTGAGTTTTTTTTGGTTGATACCTGGCCAAGCTGATCCCGACTGGTTGGCACACCCAGCTGAATAGTCACGATCGCCCAAATTGGGCTTTATCAAATTGGCTACCCTCTGGTAATAATTTGTTACATAGCTATTGAAAATGGCCATTTATAGTGGATTTACCCATTAATAGCATGGTGATTTTCCATAGTTATGTTAGTTTACCAGAGGGTAAGCTCGGAATTATCAAATTGGGCCCCCTAGACATGGTGTAGTCATGTCTCCAATATCAAGAGAGATATCGACTCAATTGTACAGAGTAATTACCAAGTGACTACCCCAATGCTTTTGTTTTGCGATTTTAAACCAATCAACCAGAACTCCAGCAGCCCCGCCTTACCTATTTTGCGGGGTACTTCGGGGTGCAGTTCCAGTTATCATACAAGTGGATATATGAATTGATTAGATATACATATGGTTAGAAATATATGTATATATATATATATTTATATGTGAATTGATTAGATATAATCATCTACATATTGATTATCATCCCAATCATTATAGATGCACTAATATTAACCGTTTACGAATGATTGAGATGGATGATTTGCAGCCAAGAAGTGCACATAGATCTGGGCAAATTATAACGACCTCCTGTTCTCCCTTATTGGAATCATGGTGAATTTTTGGGGAATCATCCCAAAATTGCCGCAAGTTTCAGGTTAGTGAATTATTGTAATTTGCCCAGATGTATTGTCTACGAGTTTATATCCCCAAGACATCCCCAAGTGGATTTATGTTCTTGAATTTTACTTTCATATCCCCAAATTAACTAGATACCCTCCGGTTATCAAACATGGCAATTAGAAACCCATTAAGATCCCCCAAATTCATCCAATTTCCTCAAACAACATGTCCGAAAAAGATTACTCTACTTATAGAGTTTTAGTCCCAACATTTAATATCCCCAATCATTATCTCATTATCCCATAATCATCTCATTAATATCCCATCAATGTACCACGAGATCCCATCTATATCAGACTAACCCCGATGCTTCAGACTAACCCCAATGGTTCATACCTTCAAATATCCCAAGTGGATTTGTATCCTCTAGATCCATCAAAATCCCACCAAAAGAACCCAACATTTCATCAAACATATATGCTACTAGATTTATATTGCCATTATCATCCCATCAATATCCCATTAGCAATCAATAACCCATCCATCTTTTGAACTAATATCATATCTTAAATCCAGCAATAATCATCCCATGAATATCCCAGTAATACATTCCATTCATAATAAGTATACGTTACCTAAGTTTTCCCATAAGACGGATATATATATATATGCATTAGTATTTCAATCATATTCTCAAAATTCTTGCATAACATGCCATAGATATCCCATGCATAACTATTCATAATCATCCCATTCCCCCATTCCTACTAAGCACCAGTAAGTTTATATCCATTAAAACCCCTAAATTGATGAGATCCATTAAATTCCCATCAAAATCTCGAATTGCCAAAAAATACCTCCGCACACATCATATCCACACCATTTAAATCCTCCCAAATCATATGAATCCCATTGGTACTTGGTGGCTCATCCCACTTAGTAAGTAGGTTAGTTCACCCCAGTTGTAAGTGGATTAACCCGACTTATCCCAATGAAACCACCCGGGATATAACCTACTTGCTAAGTGGGAGGAAACCCATTGATATCCCATAGATATCCCACAGACATCCCTTTGAAATCCCATAGATAAAATATGATAAAATGTAAAACCATAATTCAGAAAGAGATTAATACATGTTGCCCATTCATATAGATTAAAACATCCATGTATCCCATAGATATCCCACACTATAGTTATAATAAGTATCATACACTATTGTTACTATAGTTGCCCTCTCGTAAATTACCATAGACCCTGAAAACAATCTAAAATTTTAGTGGAAACTAACAAAAATCTTCCAAGCTATCTGGCAAGGTCTATGTTAATTTACTGGAAGTATATCCCGTAGATATCCCATAGATATCCCATAGATATCCCTCTATGTTAATTTACTGGAAGTTATAAACTACCCTCTGGTAATTTAACATAGCTATTGAAAATGGCCATAGAAATAGTGGATTTTCCCATTAAAAATAGATCCCATGGCCCCGTCCCATAGATATCCCATGGATCCCCCAACTTCCAGGGTCACCCTCCGTGGCAACACCGTGGTGAACGGGGCCAACACCTTCGCCACGGGCACCGGCACCGTGTCCCTCAACGGCGCCACCACCGTGGCCGATTCGCCACTGAACGGCAAACACCGGGGGGACACGGTTTCCCCCGGAAAAACCCATGGAAAACGGGTGATTTTACTACGGAAAAACATGCAGAAATGGATGAAACTGGTGATTTTTCTAGGGAAATACCATGGAAAATCATGGATCAATGGTTGTTTTACGATGTTTTACTAGGAACATGTTGGAGAAACTATGGCTTTACTGCGAACAATGGAGAAACAAATGGTGGTTTTTCCGAAGAACAATGGAGAACAAATTGGGAAATTTCTACTTCTACTACAGCAAATATGGAATAAGGTTGGTTTGACTACGGACAAATTTCAGAAATGGTGGTTTTGTTACAAAATTGGGAAACATGATGCTTACTACTAAAATGTGGAAAAATCATAGTTTTACTACGAACAAATTGGAAAATTCTGGTTTTACTCAGAAAAAAATAGAAAACTTTGGGTTTTACGAAGAACAATGGAGGTTAGCGATGAAATGTGACGGTTTTGCCGTGAAACACAGGTAGGTTTAATAAAATCCAACCAAAAAAATGGAGCTTCACGCTGATGATTGGCATTTTATGAGTAGGGGATGGCATTTCGGATATCTCACGTCGGTAACGTTCGGGACACAAAGATGGTCGATCTTTATAAATCCAGTCGTCATGGCGATGCAATGGGATTTTAGAGGGGTTACCCTCTGGTAAGTTAACATACCCTCTGGTAAACTAACATAACTATGGAAAATCACTATTTTTAATGGGAAAATTCACTGTACATGGTCAGTTTCAGTAGCTATGTTAGTTTACTAAGTATGGAAGATCACCATTTGAGAGTAAATCACTCCAATTCCTATGGTCATTTTCAATAGCAAACAGAAAATTACCAGAGGGTAACTATGGAATATCATGGAAAATCGTGCCAGATCATGCCATATCCGATCATATGCTGGGTAAAACGACCGTTCTGGCCGGATGATTGGGCAATTTTCTTTGCCATAAATGACGGTTTGCTGACCTTTTTTTCGCAGTGTAACTAAGGTGTTTTTAAGTTAGGTTTGCCGTGGTATCGGGCCTATCACCACCATTTCTCAGCACAATAACAGGGTCCGTGGTCTTTCAGGACCGCTGGACGAGAGGCATGTTATTTTTTCAAACTACAATACCACACGCACACAACATTCACGCACATATATGATCATATTTGATCATATATATATATATATATATTTATAGAAATAGCACCCCCCAAGATACACTGGCGTAGTTTATTTTGAATGGTGGAATCCACAATCTTCCATTTTTTCGAGCTAGCTCAAAACATGTAGCTGGCTCAATTTCATCAGGGGTATGTCTTTGACAGTCACCTTGGGCTTTTTCAGAGGTACCATATCTAGTACTAAACTAATCAGTGGGGACAGAACCTGGCAATTTAACACATTGGGAAGTTTCTGCGAGCTCGCTCAACTGCAACGAGCTGGCTCAGCACCATCGAGCTAGCTCAAACACATCGCTCTAGCTCAGAGACATCGAGCTAGCTCAATGGCATCGAGCTGGCTCATTTTTTTTGCAAAAAAAAAACGCCAAAAAAATGAGCCAGCTACGTCACGTTGAGCTGGCGGACGAATGTGAGAGCATCAAAACGAATACTAACTATGTATTGGCCGGGTTGATGACGGGCCATCGAGCCGGCTCAAGGGCATGTAGCCGGCTCAATTTTTGCGGAGCTTTTTTTTCGCTAAAAAAATTGAGCCAGCTACGAGGCGCTGAGCCAGCTACGAGGCGCTGAGCCAGCTACGTGGCACTGAGCCAGCTACGTGGCACTGAGCCAGCTACGTGGCACTGAGCCAGCAAGGTAGCTTTGAGCTAGCAAGGAGGCAGTGAGCCCAGTGAGCCAGCAAGGTAGCTTTGAGCTTCATCGTATATATACCTATGCAATCCCAACCATATAATATACTAAATCTAGGGCAAAACGGCAAAACAATGTTTTTTGAGGGACACGTACCTTTGAGCTGGAGCGGGAATGTGAAATCTAACATTCGATTATTACTTGTTTGGGTAGGAACTCGTACGTGTTCGATCTTTTGGGGCTTGCGTTTGGTGCACACACCGAACTATTTTATTTATGTGTATATATATATATATTATATATATATATTATATTATATATGTACACATTCCGAACTCAACGCGTTAAAATTCCAAAATTCTTCGTACATCCGACATGGAAATTCAATGTCACCGTGGAAAATTACCATGTGTACTCGGCAATCATGTGTAGATGGGCAATTTTCCATACGAAACTGTTAGATACTTCCATGAATTCTGAAAGTTATCTGTTTTTGATGGTTAAGGCCATATTTTCCCAGATACCACGGTATCACGACCTAGGCATTTCCACATATTTCCACAATATTCCCATAATAAATTCCATAAATTGATCATACCTTCGTTTTCCTTTCGCCATGGCTGTTAAACTCGAAGATAAACCCATATAAACCCATTATTTGCAATTATTATATGTCCATGACTTTTTAAACGCTACACCCACTAAGTCGGTTATACTTCCCTATAGTAGGGGCCCCATATCCCAACTGATGGAGCAAAAAATCTTAATCCCATGAATTTTACTAGTTCGCTATATTCCCACGCATATAAACCCCTAGCTCTTGGAGTTATGATAGCGCCAACTTGGCTATCATAAATTAGTTCTGAATCCCGTGAAAGCTTCTGAATTTCTCACTTCAACCACCATTTTCCTATGGAAATCCTATGGTTGTCCTGCATTGATGTTGGTTAAACCACCATTTTCCTATGGAAATCCTATGGTTGTCCTGCATTTATGTCGGTTAAATCATCATTTTCCTATGGGAAACCCTATGGTTTTCCTATGGTTTTCCTGTCATCTCCGGTCGCCTTCAAGGACGGCCTTCAATGTGGGTTCCACCGCCGGCTCCGGCGGCGCCGCCACCTTCTATGGGACGGTGACCATCGGTGGCACAGGCGGACTATCTTCGCCCTGACTTTCCTTTTTTTAATGAGCTTACTGACTGGTTTTACTATGGGTTTACTTTCTGGGTTTATAATCCCAATTATCCCGAATTAATCCTAGGGTAATCTGAATTATGGTAACTCTGATTAAGATAAGATTAGAAGGCTGGATCCTTAAGATTCATCCAACAGTGGAGTATCCGTTCTATTATGGCTGGATTACCCATCAACTACCCATGTTAATCTAGGATAATCTTGGATGGGTAGAAACTAATCACCATTTTCGTTGGCTGAGTTGATGCACTTGTAACTTGGTGAACTGCTGGGTTTTTATATATATATATATATATGAGTGACGATCAAAACCCCCGCAGAGGAGTTTTATACAAACGTATGAATGGAGTATGTTGTTGTAAATTTGTAGTGCGTTTTGCCTGGGAGGCGCAAGAAAGCGCAAGGGCGGGCGCAAGATATATTAATATCGTTGTTCTTTTCTGTATCAGTGAACATCTGCTGCTGTAGCGGCTCAGAGCTGGTAGGCCTGGTAGGCAGGACAGACGGAACCATACCTACCAAAACGGAATCAAATTCCAAGAGGTATGGTAGAAGCAGAGTGTATACACAATTATACACTTATAAAATTTGATTCCCAAAACGGCCCTTTCGAGCCGAAAAGCAGCTTTACGGGAATCAAATTTCAAGAGGTATGGTAGAAGCAGAGTGTATACACAATTATACACTTATAAAATTTGATTCCCAAAACGGCCCTTTCGAGCCGAAAAGCAGCTTTACGGGAATCAAATTTCAAGAGGTATGGTAGAAGCAGAGTGTATACACAATTATACACTTATAAAATTTGATTCCCAAAACGGCCCTTTCGAGCCGAAAAGCAGCTTTACGGGAATCAAATTTCAAGAGGCATGGTAGAAGCAGAATGTATACACAATTATACACTTATAAAATTTGATTCCCAAAACGACCCTTTCGAGCCAGAAAGCAGCTTTACGGGAATCAAATTTCAAGAGGTATGGTAGAAGGAGAGTGTATACACATAGAAGGTTTGATTCCCAAAACGGCCCTTTCGAGCCAGAAAGCAGCTTTACGGGAATCAAAAATTCAAAAGGTATGGTAGAAGGCAAATATATACACATAGGAAATTTGATTCCCAAAACGGCCCTTTCGAGCCGAAAAGCAGCTTTACGGGAATCAAATTTCAAGAGGTATGGTAGAAGGAGAGTGTAAACACATAGAAGGTTTGATTCCCAAAACGGCCCTTTTGAGCCGGAAAGCAGCTTTACCGGAATCAAATTTCCAGAGGCATGGTAGAAGGAGAATGTATACACATAGAAGATTTGATTCCCAAAACGGCCCTTTCGAGCCAGAAAGCAGCTTTACGGGAATCAAATTTCAAGAGGTATGGTAGAAGGAGAGTGTATACACAGAGGAAATTTGATTCCCAAAACGGCCCTTTTGAGCCAGAAATAAGCTTTACGGGAATCAAATTTCAAGAGGTATTATGGTAGAAGGAGAGTGTATACACATAGAAGGTTTGATTCCCAAAACGGCCATTTCGAGCTAAAAAGCAGCTTTACGGGAATCAACAATTCAAAAGGTATGGTAGAAGGAGAGTGTAAACACATAGAAGGTTTGATTCCCAAAACGGCCCTTGCGAGCCAAAAAGCAGCTTTACGGGAATCAAATTTCAAGAGGTATGGTAGAAGGAGAATGTATACACATAGAAAGTTTGGTTGGATTTAGTGAAGTTTTTTTGCCTTTGCAATGCCTGTTTTGAACCCAAGTCTGGCGCAAGGTAAGCGCAAGTTTCTCTTTAGGTTGTTTTGCCAAGTTGGACAGGCATCGCTACAAGACTCCGGAAAAAACATTTTAACAGCTCCGTAGCTTTTGGTATCTTTTTGAAATTTGATTCCCGTAAAGCTTCTTTCTGGCTCAAAAGAGCCGTTTTGGGAATCACAATTTCTATGTGTATATCCACTATCCTTCAACCATACCTCTTGAAATTTGATTCCCGTAAAGCTGCTTTCTGGCATGAAAGGGCCGTTTTGGGAATCAAATTCCTATGTGTATACATTCTCCTTCTACCATACCTCTTGATATTTGATTCCCGTAAAGCTGCTTAAAACGGCTCGAAAGGGCCGTTTTGGGAATCAAATCCCTATGTGTATACATTCTCCTTCAACCATACCTCTTGAAATTTGATTCCCGTAAAGCTGCTTTTCGGCTCGAAAGCGCCGTTTTGGGAATCAAATCTTCTATGTGTTTACACTCTCCTTCTACCATAATACCTTTTGAATTTTTGATTCCCGTAAAGCTGCTTTCTGGCATGAAAGGGCCGTTTTGGGAATCAAATTCCTATGTGTATACATTCTCCTTCTACCAAACCTCTTGAAATTTGATTCCCGTAAAGCTGCTTTCCGGCTCGAAAGGGCCGTTTTGGGAATCAAATTTCCTCTGTGTATACATTCTCCTTCTACCATACCTCTTGAAATTTGATTCCCGTAAAGCTGCTTTCTGGCTCGAAAGAACCGTTTTGGGAATCAAATTTCCTATGTGTATACATTCTCCTTCTACCATGCCTCTGGAAATTGGATTCCCGTAAAGCTGCTTTCCGGCTCAAAAGGGCCGTTTTGGGAATCAAACCTTCTATGTGTTTACACTCTCCTTCTACCATACCTCTTGAAATTTGATTCCCGTAAAGCTGCTTTTCGGCTCGAAAGGGCCGTTTTGGGAATCAAATCTTCTATGTGTTTACACTCTCCTTCTACCATACCTTTTGAATTTTTGATTCCCGTAAAGCTGCTTTCTGGCTCGAAAGGGCCGTTTTGGGAATCAAACCTTCTATGTGTATACATTCTCCTTCTACCATACCTCTTGATATTTGATTCCCGTAAAGCTGCTTAAAACGGCTCGAAAGGGCCGTTTTGGGAATCAAATCTCCTCTGTGTATACATTCTCCTTCTACCATGCCTCTTGAAATTTGATTCCCGTAAAGCTGCTTTTCGGCTCGAAAGGGCCGTTTTGGGAATCAAATTTTATAAGTGTATAATTGTGTATACACTCTGCTTCTACCATACCTCTTGAAATTTGATTCCCGTAAAGCTGCTTTCTGGCTCGAAAGGGTCGTTTTGGGAATCAAATTTTATAAGTGTATAATTGTGTATACATTCTGCTTCTACCATACCTCTTGAAATTTGATTCCCGTAAAGCTGCTTTTCAGCTCCAAAGGGCCGTTTTGGGAATCACAATTTCCTATGTGTATATATTTGCCTTCTACAATACCTCTTGAAATTTGATTCCCGTAAAGCTGCTTTTTAGCTCGAAATGGCCGTTTTGGGAATCAAACCTTCTATGTGTATACACTCTCCTTCTACCATAATACCTCTTGAAATTTGATCCCCGTAAAGCTTCTTTCTGGCTCAAAAGGGCCGTTTTGGGAATCAAATTTCCTCTGTAGGTAGAGCTCCTCAGAATCTTCAACTTCTGAGAATTCGAGCTCCGAATCATCAGATTTTGCTTCCGAATGCTAAAAAAGTCTGTGTTGCACAGCGTACTGGATCAGTGAACACCTCCTTGAATTGAGCAACTTTTTGCGGCAATCAATTCTTAAATGCATATTTTAATCTATGTAATGGAACACAAAAAAACCCTGAAGAGCGCAAGGAAGCGCAAGGGCGGGCGCAAGGTCATTTCTAATAACACACCGGCAACTATGTTTTGATCAACCCCCATATATATAGGGGTTACTAGGTCAATCTTAGATGGGTAGTTTAATCCTTTAGCCTTTTGGTGGCAATGCGATTATCTACGTTCACCGGCAAAGATTTTTTTTTTGGCAGGGTGTCTAAGATTGGCACTGTAATGTGGGTAAAACAATGCCATATCAATGTGAGGAATATAGATGAATAATGTACTAATATTAATGCACTACTATGAACTAATCCTCGATCAACCATCATTTTTCAGTTACATCCACTCATAGTGTGGGTAAAACAATGATAAACCACCCATGACTGGGAATGGTTTATACAACCTATTTGTCGCGATTTGGGGATTTTAGAGGGGTTACCGTCTGGTAATTCAACAGTTCGCTATGGAAAATGGTCATTTTTCATGGGTAAATCAACTATAAATGGCCATTTTCAGTAGCTATGTTCAATTAGCCGAGGGTACTTTCCCGCTGGGGATCCAGTAGGGCTGAAGAGAATATGCTACCCAATTTGTGCGGTTCAACTCCCAAAAAATGCGGCAGGGATATGATTTAATGGGTGGATTTCATGGGAATAAGATTTTTTTTTGGGGGATATCATGGAGATTTAATGGGGATAACATGATTTTTCTCGGCCTGTCATGCTGGAATTTTTGGAGACATCACCTTAGATTTGATGGGGATAGGACTTTTTTGGGCCTTGCAATGGTGGAAACAGGGATTTCATAGGGATTTTTCATGAAGATTTCATGTGGACATCAGGCCATAGTTGTGAGATGACCAGAGATTCTTCCCTTCGAAAAATAAAAACACATTGGGTTTCAATCACATATAAGAGTGATGCATTCAGACATTTATGATTGATTGTCAATGGCTGATCTTGTAGCCCATTGGATTTTCATGCCCGTTTCTATACGTTATCCATTGATTATCCAATGAATTCCGTGTGAAATGGGAATCCATTGATAGTTTAATCGCTTTTCCTGCAACTTCCCACTAATAATCCAGTAGTTATCCTTTAATCCACTTGATGCTGGAAATTGGGTAAAAAATTGCGACCAAACCCTGCGACCGAAGCCTGGAATGATGCTTGGGATTGGGGTTAATGTTTCAATTTCCCCAGGTTTTTAATATACGATTGTCTTTGATGGCATATGATTATATTAATGATTGTTTTTTCACATATATTTTTATGATTATGATTCATGATAGCAAAAATATCCAGTTATAACCCCATGATATCCCCATGATATCTCGATTCTCTATCCACTTAGCAGATCGGAGATCCCATCGTTAGGCAATGGCGAATCCACATCCCTGACGGTGAACGGCGCCTTCGCCCAAGCCGATGATGGCGATGGACCGCGGTTTGTTTTCAGCATGGGATCGCCGATCGCCTGATGCACTTGGAACTTGAGCAGTGTTCAAAAGCCCTGTTGCTTGATGAGTATCATCAAATTACGAAGGTTTTAACCATCAAGAATATGGAGATATGTAGTATTTATATAGTTAATCAATAATGGGTGATGATTAGTTCGGGGATTATACTACCCTTCATATAATGGGGATAATAATAACCCAAGAACAGGGAATCCCATTCTTAACTAACCAGGATTGAATGGAATGACATTTCGGGGTGTGGAACACTGCTCACTTGGTGAACTGTTGGGTTTTTGTTGTAAAACTCACATAACTATGGAAAAATATGGAAAATGCATGTTCAATCACCATGTTAATGGGTAAATCAACTATAAATTGCCATGTTCAATAGCTATGTTAATTTACCATAGATGGGATTGTAAAACGGATTAACACGGTAATTATAAACATGTATAAACCAACTTACAACGAACTAGGTGGCCCCTTCCTGTACTCAAATGCTTTTTGAGGCTTGGATGAATTTAAGGGGCTACCCGTCCAGTCAGACACCGCATTTTCCCATCCATGTTCAACCCATATTAGATGCCCAGCGATTGGGGGAGAACATGGGTTAATCAATGTTAATCATTCTAGAATGCAGACTGGTAGAAGCAATATATGGGTTTGTCTGAAAATAGGGTATATTCCCAATGAAATAGCCATTTAATAGGGATAATGATCATTAACCAGTGGGTTTAGGGGTACACTATTTTCAGACACACCCATATGATAAAACCTGATATTTATTGTTGGAGTCGCCGGAACGGATGACTCCGATGAGACTTGGAGAAGACACAACAACTGGGGGCACCTTTTCCCGGCAGAGATGGGGGCAGCGATGCCAAGCCGCAGTTCCTCATCCAATGACTGTGGCAGTTCGCCGGTGCCATGTTGACCATCCCCAAGATCACTTAAAAAATCAATGGGAAATCCAGGATCCTAACATGGAGGTACTGTACCATATAAGGCCATATTTTGCTGGGATATTCCCTTACATAGGCCTGAAAAATAGGCCTTATATATGGTAGGTACCTCCAATTTGTTTCGGTTCCTGAGTCATGGCCATTGAAAAAATGGTAGAAACATGTAGAAAGCATCCCCAAATGATAGATCTATGGCATTGGCTTTCCCAGAAGATGTGGAGACTGGGCTTCGCTGTGAGGCAACGACCTCCAGAAGTTGGAGGGTCATGTGGTAAAGTGCGCAGAATCTTTGGTGACAACGGCCATTTTTTCCCACAGCAAGTTCCGCTGGTTCATCGTGCGTCACAAGACTAGGTCCAAAAAAGATCCGATGGTTAACGCTTGTTAAGAACATTACACTGCGAGCTGATTCATCTAGTTGTGCGGAAACATAGCATTTCTGTTTCCTGCAAGGATGCTATCACATATGAGACAGAACGTGGACCAATGATGCATGACGGAATTCTGAGATAAACTTCACCTTTTTTGTTGAGACACATTGCCGTTTCCTACAGGGATTGTATGCATGTGTTGCTTGGCATATGGCACCGTGAAGACGATAATTAGTCCCCTGGCAAAGTGAGATCGTGCAGTGCTTCGCTTTTCAAAGATAGTTAACATGATTGTCATATTCTGGTGCCTTTTTTTTGTCTTTTCAGCAGCGAGGCCCGAATGTCACTGCTTTGATTGAATCTGGTTGGTGGTTTGGAACATTTTTTATTTTCCCCAATAGTTGGGATGATGTTCCAATCTGACTAATATTTTTCAGGGGGGTTGAAACCACCAATTAGGAATTTCAAGTACCCTCCTGTAATCAAACATGGCAATGGAAAACGACCCATTCACTTCGAAGATTTTCCCAGCTATAACCCCCATCAATGGAGGATTGTCCAGCCAGCCATGTTTGATGACACCGAAGGGTAGGTTTTATGCTCTTAGTCTTGGCTGACGAGTAGCCTTTGGTAGTTCAACATAGCTACGCAAAACGAACCTTTCATATACTTTTATTTTTGCTCTATAAATGTTTTATAAAAGGTTATGATTTCCCTAGCTACTAGTATGTTTGCTTACTGGAAGGTAGATACTACCCAGCTCAATGTGCACTGCTGCCCATCCAGGTTTAGCCACTTCACCACCCTTTCCTGCGCAGGAACTGTAAAAACCTTTTCTACGGCCACCGGAACGGTCAGTATCAACGGGGATATCAGCCAGGCTAGTGGCAAGCGCCTTGACGGAAGTGACGGAAGTGGTCATTCGTATTTGGAATCACCCGCAACGGTGTCATCAAACATGGCTCACTGGGAATTCCCCTATTTTTATGGAGGTGTTAATGGACACATAATACCCTCCGGTAATTTAACAGTTTGCTATTGAAAATGGCCCATTTATAGTTGATTTACCTATTGAAAATGGTGGATTTTCAAGTGCCATGATTGAAAAAACCAGAGTTTGGTTGGATGAATTCGCAACCTTCACTGTGTTTTTTTGGGATATAAACGAACAATATGGACATTTACAAGATGCAGTCACTCATCAATAACAATGTCGACCCTGTTTCTTTTTAATCCCTGAGCTGTTTTTTAATGATCCGGGAGCTGGTCCAGTGCCAGTGCGCAGGTGCAATTGAATCACTATTCTATGATTTAGCAACAAAAAAACAATTGAAATCACTAGTAAACCTAAGAAGGTCAAGATCCCCAAATCTATAGTAAATTTTGGGGATCTATAGTAACCCAACATTCATAGACAAGTTGGCAGTCTGGATCTATTATTTAAATTATTAAATCTATATATTCCTGGAGACTCATAGAAAAAACATGGCAAAGAATGCCTGGGTGAGATCTGCAAACATGAAAAAATGAGTTCCATCAGTCAAATCGTACTTGGACGTTCCCGCAATTAGGAATGGCACGATGATGGTGGGTGGGCATCCATGATGTAGCCGATTGAAATCCTGAAGTTGAACATTGGATGAACCTCAGAAACAATGTTCAAGATGTATTACATACATGTAAATATTTTATATACCCTCTGGTGATTTTACATATAGCTGCCCGTTAAAAAGGATTATTTTCTATAGCGACTATGTTGGTTTAACGGTGGGTAATTATGAGAGGATACCTTAAAATCCAATGTTTCCTTGATTGTGACAAATGGTCGCACAAAAGGAGGTAACGTAAGAGGGTATGACATGGTATGAACATACAAGGAACGACCATTTCAATGGGCGATAGTCGCGCATGATATACATCGACCACGTTCATGGTCTATAATATATAATGGATCCAATATTGGGAGGGATCTCAAACCTATAGCCGCAACGGTGTCCGTCAACATGGCCAGCTGGTAATGCCCCGACGAAATGGGAATTAAACATAAGAAAATCTTGGGAAAAAAAACATCATGATCACTGGAAATCTGTTTGACTTGGGTTCCTTAAGCAAATCCAAGCAACCAGCTTCAAAAGTATCCAAGGTTGACCAATGAAATAGAAATTAAACTACACATTAAAACCCTATACAGGAAGGCCCCCCCAAGTGATTAGTTGGTCTCCCCCCATCAAACTGATATAGACATAATGTCTTATCCACCGTAAGTCCAATCGTATTCCAATCGTTCGCCTAGTCATGAAAAAAAAACTATTGTTTGCCCCCCCATTCCTGTAGCCTATGGGTTGAACATGTACCCATAAGAATGGTTCCTAACCCTGGATTTGTTCATGATTTTTTTTTTTAATGGGCATATCCTTTAAAGGCGCCTGAAGCAAATCAAAGGATGCACCTTTGTCGCTTCGCACTTCCTGCCATCTAAATGTCCATTTTTTTAGCATTTCTTGCCACATTTGGTTGATGACATCCCCCGTTTTCTTTTTGGGGGAGACGGATTCCCAGCCATTTTTGAAAGTAGACATGGTGATTTCGCCAAGTTGGGTTTGGACATGTCAATCCCAAATGTGACATTAAGATACATTAAGAACATCCAATTTCTCGAAAAACACATTTGGAATCCCACATGATTTGGAACGTTACCATGATTTGGACCTGTGACTTCCCCCATCCGAAACCACCTTTTCCTAGGAGCATTACCCAAAGCGGTGCGGGCGCCATTACTAGCGGCAGCGGCGCAGTGCAACTGAATGGTGCGGTGACGGTGCCACCTGGGAGTTTTTTTTTCCCCGGGGATTTGTTGAGTGGGGAGCCATTTTTAGGCATTTTTTTGTGTAGTTTAGAGAGGAAATTTATCTAACTATCTTGAGCCGGCAAGAATCGGGTTTTGTATGTTCTTGCTCATCTTGGCACAAATGGACAACCATGCAATATATGAGAAAACAGAACAAAAACTGATCTAAAATGAGAATTGCAGGGATTTAACCAGAAAAAGATTTGGACCGTACCACAAAACTCATCAAAAAACTGGGATTTAAAGGCGGCAGCTTGGATTTCGCACGGTAAATGTGCGGTAAATACCAGCAATGATCCGGATGACGTCACTGGAATGATGGGAATTGGATTCGGGGAATCATCCCCCGTAGCTGGCCTTATTGAAGATATTTATTCAAGGTGGTGAATTGTTATAATTCTGCCAGAATGTCTATATATCTGGGTAAATTATAACGACCTCACTGCGACCTCACTGGAAATCATGGTTAATAAGGGAAATCATCCCCAAATGGCCTGAATTCAGGTCAGTGAAATATTATAATTTACCCAGATATATGTTAAATATACACGCATACAAACGTATATACACGGTTTTGATCAACACTCATATCAATATCAGTATAATTATACATTGTAATACACATATCTTTGTTTTGAAGTTTACAGTCAGATCCTACATATCAATATCAGATCTATATCAGTCAAAATCTATATTCATAGAACTGAATGATGGGAAAATTGGAACCGGAAACCCCTAGCCATTGATGGTAGAGAATGTAGAAACCATGGTTTCCGGTTAAGATTTTCCAGCCAATCGACGTCCAGATCACGGGCAGCAACACCTTCACCAGCGGCACGGGCACGGTGACCTTGAAAGGCAACACCCTGGTGGACTCCACGTGCCTCGGATGTCGGCCACGGAGTCACGGAGGTTTCCCCAGGGGTTGATGCCAGAAATGGTGCCAGACATGGTGATTGATATATTTGATATGGAATTTGGGATGGGATTTCAATAGGAAAATGGATGAAAATGGGGTTTGATGGATATGAATGGTGTTTTCAATGGTTATTTTGGAGGGACTTTTGGATGGGATTTATATAATGAGATTGGGACTTTATGGGAAAATATAGGATCATCATAGGATAATATCTAACAATGACCATAGTAATAATAATAATTATATTAATGTTAATTGAGTGTTAATAAGATTTAATATTTTTTTTTGATTTTTATTGATTATTACTATCATTTAATAATTGATAGTCAACAGCAATAGTAATTAGATTTATTGGAATGATACCCTCCGGCAGTCAGCCACGTGGCTGGGCAATCCCACATAGATGTTTCGTTCGCTGGGAACATCATCGGTAAAAAATAGAGGATTTTCCAGCAAAGCATGGAGCTGATTACCGGATGGTATATACCCTCTGGATCCCTCTGGTAGACTAACATAGCTATTGAAAATTGCCACTATAATTAGATCATTATGGTGGATTTACCCATTAAAAATGGTGATTTTCCATAGTTATGTTAGTTTACCAGAGGGTACAATTTTTAGATTTGTCAGTTGAAAATACTTACATATACTGGCATTTGATAATTCATTGAAATTGATAGATACCTTGGTTGATTATTTTTTGTTGACAACTACCCTTCTGAAGGCTACCGCAGATGTGGAAAACCCAGCTATGTAGAATGTAGATCATTTTCTGAATGGGAAACCAGAGGAATTTTCCACATCCATGTTAGTTTACCCCAGGGTATACATATACATTTGTAGATTTTGTATTCTATGCATCATATACTTTTTAAGCGTATTGCGTAACCTTGGTGGCTCAGAGAACGGCAAAAAAAACACGGTGTCCCCCTGAGGCCCTGTAGAGGGGAACACGACGTACTGTTCACATCTTGGAAACCGTTTGCCAATAGGAATCAGGAGGTTGATCAATCTTGGGTTGACTTTAAAAAAGCGAAGTTGCGAATTGTAAACTATAGTTTTGATCATTTCAACCACCATGAACCTAACTGTGCAGTTGTGTGGCAGTAACGGTTATAGCCACCACAGCTTGGGATGAAAAACCTCTAAGTATGGCGTAACTATGCCTGCTTGATTATAGCCACATTTGCGTTTTTCTTTTTTTTGGGGGGGATTAAATTAGATGGCTCTATGAATTTTCACCCTAAACGTTGAACTTTAGCATTAGCGCGACAGACCGGTTATTGCGATTCGAGTAAGGGCGCTTCACACATTCGAACGTGGGATTATTTCATGGCAGTTTCACAATAGTTGCGACGGAACTCAACTTGGTCAAACCATCCTGAAATGGGCCAACACATTCCTGATTGCACTTCCATATGAGGTTCAACACAAATGATAGACCCAGTACTAAGCCACAGGGTCTAGAGGCTGTTTGATGAGGGGCATGGGCTTAGTACATCCCCGAACTTTAACACGGAACTCCCCCAAAATGGGATCTGAAGATGGGATATGGCCATAAGTATCGCTTCCATGGCGGTTCCGCGTTCAATTTGGGTGGTGACTCCGGGACTTAAGCGATGAATCCTTGGAGGTTCAAGGTCGAGATGACCAGGAGAATGAGGGGATTGTGAAGCAAACAAAGTGAGATTTTCCCATTGATGTATGGTCATATAACTTTGATATATATATATATGATCATTTATGGTCATATATTTCCATTATGATACATATATATATAACATTATGGTCATATATTTCCATTATGAGTAATTATATTTCACCCCAATGGACATACTTGTTGTATACCAATTAGCATGGAGATATATGACTTTGATGTATGCTATTTGAACATATTTGAACTAGGACTGCCACAACCAGGCCCAACTATCATCTCCCAGAATCCTTGAGGCCCAAAACCACCAGGTAACCATGGGGTTTTTCAAGCCATGGCAGCCATCCGAACAGCTCAGGAACACCTTCACAGTCGGAACAGCTGGGTCCGCAGGTGCCACCATTTTGTATGGCACTCTGACGGTGGGAGATTCCACAGGTGCGCTCCGGCCAACAAACAGATGTTGTGAAGCTCTTGCTCCAAATTTGAGGTTCAGGTCAAGGATTTCATCCGCTAATCAGTGATGAACCTGGACAAAATCTGGAAGAATGAAGGTTTGACCAAAGTTACCCTCTGGTCAACTAACATAGCTATTGAAAATGGCCATTTATAGTGATTTTTACCATTAAACATTATGATTTTCCATAGTGATGTTAGTTTATCAGAGGGTAAGCTCGGAAAACTAGGGATGGGTGGAGCTGAACCAAAATGGGATTGGTGATAAGTTACTCAAAGTCCTGGGTTAGTTCGCCCCAGATGAGCGGATCCAGTACTAAAGTGTAGTGAAACATAGTGAAACAAGGTTTCACCTGGGGATAGTGACGCGTTTGTTGCGTTTGAACGAATGATGTTCCGACCTCGGATCCTCTTTTTTCATCCTCTTTTTTCATCATGTTTTGCGGAGGGAACCGGTAAAACATGAGTTGGATCACTTGAACGTCCCGTCCCAGCATTGGATTGAACAGCAGGAACCCCGGCTTGACACGTGACACGATGGACTCCCCAGTTCTTTTGGTTGGTAGGACCATCCAGATGATCATCCGCCAATCCAATCCACAACTTACCCTCTGGTATCCTAACGTAACTATGGAAAATCATCATTTTTCATGGGAAAAATCACTATTTCGACTGGGCCATTTTATCATTTTCAAGTTCGCAAACTGTAAGTTCGTTTACCAACCGACAGAAACCTATTCAGATTTTGGAGGCCTGGGCCTTTAAGGACTCAGATTGGTGAGTGAAAAAACTGGTTGGTGGTGACTGGAACCATGGAATTTTGAATGACTTTCCCATCATATTGGGAATGGAAAATCATCCAAACTGACTTTCACTCCATGATTTTTCAGAGGGGTAGGTTGAAACCACCAACCGGAATATCATTCAGCCATTTCCCATCATTTTTCCCATCATTTTTCCATGTTACTTAGTCCATGTCAGCTTCCCACTGGGGCTCCTAACCTGTACGGATCAGGAGCCGCTGCCACTACCTTGTACGGAGCCTTGACCCAGGCGCCGGTGCTTGTACCGATAGCAACCGGCATATAAAAAACATAGATATATAATGATATATAGAATTATATAGATATATTTAATATAAGGCATATATCCATACACATCTCACATCTCTCAAAATATGTTCACCTTTTTTTGGGGGGCTGGGTTTGATCTCCGTTGATGTTCCCTGTTTCTTCCCGCAGAACGATGTGGGTGCAACGCCCTCCACCATTACCTCTGGCACTGGAGCCATCGCCTTGCACCTCGGAATACGATGTTACCCTCTGGTTATGTCAAAATAGCTATTGAAAATGGCCATTTATAGTGAGTTTTCCCATTAAAAATGGTGATTTTCCATAGCTATGTTAAATTACCAGAGGGTACCCTCTGGTGTTTTTTTTTCCCATAGCCATGGAACATCACCATTTTGGACTTCGGGAAATCATGATGTTTATCATCGAGCGAACTGGGCGCTACCATAGCCATGTTAAATATATAACTGATTGGTGCTTTGGAACTTTTTTTTTAAATTTTTCCCATCATATTGGGAATGGAAAATCATCCCAACTGACTTTCACTCCATGATTTTTCAGAGGGGTAGGTTGAAACCACCAACCAGTATGATCATATGTCCCATCATATAAGCATATATAACCACTATTATTATATACATTTATAATGGTGGTTATATGATACCAATACCACTATTATATACTATTATTATATTGGTATATTATAACCACTATTAGCATATCATAACCATTATTGGTATTATAACCATTATTATATACCACCAAGCAGATAACTTCCGAGGCTACGTCCCCAATCGGGTTGCCTCGGAAGATCCAGGGATAGCGAGGGATATAGCAGGCATGTTTATACCCAATGAGTAGTGTGTAAAATCTGAAATGTATGATATGTATGTCATAGTTATACCCAAATAGGATCAAATAGGGAAATAGCCTAAGTTGGGGATAATTGTTATGTATCGAGCCTCTGAAGGACTTTGTACGATGACTGTATCCCACCGCGTGTGACACCTCCCCGAAATAAACAAACACATTTATTTCAAGCAGACCTGGTACTGGAAAATCCTCCATGGGCAGATGAAATACTGATTGAACCTTGTGATTTTTCCGTTTGTTAGATTACCTTTGAGGGCAACCCCACAAGTGCTGGGTAGCTAAGGTATTCTAAGGTATGACTGTCTGGTGCACATATTTTGGACTTGTCCCAGTAGTTCGGGTATGTTGAGACGATCCGAATTGACTCTCATGATATCACTGGGATGGGTTGAACTGCCATCCAGATTTTTCAAAAGAAGTTCACCCATCGAAAATACCTTGGATTCAAAACTCGTTTTCCCATTTTCCTCATGAAACTTCTGTTTTTCACATTGGGTGAATCCACCGTTTTCCACCTTCAAAAAAGGCCATTTTAACTGCAAATCCCGCATCTTTTTCAAGCTCCATGGCCCAAAAAACCCAGGAATGGTGATGTTGATGTTGCCGACAGCAAGTATCTCCACATGCTCGCCACTTGGAAAGATCAGCCGAGCAGATGAAGTGCATAAACCTATATGATAAATCAAGGTATCAGTATCTGATTATATATGTGAGATTTTGATAGATTTTCTATGTAAACACAGTATGCATCATGATGTAATTTTATATCTACATATGTATAAAACACACACACACATGGGCAGGAGAAACTATAGCAGTGGCAACACACAGGGGCAAAATTCGATGTCCTACTGAAAACTGACCGTTGAACTGCAGTTTTCGAAGCCGGGATTCCAGTTGATTCCAGTGGATGCCAGTTGCATACGGGGTTCACCCATTTACTTATATATAAATAATAGGACATCCAATAGTCAGGAGACCAGATCTATCTAACCAGGCTGTTTTTCACCAGTGAATCATCCAGTGGGTTGATCTCAGGCCACGAGTTCTGGAACCTTTCAAACGGGCGTGGGCACCGTGACCCTGAATGGCAACACCCAAATGTGCCTGGGCGCGTCGAGACGGGTCTCCCGGGGTCTCCCATGGGGTCCTGGGATCCGATGGCTACTCAATGTCAGTCGCAAGACCTTGTCCTTGCAAAGACCAGATCGTAAATTATCCGGTATGGTATTGGTATTGGTATTGGTATTGGTATGGTTCAACATGGTTTAACCATCACACTTATCTGATTTGATGTAATTGGTCGATGATTTTTTGCCTAATCAATTAAATGGGCCTACCACAAATTATGCGAAGTGGTATCAGGGTTGCTCCGCCCATTAAAGCTGAATGATAGCCACAGGGGGGCAATTGGTGATTTTACCTATCTATCCATTTCACACCCTCATATTTGGGGTGTCGGGGGCAACCCTGGACTATGGAGCGAACCATATATTGATAGATGTTGATGATTGACCATGGATAAAATGCTGATTGATGGTGATGCAAATAATGCCCAAAATGACGCTAATCGGCAATGTTCATGAGCAAGGTTTACCACCTTACAAACCATCAATTCCTATATGTTCCATTATTTTCCTGTATTTTCCCATGTTTTCCTATATTTTCCAATGTTTTCCTATATTTTCCAATGTTTTCCTATATTTTCCATTATTTGCCTATGTTTCCCATGTTTTCATTGATTTCCCTATGTTTTCCCATGTTTTTTTCCCATGCCATCCTTTGCCTCGCCCTTGGTGTCCGCCAAGTGCATCTACCCGCACCTTTACCACGGGCTCGGGTGCTGTATCCTTGCAGGGTGCCACCACCGTGGCGCCTTGGCGCCGGAGATCCACGAATCTTGGGGAAACTGTAGGGATTAATAGTGGTTTAATAGTAATATGGAGCCATACGGGTGTTGACGGCGAAGATGATGATTACCCTCTGGTTATGACTAACAGTTTGCCATGGTATTTACCCTCTGGATTTATAGTGATTTAATGGGATTTTATAGTGATTCAATGGGATATTAATGGGATGTACCCTCTGGTTATTTAACATAGCCATGGTATAGATGGCCCATAGAAATAGATGATTTTCCCATTAATACCACCATTTATGGTAAATAACCAGATGGTAGTAGTTAAATGGTGGTTGATGATCAATTGGTGTTCTAATATATGTTTAATATACTATGTGGTGTAATATATATATATATATGTGTGTGTGTGTGTTTTTATTTATAGATATATATTTTAACCATACTATGTGGTAGTCAATTATACCTATATATTATTACTAATAATGGTTGATGATCTTTATTTTTTTTTGGTTTCCTCAAGCAAATCCAAGGTGCCCCCCTGCAGTTGCCCCAATATGTAGACGCACTCGATCGGCCGGACGTCACGAAAGAAGCTCTATGGAAGATGAGGGGAATGGTATCTCTTGCGAATATCAAGTGGGGGCTTTTGCCAGTGGAGGCAAAAATAATGTCGGACACGGAAGCAGAATACCACATGTGTGCTCCTCCAGATACAGCAGACAGGGAGCTTGGAGCTTTTCGACGAGATCGCGCAACGGATTTAGGGGTGTCCCGACTTTACACATATATAGGGGTAATTATAGGTATATAGAGTGATAGATAGATTAGATATGATTTGGATTAGACTACACTGCACTAGATTGGATGTGATGAGATGGGTTTATACCGTGGATGTTTCAGCTATTTTGCGAGTCACGCACCACCTTCCAATTGCCTCACCGGGCCTCACCCATCTCCCGGAATCCCCAAGGGTATGGGAAGGGCTTGCGAGCTGGAAAATCACCAGCTTTTGAGTTCGGCAAATCATCATATCATCGAACTCAATGGGCGATTCCATAGCTAGGTGTTTTAACCAGAGGGTATGATTTAGAAGCTGGTGAATTCAGCTTGCACCATTCACCCTGCAGCATGGTAGATGTAAGATGGAGCCCGAAAACTGGAGTTTAAAGAGTTTTTTTGATATGGCAACTTTGGCGGTTCCGTGTGAGATTTTCTCAGTGTGTCAACCCCGTGAACTATAAGTTTTATTTCCATACACCATACTTATTCGAGTTATTTGCAGCAACATAGCTCACTATGGGGGCATTTTCAATCTCCAAATCTTCATCAATACTACACCCAAACTTGGGGGTTTGGAACCTTTTTCCAGCTTGAAAATTCATGATGGAATGATTATAATTATGATATTCATGATGGAACTGATTATATTCACTAATGGTAATTTCCACTTTTTCCAGGTTTTTTTTTAAACATGAACTAATTAAAAAATCACTTGGAATGATGATTCCTACAGATTTCCACAGATTTCTCGAGGGTGGAACCACCAACCAGCATCGACTGGACCATCTAAAAATGGAAGCCATTGGAAGCCCCAAAAATGTAAGAAATCCTGAGGGAAACCATCCCAGAAGAAGCTTACAGCGATATACATACATATACACACACACATACATATATATATATATAATGAATTATATTGATATATCTATGATTTGGATGAAAAGTTTTTCTTTTTGTTCGGTCGCATGGCTATGATAGCCCCAAAAAAGATACCTAGAATCTAGCCAAGTCATTATGACCAAGGCACAAGGCATTCAGTTCAACGTGGGAACTGGACCCGGCAACACCGGAAATGCTGTGCTGTTGCTTGGCTGCGGCTGGTGGTGATCTTGCATTTTATTCATGAGAAGGACCAGTTCTTAGAGAACAACGGGGTTGGACTGGCCATTTTATTCTGGTTGGTGGTTTGGAACATGAATTTTCCTGTTTAATCTAATGGTTAATCTATGGTTAATTGTGGTTAACAATTGGAATAACAATATAGCTGGTTGGTGGTTTGGATCATTGTTATTTTTCCATATAGTGGGAATGTCATCATTCCAACTGACGAACTCATATTTTTCAGAGGGGTAGGTATGCCACCAACCAGTATTGATGTGTTGTGTTGCTTGTTGTAAACAAGGATGCTCATATCATCCCAAGTCGCCTGCTGTTTTTTTGGTACATGATAGCCACAAAGGGGGAGACATTGGCATAAGTTTTTCGCAACCTCCAAAAGAGATAGGTACATTTCGTGGGACCACTTGTTTTATATGGAGATTTTATATGAGAATCGGCTTCACCTGGAAGGACTTCAAAGCATCCTCAAAAGAGGCTTGGCCATGTACGCTCCCAGGTTTACCATTGCCCGGTGGCCACTTAACCTGGTCATTGCTAAATATATCCATCCATCTATCCATCTATCTATCTACCTATCTATCTATCTATCTATCCATCCATCCATCCATCTATCTATCTTTATATATATATACATGTGTGTGTGTATTTTTCCCGAAGATGGGCTGCCTCTAAGTCCACTGGTTCATCACAAGGTTTTTAGACACACCTCGAAAACAATATATATATATATAGATGTATTGTTGGTTACTGTATGCATCCGTACACGCAAACGCATATGTAGATTGATATATAATTAAAAATACATTTTTTAAATAACAAATGATTTCACATATGCACACACATATGTATATATAAACTTGCGGTATATACCTCATAATGCCCCCATTACAGCAACCCAACATAGATAGAAAGGTGGGAAAGCTTGAAATCTGGAGCTGTTATGTCATCTATAACATCTTTGAACACGTTTCTATCTTTGTTGGAGTTGCCACATCTGATTTCTACATATGGGTTTGTCTGAAAATAGTGTACCCCTACACCCAATGGTTATTGATCATTATCCCTACTAAATGGCTATAATTGGGGGTATACCCCATTTTCAGACATACCCATATTGGATAATATTGTATAGGTGTGTTAAGGATGACACTGTCCAGTTCGCATCAGGTATGGTCCTGTGGTCATCGGCTCATGTGGGGCGGCACAGCACAGATTCTGGCTCTGGGGCCTCTAAGGGTGCTCAAACTGATGGTTGTAGTGGAGCGGGGAAATAGGCGCATTTCAAATACAATTACATACGTACATACATTATATATATATATATTTTTTTCTGTAACACACGTATGTGTATTTTCTGATGTGGGAATTCCCGCAATCGTACCAAAGGTATGGGTGTTCCTGAGGAAAGGGCAGTTCCGGGACCAAAGCAATGCGAGCTGATTTTACAGCTGTGGCAGGGCATGGTTCCCATTTACATCCAGACAGCAGCAGGTGCATGCAGGTGCTAATATTGGCTTTCTCATCGAAATTTGGAAGTTTCTAGATGGCCAGCGATGGCAATGGAGTTTTGATGGACTTCGTTGAGCCTTAAACTTGCTTCAGGAGTATTAATATTGAATATCCAGAAACATTGGGCCGTGAACTTTGAACATTTTTGAGCTACATGCATCAAACATGCTGCCAATAGTGATGATATGATGCTTTCATTCATTGCTACGCCCAATAAAAAACAGCCCAAGGGGTGAGAAAAATCTAGGCTTCACAGATGATCTACCTTTCTGGCCGCATCCAGCCATCAGTGCTATCGAAATCAATCGGATATATTGGGGATGATCACTATCCAGAGCTTCACAGATTTCACTATGGAACACTGCTCAATGGATCCCTTTCCCATTGTAGCCATTACCCGGGTAGCCTGCAGGACACCAAAAGTAGCTGGCAAATGGGTGCTCATCCCCCAGTAAACAGGTCGAATTCCCCGAATCGGTTGGGAACATTTACAGTAAACCATGGTTTTTGGATTTAAAACACCATGGTTTTGGGTTAAGACTTTCCCTTAAACCAATCCTTTATACCCTCTGGTAATTTAACGTAGCTATGGAAAATCACCATGCTATTAATGGGAAAATCCACTATAAATAGCCATTTTCAATAGCTATTGTGACATAACCAGAGGGTAGCTTAGAAATGGCTATATAAATGGCTCTATATATATATAATATAGCGATATAGTAATATAAAATAGGCCTTATATATGGTAGGTACCTCCAATTTAGGATCCTGAAAATCCCATTGATTAAATAGCTGTTGATCCATCCCCAGTCCCAGTCCGACATCCCCCGACTCATCGGTGCGCCCAGCAACCACCAACGCCGCATCAAGACAGCTGACAGTCACCTGGTTGGAAGTTTTGGTGGAAAACCATAGGAAAACCATAGGAAAAATGGTGGTTTACCCTCTGGTAAATTAACATAGACCCTGAAAATCACCAATTTTTAATGGAAACTCATCTTCCTGGCAGGGTCTATGTTAATTTACTGGAGGGTATGTGTGGTGTCAAAACTGGTAGGGGGAATGAGCAAACAACCATAGCTTGGTCCGAAAAGGGGTGTACAATCCGGGGCAATCCACGGTGGTGTTTAAAAAAAAAAATCACCCAGAAATGATGGGAAAATCAACGAAAAGTGAGGATGTTTTCATAATTGTTCATGGTTAGGTTTGATTTCCGGAGTGTATACTTCCAAAATAGCAACATGAATAGGGAACATTATATACCATTAAAATCATTACCAATGGATTCGGGAGATCATGGCTTTTCAGACAGACCCAGATGGATCAAATCATGGATCAATCATGGGGAGATAAGAAACATGGCAATGCCATAGCAAGTCCTGGGTTGACTGAAGGTCAACTTGATTTCCACCGTTGTGGAATGTTGATGGTCAAGCTAGGACCAGAAAATTGAGAATCTCCTGTTTTATTTGAGGGGTCGTTCTGAGTTCTCTTCCGAAAGTCCGAAAACTGTGATGCCGAGGGACTTTTCGACCGTGTCCTAATGTCCAGAAATGTCGCCACCAGGTGTAACTTTTGACAGTGGGGTGTCATGACAGTGTGTCTGGTGAGGTCCGAGAAAATGGTGGTTTTCCAAATGGAAGATATTTTCTGGTTGGTGGTTTCAAACATGGCTTTGATTTTCCATTTCATATATGGGATGTCATCCTTCCCATTGACGAACTCCATCATTTTTCAGAGGGGTAGGTTGAAACCACCAACCAGTTTTTTACTTGAACAAATCTAGAAGGCAAGGCGAAGAAACCTGGCCAGACATCGCCAGACCAAGAAATTTCAGGCCATATTGGTCAAAGTGTAGGACCTTGAGGGCAATATGACCCAATGTTGGACCCAAGCATTGCAGCGATGTTTTACCCATGTGTGAGATAGGAATCAGCAATTGGGAGGCTCAGTTCGCCCCGGGTGATTTTTGTTGACCTTCCCTATATTTGTACGGAGCGACCGGGTTTCTTGAACGGAGCCAGGAAATATTCATGACGTCGTCGAAGCTAAGACATAGGATAGGACAGGATAGACTTAGGAATTTTGATGATTTATGATCATTTGTGATTTTGAAAGCGGGAGTTTCCCCTCTATTTTTCAAGAAGCTGTACCCTGCGATAATCCATCGCAATTGAAATAGTAAGGTAAATCATCCAGAACTTTGTCATTGTCCATGACTATGGTAAATTTTGAGAGGGTACATGGGGATTTGACATGTATAAAACATTATATATAAAACATGCATCAACATCTACAATCTCCAATTCCGACACCTCGTGGGGTCCATATGATTCACTTTGACAGTTGGATTCAGTATTACCCTCCGGTAAGTGTACAGTTGGCGAAATGGCTAAACCGGCCCTTTTTAGAGTTTTCTCACACATCTTGAGCTATTTTTTTTCCGATTTAACATTGGTGATGTTGAGAATTTACCCTCTGGTAAACTAACATAACTATGGAAAATCACCATTTTCAATAGATAAATCCACTATAAATGGCCATTTTCAATAGCTATGTTAAATTACCAGAGGGTACATCAACTGCTTACTGAGTCGGGTTTGGCTCGACGCCAGTTCCCGAGTCGGTCTCCAATCATCCCAGTGCTTTTTCGGGCGGCTCATAGCAAATTCGATGTTTGATGATTTGATTTTTGATCTGCAGTGTGTATATATAAATTATATATAATGCCAACACCGGATTAATAACCCCCCCCCAGAAGGTAGGGGGGTACCTTCTGGCTAGTTTTCTTGACGACCTCTTAATAATAAGCAACTCTAAACCATAAAACTTTGGATATGGCTTACGTCAATTAGATCTGAATAGAATTCCATTGGATTTGTTAAAATTTCATGGATCAGAAAGGTGGTTGATTAATCAGGGGCAAACCCTGGTTATTATTAATGGGGGACATGGGCTCATGGGGGGTACCCTTTGGGAGCTATCCAAACTGATGATTTTTATAAAGATTTTAATTAGAAATCGATCATTTGGGGAATAGTTGTTTTTTGAAATTTTCAATGATCAACTTAAACCTGAAGTATAACAATGATGATTAAAAAAATTGTAAAAAACAATTGGAAATAAATAGAATTGGAAATAAAAAAAGTTGGATAAAAAAAGGATTTCAGCACTGGTGGTTTTTTAATCGGGTGGGTTTATTAATCTGGGGGGACCACCTGTTTTTAAATTACATTTTTTTTGGGGGGCAGTGGTGGTTGATTAATCGGAAGGGGATTGTTAATCCTCACTTGAAATTATATATATATATATGTATGTGTATAGTTTTGTATACATCTATTATAATTATATTTATTATATATTTATTACATATATATATATATGTATGTGTATAGTTTTGTATACATCTATTATATTTATTATATATAATATATGTAGATTAGTACAGTTTTGTATACATCTACGTGTGTGCGGGGCCCACTATAAATAGGAGTATTGGCCATGGAACATTTCTGTACTGTACATGTTCTCCAAAACGTGTGGGGCTATCCGGTATCCCCTTAGCTTAGATTACCCGCAGGAAAAACCGGTAGGATTTTCCGACCGAATCATGGACATTTCACCGAATCTGTCTCCAAAATATCTAGTGACATATCACTTTTTCTCTCCCAAGAAACTTACAGGAATATATAGTTCATATAGAATATATAGTTACTTTTTCCTATGGTTTTCCTATGGTTTCTCCAAAAGACGGTGTTTCCCCACCTAAAACGTCCAACTGCCTCGACCCGGTCCTTTTAAAGAAACGTCCAGCTGCCGCTGCCTCAGTTGAACGGCCACCTGGTGCAGAATGACGACTTGGACGGTACCGCGTCGCAGAGCCTTGGCGATCGGCTCGTGCCACGTGCCACGTGCCATCAGCCGGGGGGGATGTGTACCTTCTGGTAATTTAACATAGCTATGGAATTCATCACCATGCTATTAATGGGAAAACTCACTATTTCTATGGCCATTTTCAATAGCTATTGTGACATAACCAGAGGGTAGCTTAGAAATGGCTATATAAATGGCTCTCTCTCTCTCTATATATATATATAATAGCGATATAGTAATATAGTGCGGCCAAAAAAAATGTAATAGATTGGCTATCATATATCCTCATCTATTCCCAATTTTGTTTGGTGAACCCTCATGGTTGATGGGTATATATCCCAGTATATCCCAGGATGCCTTGATATACTTATTTACGTTTTTGTTCCCAATATCTGGAAAAACACGTCCATACATTCCAACTACCCTCTGGTAATTTAACATAGCTATTGAAAATGGACCATTTATAGTTGATTTACCTATTAAAGATTGTGATTTTCCATAGTTATGTATGTTTACCAGAGTGTACATTCCCACTATTTTTCGTGTCACACATTTGGACCTCTGGTTTAGTTTAGTATCCCGTTGTCCATGATATTCCCAGTACACCAGCATTTTTTTTTGGTAGGAGAAACTCCCTATTACCCTCTGGTAAACATACAAAAAACTATCGAAAATCACCATTTTTAATGGGAAAACTCACTACAAATGGCTATTTTCCATGGCTATGTTAAATTACCAGAGGGCATCAGGAAAGAGACCCTTCCAGATTCCACCAATTTCATCACGACCAAACCCTGTTCTCCCGAAGCCTGAAAAATCATGGTTTATGTTAGGGAAATCATTTCCATAGCTGGCCGCAAGATTCAGGTTAGTGACATATTATAAAGTTATCATTTACCCGGACATGTATATATATATATATATCCTATTAAATCCGTTACAGCTCCATCTAAAATTGGCGGACGTCCCATTATTGTGGTAAATTCCATTCCCCTGGACTAGTAAATTAATTGATGTGGTAAACCCAATAATAAACAATCCCCAATACAGGTTTATTCTAGGGTATATCCCTACAGCAGGGATGATGCAAGATGCCTTGCCGAATGGTTGGTCAATGGGATAGTTTATGGCAATGGGTTTACCACAATAAAATTCGTCCCTATTTAGCACCAATTGTAGGGTTGGTTGATCCCCTATATTCCCATGATAGTTCGATTACATTCCCGTTCTTTTTCAGTATTTTCCTACATACTATATGATATTCCGATTATCAACACATTGAGTTATGATGGATCGAACATGGGGAGACAACAAACATGAACTTTTTCACATACATGGAGATTGCATTTACCCTGGTTTCGGAAATTAATTCTCATGTTTTTTTAAAGGTATTTTTTCCAATGGGAAATACGCCATTTGGGAAATGCGTGGGGCCTGTATATATATAATATATAATATACAACACACACACATATATATATATAGCATATATATATATATAGCATATATATATATATGCCAGCCATATATATATATATCTATGGCATATATATATATATATATAAATGGTTCCTTAAGTAAATCCAAGTTAACTAATTATCGAAAATCCCATTGAGATTTCCAATTTCCCGCAGCCCAGGATCACCTCGGGTACCGGTACAGCGGCCTTCAATGGCGATGTCACGGTGGCCTTTAACAAAGACCTGACGATGTCCAACACAGGTGCGTGTTAAACGTGGGTTGAGTGGTTGAGAGAGGGGAATTTACTATGGCTTTATGATCCCCCCTTGGAATTTCCTCCAAAGAATCAGGCAACCTGGGTTGTCCCAAAAATGTTTTTTGAGGCTAGAAACATGTTTTTTTTCCACATGGCTAACCTGGACTCCACGTTTTTTAGTAGGCGCATCCTGGGTCATGATGTTTTTGTGTAGAAAGGGCATTTTGAGTGCCGATTGACATGCCTTTGGATTTTTTGACATGTGCAAAAACTGATGTTGTGCGCCGGCCATCGCTTGTATCACGGATGAGTCAAACAAACTACAAAATTGACAACAAGTTTCAAATGTTTTGTGGCATCCACGTGGCTAACACGGACCCCTGATTCTTTAGAGAATTGCTCTTGTATTTGCATTTGTTGATTTGTTTGCAGTTGGTTGCCTTTGTCATGATTCTTCAGAGGGTGTCAGACCCCCAGGCATCCTAGGTAGCGATTCTTGCTTGTGCCATTTCAGTAGTTCAAGGTGGACGGCCGTTTTTTGTCTAAAAAATATCAGGTGTTCATGTGAGCAGGCGAATTCCCAGAGGGATGTTTGATGACATCTTTCTGGGTTTCATCTGTTTTGTTGCAAGGAGTTGAAAACAAGACATGGGGACAGAATTGAGAAATGGCCATTGACCAAAATATATCAAAATATGTGGTTTCTTCCATTATCAATTTAGGTAATTACCTGAAATAGATTGAACTAGTTGTCTTCCATTTTATAGCCATTTTTTAGCCATATATATGTGGTTTCTTCCATTTTCTTCCAGCAGATCACCAAGATGATCCATTATATAGATCCATTATACTGTATACCCATCATATAGCCATTATATACCAATTATATAGTCACCATAATATAGCCATTATATACAGCCTTCCTGAAATGACCATGTTCCCCAAAAACGCCAGGCACGGGCACCTTCACCACGGGCACGGGTGCGGTGACCCTGAACGGCGCCACCACAGTGAGCACCGGGAACACCTTCACCATCACGGACCAGGGCAGCGTCGCTTGGGTCTTCGAGGATGGGTAGAAAAACGTGGGAAAATCAGGGGAACATCCCTAATGGGAAAATGGGAACATCATCTATAAATGGAAATGGAAATTCATTTTTAGAAATGTTCCCTTGATGGGAAAATCTAAATAAGGAAAATCATCATTTAAATGGCTCATTTCGAAGGGGAAAATCATGGAAATGGGAAAATCCCTAATGGGAAAATCATCTATAAATGGGCCATTTCCATGGCTATGTTAGTCATAACCAGAGGGTAGTACAAGTTGTATCATGTGTCCCATATTTTATGTGAAAATATATGGGAACATTGTGAGGGAGATTTTATAGGGATTAATGGCTGGGATGTTTTCCCAGTGGGAACCTGAGATTCAGAAGCTTCGAAATCTCGATGTGGACCCTACTGTCAAGGCTTACCCAACACTGATATAGCCTGGATATTTAAGAGTATCCCAAATATGAACTGGGAAACCTGTTCAAAAAGATGGGTCCACAAAAACACGGGACCCACCTAATGGGTCCTAATGGCAACACATTAGTTAGTGAGGTGACTTTTTAGTACTTTTTTTCGGGCGCACGTCTGCAGTTTTTTGAAGAGGCCACAATATACGTGGTTTTGGTTTCGAATGAATAGATACAGCGGATTTTGAACAAGATGCAGAATAGGGAACACGAAGTGACATGCACAAAGACTATAGTAAACCTCCTCGTAGGCACTAACTCCAAAGAGACTAATTATGGTAAACCTAGCAGTAGGCATTTGGGGTGTAGAACTGGGGGTGTAAAAAATTCTAAAGGCCGGGGCTGATTCGGTTGCTCCATGGCTTCAACTATGGAAAATGATCCATTTATGACTTGCGATGGGATCAGCCTATGAAAAATGGTGTGTTTCCATATCTATGTTAAATTACCGCAAGGTATTCATTGTAACAAAAAAACATATCTCAACCATGAGATCTTTTGGGACATACCCAGTTTTCAGACAATCCCCATGTACATTACCGGGTGCCTAAGAACAAGTCATGTTCTTCATGAATTTTCCCCACAGGGATACGTTGAGTGGATCAACATCCCCCGAAAAGGTAGCTCTTCTCATACAGAGCCACTTGCTGCATTACCCTCTGGTAAAGTAACATAATTATGGAAAATCACCATTTTGAATGGGTAAATCATGGTAAATCAGCTATTTCGACTGGGCCATTTTCAATAGTCATGTAAGAAATTACCAGAGGGTACATGTTATTGCCAATTACCATCCGGTTATCTAACATAGCCATGGAAAATTCCTTATAAATGGAGGTTTTAATGGGAAAATCATCTATAAATGGGCCATTTCCATGGCTATGTTAAATAGCCAGAGGATAGTACAAGTTGTATCATGTGTCCCATGGTTAAAATAACAGCGTTATTTTTTCGCCAAACACTTGGCGAATGTGCTCACGAATGGAAGAAACTCATTCATGGTGGGATGACCCTTTCGACGACCCCCGATGGCGGATCCAGCGAGAAATTCGCCGAGGGGCCCTTTTTGACTAACACGGCTGTTTTCAAACATGGCTTTTCTTTTCCATTTCATATATCAAAAGGAAGTATCACAATTTGAAACTTGACATGGAAACCCGAGACTTGCCATTTTCCATTTCATATATGGGATAATCATCCCACTGACTTTCATATTTTTTCAGAGGGGTAGGTCAACCACCAACCAGAAGAAGTGTGGAGAATCCAGCGTAGATCATTTCCACAGGGGAACCCCCCATGGGTTTTCCACGAATCTATGTTCGCGCCGCTTACAAGAGGCTACCAGTCATTGTCATATGTCCCGATTGTGGATTATTGCCCCTCATCTCGATGGTAACATCATTTGAAAGCCTCCACGTTTCCAGTCCCAACACATCTCCATGTAGGAACCTTATAGGAACCTCTTAAGGGTCCACAGAAAAGCCGGAGAAACAACACAATGTTCCAGGATATTTGGGATGTTCGATTCAGAATTTTCCCGCATATTCAGAATCTATTCAAATTGATCACAGATTTTCCCCCAAAAAATCCCCCACGTTTTTTCTCCAGCCACTGGGCCTTGGTCCAAGGCGATTCAATGCAATCAGCCAGACACTGCGGCCAGTGATCTCTGCAAGGCGAGTCGTTGAGGCCCGGGACATCCCAAAACGACCAACGATGTTCGTTGCGGCCAGGGATGGTCATGTGAATGTGTAAACCATCACAATGTATAGTTTATGGATGTATCATAGCATCATGAATGTATACATAAATACATATAATATATGATTATTAGTATGTTAACTCGTATTATATCTGGTTGGTGGTTTGGAACATTTGGATGATTTTTCCATATATTGGGAAGAATAATCCCAACTGACGAACTCATATTTTCAGAGGGGTAGGTATACCACCAACCAGTATAGTTTATGGATGTATCATACCATCATGAATGCATACATAAATACATATAATATATGATTATTAGTATGTTAACTCGTATTATATCTGGTTGGTGGTTTGGAACATTTGGATGATTTTTCCATATATTGGGAAGAATAATCCCAACTGACGAACTCATATTTTCAGAGGGGTAGGTATACCACCAACCAGTATAGTTTATGGATATATCATACCAGCATGAATGTATACATAAATGCATATAATGTGATACATATAATGTGAATGGATACTATTAGTATATTAATAAACAGTGTAAAGCAACTTTTTTTGGGACTCAATAATGTTTGGAAATGTACATGTTGCTGTGTAATGTTGCCTATAATATCTTAGAATGGATGGTACATGTTGCAGTGTATAAATGTAAAGTAGTTTATATATGTATGTATCTGTATAAGTGTATAATATATAGGATATGTTGTACTTCGGATATAGTACAACCACTTTATTTATAAGTACTATGTACTTTTAATTGCTGTGTATTGCTGTCTATAAGATTCTATATGCACATGAGTATTGATATTGATTGATGATATATTGTGTAGGTGTACTTATGCTATGTAGTTTCTAGTTTTGAATATTTGAATCTTGAATAGTCATATTCGCAACAGCCAAAAAGGATAGAAGTAATTCATCACAGACTCGCAGTGGGAAATAGAAGGGTTCTATCTTTTTGGGGCTTGCAACCGACGATGTCGCTGATGTCACGTGGTGTAGATTTAATATTCATGATGGTTTACATTGTTTGTTTAGGTATGGGAATTCCTCCCCAACTTATATTTTAATATCATATAGTTTAGATATGTTTAGATTCAGATTGGCATTTTTTGTCCCTCTCAGTCTACAGAATCTTTGGCCATGATTGATCATGATTTGGACTGGCTTCCCTCAAGGGCCATTGCGGCCAAAATCATCCAGTCCCTGTCTCTCCCAGGTTCCCTACATGGAGGTTTCCTTAATGGGGGTACCACAAATTGGATGATTAATGGAAAATCCCAACAAGAAATGGATGATTTGGGGGGTAGCCCCATTTTAGGACACTTCCACATGGGTGTCTCCGATCCAGTTTCTTCTCCCCTTACAGTAGACAAAAAATCGACGAGTTGATATCGCCATTGTGCGCCAAAAAACCATATTTTCCCAACAGATCATCCCAAGATTGGGGCTATTCCATATTTCTGGGTAAATTTCATCACGACCTCACTGCGACCGAACCCTGGGAATCATGGTAAGGGAAATCATCCCCATAGCTGGCCTTAAGATTCAGGTTAGTGAAATATTATAATTTTCCCGGATATTTAACAACTGGTTGGTGGATATTGGTGCTGTGAGTTTTGAACATCGCCTGAAAAGGGGCGAATTTCCTTATCAGGTCCCCCATCCCAGGGGCCAAGACAAAAATTCTGGGATCCCGAAGCCTGGAAATCATGGTTAATTTATGGGAAATCATCCCCATAGCTGGCCGCAAAATTCAGGTTACCCTCTGTTTATTTAACATAGCCATGGAACATGACCCATTTATAGATCATTTTCGTATTAAAACCTCCATTTATTTACGGGATTTTCCATGGCTATGTTAGTCATAACCAGATGGTGTGTTTTTTTTAATTTACAAACATCAATTTATAGATGGTTTACCTATAAAAAATGATGATTTTCCATGGCTATGTAAAACAACCAGATGGTAAATGCACCACATATTTTGGGCAACAACCCCCCAGGCTATCCCCCAGGCTTTCCCGGCACATTTCCGGTTCAAGGATCCTCCGCGCCGTGGTCATTTTCCGTCCGCCGTAAACGGTGCAGTGCGGTGCGGGGGCTGGTGGCGCGGGATCAGAATCTTCCCGTCGGGGAGATGGTATGGATCCCATGGGATTTGTAGAACAAAAACATGGTGATTTGATAAATGGTTATTAACCATGATAAAACATGGTAGTTAATGAAGAAATAATGGTTATTAACTATTTTGAATGTATTTATATATTACGAATTAATGGGTTTATATAATGGTGATTAAATCCGATAATATTCCGTAATAATAGTCCCATAATATATCCCACTACACTTACTATCTGGTTATGACTAACAGTTTGCCATGGAGAGTCAACCCATTTTTAAGAACGGTAAACCATCTATTTCTATGGGCCATTTATTCCATGGCTATGTTAAATAACCAGAGGGTAGAAGAAACACATGGTGATTTGATGCGATGTCTATTATCGCTTTATGAATTAGTACATTTAGTACGTTAGCTGGTAGTTTCAAATCTTCATCACTTCATTGTCCCATGATGTTACTCACCAACCCAAAATTTCTTGGATAAACATCCAAAATCAAAGAGCTGAGCCTATTCACAGCATGGCACAGCTTAAGCACCAAGCAGTTGAGTGGTGAATGAGTGGTGAATTCCACCAAGAGACCTTGGGTATCTTGGGTGGTTTCTGGTCCCGCAATGCTCCAGCAATTATGGGTAGCGACTTATGGGTGCATGGAGTGCACCGGGCTTTGGCTGTGGCCCATGGCATTTTCGTTTCTCCTACGCCGTACGCGTTCATCAGCCACGAGTCTATGAATCGCTATGCCCACCGGAGGATTTGACATAGCTATGGAACATGGCCCATTTAGTTCGATGATTTATCTCTTAAAAATCCTGATTCTCCAGATCTCAAACTGCAACAAATGACCAGAGGGTAGAGCCCACACGAAGCCACCAACTACAGGGCCGTAGAGGTTTCTTTGGAAAGCCTCGATGTGCACCCAGCGCCCAGCTAAGCCTTGGGTTGCCCAGCAAGAGAAAGGCCCAGTGAGAGCCGTGGTTTTCTGCCATCTGATGTTTTCTGGGGGTCCACCGTGAACTTCAAAGCTACGAATTTGGTTTCTTAGCACTCAGCAGCAAGACAAACAACTTCACCAAAAGGAATCATTGCTGAATCATTGCCCTATATTGCCCTTATACTACAAGTGTTCCATGCTCAATTTTAGGGCTGTGAACGTAGTAGAATTTTCCGAAGGCTTAGCAGAAATCAGCCCCCAGCAGGCATTGGACTCACCTGGCAACGGTGAAGTTGGGTGTTTCTCTTCTGGGCTGTATTGGCCAAGGTGGCCACAGTTTCACATGCGGTGAGCCGCACCACTTCCAGGGTTTGAAGGTGCCAGAAGTCATATTTCATCATATTTTGATATATGCCTGGGGGAGTTTTAGGCAGCCAAACCACAGCATTGAGCACCACCCTGGAGTGGTGAGACATAAGTTCGTTCGCGGCAACAGCGGCATCCAGAAGAGAACGCAACAGAGAGCAAGTAAGATGCGGCTTTCGGTGTTGTTGCAGGGTAATGTGAATGATGCACATGGATGGTCCTTTTTTTTTGGACTACAGCATGGTACAGCCAAAGGAGTGAAATGGACAGCAATCCTCAGGAGTCGAATCTGGTCGAAGTATGTCATGGCGGTTGTGCCCCTTTCAGAAAGCTAGAACTACTGGGTGGCTTCCAAGATTGATTCTGCCCTAAGAAAAGGCCCTCCGTACTTAGAACTTGGTTTATGACCTCATCTAACATTATCGAACTATAGCTATAATATCTGGTTGGTGGTTTGGACCATTTTTTTAATTTTCCCCAATAGTTGCGATGATGATCCAATCTGACGAACTCATATTTTTTCAGAGGGGTAGGCACAATCACCAACCAGATATGTTATAACCACCTAAAATCCAAGTACTCATACATCCACGTGTCCCGGTACAAGATTGTCACCAACCAGGTTATGTTTGTTGGGATTATCATGGATGTGCATGGCACAATGCGTTTCGGTGTTTGAGGCCCACACGATGGGACAGCTACATACGTATATTATACAATTATATAATTATATATATATATGTGTGTGTATTTTTGTTTTACGTATATATATATACATACATTACATGCATGTATGTAGGAATACTTATATATATATACATATGTATACATATATTATACATATATATACATATATTATACATATATACATACATTATATGCATGTATGTAGTAATACGTATATATATATATATATGTGCACTATACATATTCCTAGACGGTACCTACTTGCTACAGTACCGACCTGAATATCATGATAACAATCATATTCTTTGCAGGGTAGTTGTCCATGTAAACTTGATGAAAGCCACCTATGGCCAACCTCGGTGATTTTAGATTATTGTGTCCGACTTGTCTCCCAAGGTCTGTTCTTTCACACTTCCTCTCCGGTAGTGGAGGGAGCTGCCAATGGAGCTATGGTTGTATCCAGATTGGCGATTGGCTTATTAGCCATGGCATAGGGAGCCAGTTGGAGCTACGAATTGTCCGTTGCAGGTTCCAGAAGCAGTTTCAGGGAAGCGCATTGGTTTTGCCGTTCTCGTGGCTCAGGTTGTTTGCACATGTTGGAGGTTAGCCATCACTCAGATCGCACAGACGTTCAACAAGGGTGCATGATTCGATACCTCCCCAAGCCATGGTTCCACCATGTTCCACCTGCCATGGTTTACCCCGGCTTTATTCAACTCAGCCCATCCTGGGTACCATGGGTAGGGTGCCATCGCCGATTTGACCCGACAAGATTCATCAAGTGCAGCGTTGCCATGTGGCGACAGCGCCGGGCTGTTGCTACTGGGACTGGTAACCAGTGTGCCGTAGAGCCGAAGCAGGTGGGGATTCACAACAAGCGCGGCTGGTGAATGGTCAATGGCTGATGGCTGAAGGTTTATTTAATTAATGGTGTAGCCTCCTTTTTTCACCAAACATAGCTTATCATAGCTTGTTAAGCTGATTTTATTTTGATAGCTTATTTAATATAGCTTTCATATTATATAATCATATCATACCGAATCATACCTTACATCACAATAAATAGACAATCTCCCATATTTATTAAGTTAATTTTTCCCTTCAAAACTCCATGGCTAGTTCGCTAGTTTCCACGAAGGTGGCCAAAGACAGATGGAGGAAGAGAATCGGAACTCACTGGGACATCTGGGACGTGGGAGAATGGTTCGTAAGCGTAACTATCCCCAAATTGTTTCAGGTTGGTGAATTACTGTAAGTTATCCACATCAAACGGGTATATAATTTGAATGTGCTCATTCAAGTTTTACCATGTTTATCGGGGGCCGGATATAGCCCCGCAAACTCGGGAGCGACCAGGGCGGCAATGAAGAGCTTCCCGACATCGAGTAGCTTGAGCAAGCCTGGAGGTTGACCAGGGGCAGGAGGTAAGGAGTTTCAGTAGCCCCTAGCCCCAGCAAATTTGGAGCATATATGCAACTGGTTGGCGGTTTGGAACATGAATTTTATTCTTCCATATATTGGGAATAATCATCCCAACTGACTAATATTTTTTCAGAGGGGTTCAAACCACCAACCAGGCAAATATGGAATGGTGTCCTCCTTTTGAACTGATAAAATATACTGTAGGAACTTGACAATTCGGAGGATGTGACCAATATGACCCATGTTCATCTTTATTTTTGTGGTGTGTTCATACTTGTTTTCCAAGTTGTCAAGTTTCTACCCATCCCTGAAAGGGACGAGTTTGACCCAGACTTCCATACAATCCCAGTCCATTCCTATAAATGCCCATTAAAGCCTTCTAAATCCCCTATAAATCCCTATTAAATATATTAAATCCCTATAAATCGCAATATAAAATCTCTGTTTGGTCGGGCTGCTAATCCCGGCAGGCACCAAGGAGAAGCTCTTGAAGCTGATCCGAAGTCATCCAGCCTGTGCCTCGCCTAAAAATCTTGGAGGTTCCTAACTGGTTCCACTGGTGGGGTACCCTCTGGTAGTTTAACATAGCTATAGAAAATCACCATGCTATTAATGGGAAAATCAACTATTTCTATGGCCGTTTTCAATTGCTATTTTGACATAACCAGAGGGTATTCCCCAAATCAACTAATGTCATGGACCAAGCGTTGAGATGTCCAAAAAAACGTCTATCTATGGGTTTATGATCCCAAAAAATCCCTATGAAATCCCATAAATCAACTTCCATGTGGGTAAAAACAATATCATTTTTTTAACCACCCATGACTGGGAATGGTAAGTTTATACCACCTATAAATTTATGGGATTTGGGGATGGATTATGGCCTCATGTCCAAATCACCGACCTATCATTTCTACTCGTCATGTCCAAGTCTGCCAGTTTAGGGATTGGCAGCTGCTCAGAGACAGCTTCCAGGATGTGGTGGTGAAGTTGCTCCACATAACATGGTTCACCATAGCTTTATCCAGGAAAGGCCAAAATCACCAGCTCTGTTTCTCTCACCTTCCTAAATCACCAAGGTGTGTTGGCCCTCCGGCTTGATGTGACGATGCGGATCTCGGATGAGGCGTGCTTGGATGATGATGAGTTTCCCCAGGAAACTATCAGTTTTTGATAGTGTTTGTGGAACATGTTGACCATATTTTGACCATATTTTGACCATATTTTGACCATATATAGTTTGATGAGTCACAAGAACTTCATGGTGATTTGATAGTAAATGAACGAACCTGATGAACATTTTGACATATTTTGACCATGTATAGTTTGATGAATGTTCGATGAGTTACCGACTTTCCAGTTCGGGGATGATACCAATGCTCTGGGTTTTTTTCTGGAGATTTGATGATTCAATCTCGGAGAGTTGACAAATGTTTTTCCAATGAGGCTTACCCTCTGGTAAATTAACAGTTCGACCCTGCCAGTCATCGGGGTTGGAAGATGAGTTTCCATTAAAAAAATGTAATTTTCGGGGTCTATGTTTATTTACCAGAGGGTAATGAACGGTGAATGGCATCCGGTGATCGTATCCAAGACCCCAACTGGGTGAAATGATGTGTAATCTTGAGGGGATTAGTAACTTTGAATGAACTTAAGATGAATTTATACCAATTGAGACATATTGAGACCTGAAGAAGGACCCAGACTGAAAATCTTGATGAATTCTGATGAATTGGGAACTGAAGAAGAGCGAAAAGTCACGGCAATCGTGGCAGATCTGCTAGATAGTTGCCCGATGTCGTCCGCATTTTGGGTGAGTTTGGACGTATCAGATTGGTTGGGAATGGTTGGGATCAACTTCCTAAACGAATTCACTCTAGATGACAGGCTTAACTTGGGATACCCAACACGGGCCAACTTGTCTAGTGTCACTGGCCATTTCAGGTACCTAAACTCCACTGTACCATATATATCCATATATTATAACACCTGATTGGTGGTTTGGAACATTTGGATTATTTTTCCATACTATATGGGAATTTCATCATCCCAACTGACGAACTCATATTTTTCAAGATGGTTAAAACCACCAACCAGTAATTTTTAGATTTGTCAGTTGAACATACTTACATATACTGATATTTGATAATTCACTGAAATTGATAGATACCTTGGTTCATTATTTTATAAAACCACAATTGCCGGGTATATCCATGACATAGCCCTGAATCGTAGGCCTTCCCATCCCGCCATTCTCAGGACATCATGGAAGGCTTAGCCAACTCCGCCGACAATCTGGCTGCTTGGCAATGAAGGCAATGCCTATGAGCTGCGGGATCTATTTTGGGATCACTCCACCTATTATAATATATATATATATAAATTATATATATATATATTCATATATAAGATACATATATCTAAAAGATAGATAGATAGATAGATAGATAGATAGATAGATAGATAGATAGACGGACATATATATACCCTATAGCTCCATGTCAGCAAATATATCTAACATCCATATGTGGGCACCAGAAGCTAACATTGCAATGTCGATCCCTGAAGCCTACATTCGTCTTTTTTATCGGAATCGGGATGGAATCGGGATGGAAATTGATAGTTTGTGGTGTGTCACCCGCAGCTGTTACCAAATTTCAATCCTTTAATGAAGAGTTATTATACATTATATTTATATAAGTTGCTGGCCTTTACTGGGCTAAGTTATGTTCAATTCTCTGTGGCACCCATGAAGGTGCCACAGCAGAATCACTGTCTAGTTGAGGTTTGCCGGCCGAAGGCGGTGTTGTTGGAAAGCTCCCTCTAAATATTCCGCAAAGGCCTTGTTGTAGACACCTGGGGATTGCAAGTTCTCAACTACAACGTGATATGATTGAACTAAACTATTGAACACTATCAATGGATTGGTTTAAGGGAAATTTTACAGGAAACTCCCATATTTACTGGGAAAATCTATGGTTTCCTGCAGATGTTCCCTTAAACCAATCCATTGACAGAAATTGGCCTTTTCAGAAACCAGCAATGAGGTGAGAAACGGGGATTTTTGTGGCTGGATCGTGGTTTCAGCTGACCACATATGTCCCTGATCATGGGCCCATGGCATCATGGGGATGTTTTTTTTCTCACGCATCGCCTAGGATATCGACTTCAGGGAAAGGATGGTGCCAGAGGAAATCATCCAAGAAATTTTGAACTTGCGTCTTAGACCACGACACATCGGGGTGAACAGAGTGAGCAGCGGGCTGTGGCAAGGTAAACATGTTGTTTCAAACGGGGAGCCAAGGGAAGTTACCCGGCCTGGTAAACGTTTACATAACGAACTGGTAAATCACCATTTTTAATGGGAAAATCCACTATAAATGGTCATTTTCAATAGCTATATTAAACTACCAGAGGGTACCAGCTGAAAATCAGCTGGTTGGGGAGATGTCCTGTGGATGTCCACTTTCTTTTCATCACCATCTACCTTTTTGGTTATTTGACATAGCCAACCGGAAAATCGCCATGCTATGAAGTTCGGTAAATCATCATTTTTATCATAAATAAATAAAAGAATAGATAAATAAATAGATAGATAGATAGATAAATAAATAAATATATATATATATTACATATATATTTATATATAGAGGTTATAGGTTATAGGTCATTCTCCACAGCAAACAGTTAAATTTCCAGAGGCTCACTGTGACCAGGCGGGTTTTTTCTGGGTCGGCGTCAACTGAAAGGCCCCATCGAGGATAGATCCAGGTGACATCGTCGAAGTCCTTGGGTATATCATGATATAATGGGTATATCATGGAAATATGATGGGTACCCTCTGGTGAACTAACATAGCTATGAAAAATCACCCTTGTTAATGGGACAACTCACTATAAATGCCCATTTTCAATAGCTATGTTAGTTTACCAGAGGGTATATAATCATTTAAAATGGGATATGATATACCCTCTGGTAATTTGTTACGGTTTGCTATTGAAAATATAGAAATCGTTGATTTACCTCTTAAAGATTTTTTTCCATAGCGAACTGTTAGTTTGTCAGAGGGTATACTGAACACGAATAAATAGAAACTAAAGATGAACAAAATATCAATCCTACTGTGGATGGTTGCGAATCCTGCACCACCAAAAGGATGGTTGAAACATGTTAAGTCTATCCACACCATGGTGCCACTCTGGTGTGATGTGGAGCTGGAAAGTGAGACATTGAGCTGAGGCTACACACATCACAAGAGGGAAGAGCAACAACACATGGCTGTTGGGTTGTGAACTTGTTCCTTTAACTTTCCTGGTTGGTGGTTTGGAACATTTTTCATTTTCCATATATATATATATATATTGGGAATAATAGTCCCAACTGACGAACTCATATTTTTCAGAGGGGTAGGTGTACCACCAACCAGTTTCCATTTTCTTTATACCCCCGAGTCTTGGATGATGTGAAATAACTCCAAATTACCAGCGATCCGTATAGCAGTCCAGCGATCCAACAAAGCCAAGGCGCCGAGAAGCGCGAGCTGAAGCTGCTTTGATGCGGCTTGGGCAACGACGCATCTCTTTTCTTCTCTTGCCGATAAACATCCTGAACTCCATTGAAATCCATTGAAATCCTCCAGTTTGGTGATGATTCAGACTTTAGAGTTGTTGGACATGGATGACATGGTGATTTTCCAGTTGCCATGTCTAATAACCATAGAATATCGCTTTTAATGTTTGTATCCTTTGTGAGTGAGGTGGTGGGGTAGGCGGTGGACCTTGCCCCCAAAGCTGTTATCAACTTTTTCAATGGACTCCTGAACATGTTGACTATTTCTATAGTAGTTGATTGTTGTCAAAGCTGGGAGAGTGGTATTATGAACTTGCCGCAAATTCAGATGTTGGTTGGAAACTTGAGGAAAAGACTTCATTGTAGTTATCCCACCCATACGTGGCGTGGGAATAGCTTGTTAGTTCCTTTGAATGTTCTCCGTTGGAAGTGGAAGCATCCACCATTGAATGGGCCTCGCCTTTGGTCTTTGGATGTCTACTTAGCATGTCTACTTAGATGGGCCATGGGATTAGTTAAGTGGTTAACAGCTGGTAAAAAAAACAACTCCATTCTTTGGTCAGTTTTCGCCAGTTGCTAACCAGTCTTCACGAATAGTGATTAGTAAGTTGCTTATAACCCGATAACATCTACATCAAAATCATGATTAAGCCATACAATCGATACTTATAATCCAGCAACATCTACATCAAAATCATCATCAAGTTATCAAACCATAAAATCATTACTACGCCATTTCCAAGCCAGTTACTAATCAGTTATATAGCAGTTCAGTTCCGAAACACTGATATCACTCATCCCGTTGGGCCCCCCAGGCGATGTCCCGTCCCGTCCTTTTGGAGGTCGAAGATCCGTCGTCACAACGTGTGGATCGTCTTGATTCGCCTGCCTCTCTGCAACTTGGTCCGCGATGGTGGGGCCCGCGTTGTTGGCGGTTGACCAAGTGGCGGTTGACCAACACCGACATTTCTAGACATGGTATTTCAAGAACTTACCATCTGGTTATGACTAACAGTTCGCCATCCGCCATGGAAAGATCCACCATTTGTAAGAACGGTAAAGCATCTATTTCGATTAGGGTGATTAGGGCCATCGAAAAACCATGGCTATGTTAATCATAACCAGAGGGTTTCTATGGTGGTATTAATCTGCGATTAATAGTTGGTACTACTGTTGGTCCATGCGAGTTTTAAACCGTGGTTTTTCCGACCTGTTCATATTGTTCGTTGATCAATCCACTGGGGAGTCTTCTGAGGAGATCTTAAAAAAATCCAAGTAACATCTTGAAATAGGATGGCAACAATGTCAAGCCATGATCACGCCATGAAATTTTGGAAAAATCATGGTAACCCCGTTAGTAAGCCCAAAACAGTAGAGTTGGAAAGCTAGATATCAATAGATATCATCATGATGTCATCTGACCTCTGGAAAGACTTTCCGGATCTTTTCAGCATCGGTCCATCGCGCAGCATTTTCTGTTTTCCCTTGGAAGATCCCCAAGTCTGGCAAGGTGCTTCTGGAATCCTAGCACCTCGGCTTTGGTGATGGGCTTGGTAGGGTACACTATACACCTGACTCAAAGCCATTTTTGGAGATTTTTCGATGTGTTTTTTGATCATGTGTTAAATATTGTTAAATGCCCATCTTGATGGGGTATAGTAGGTATAGTACCAGTCTAGTAATTATAGTGTGTGGTGTGATAGTCTAGGATTTTAGGCTGGTTGGTGGTTTGGAACCATGGAATTTTATGACTTTCCATTCAGTTGGGAATTTCATAAAATCCCAACTGACGAACTCCATCATTTTTCAGAGGGGTAGGTCAACCACCAACCAAGTATATATCCAGTTATTATAACCCCATGATATCCCCATGATATCTCTATCCACTTCCCTGATCATGGATCCCATCAACGGTAGGCAATGGCCAATCCAACTCTCATAGTGTGTGCTGTATGTACTGTGCACTTTTGGATCTACAATCTGTTTGTATATCAGCCACAAACATGGATGAGCCCAAATGACCTGCAGATGGGGATTGAAACCACCAGTTCTTAGAGTAGTGCAGGAGAGGACGCCAAGCATGTGGAATGCCAGAGCGCCGTGGTAATCATAAATTAGTTAACTGACATGTGTTTTAATCAGAGGGCAACCAAATGCCTTTCCATAATCTGTGTATACATATAATATCATATAATTTCAAACGTTTTCGAACTATTATTAACTATTTTTTGCGTATGTGTGTGCATTGCATATTATATATGATATAGACACGATTGAAATTTGACAGTGCCGGATGGGATTTCCCACATCCACAAGCTCACTTGGATCAATGGGCCATGCAACAGGAACCGAAATAAATTGGAGGTACCTACCATATATTACGGCCTATTTTTCAGGGAATATCCCAGCAAAATATGGCCTGAAATATGGTATAGTAATATAGTACCTCCATTTAAGGATCCTAAAATTCCCATTGATTGGAGGTTCTCCCATTTAGAAGCGGGAAAACAAGGTCCAGCGGGATGGTTATTCCAGCATGGGCCCTACAAGTTGTACCCATAAAGAGCACCCCAACTGCAACCCCAAGTACTTCATGATACCCTCTGGTATATTATTTAAATTAACATAGGCCCTGAACATCGCTATTTTCTAGTAGAAACTAATCTTCCAACCCGTATCTGCTAGGGTCTATGTTAACTTCCTGGAGGCTAAGTTCCTATGATATCCCCATGATATCTGTCACAAGCTGCAGAACCGGTGCAACTTCGAGGTCTTTATCTCCCTGCTGTTGTGGCTGACGACCTTTGAATATACTCGCGCCGTGTGCGCCTTGTACGAGTTTGCCAATGCCACCTGCAGCCAAGCGCACCTCGGAAGCATCAAGCGGCGGGACCCATGGCACTGGGGAAAGGGTTTGCCCCTCGGGGCCAACCTGGGAGATAAACAGAGCAGTGACAGCCCCCCCCAAAAAAAACACAGCATACCATTTGGGGATGATAGCTGCCATTTTTGGTGATTTTTCGGGGTTGAGAAATCTGTGTTACCATTGTCGGATCAAGCTCGGCCGAGTCTCAGAGGGAGATCCAACCTGGCAACTGATTTTACTCCGGAGGATAGGGCCATGAATTACCCGAGGATTGCAGGAAGGGGATAGATGATAGGATTTGACATAGATTGAAAGATGATAGAAATTAACATGATAGATGATTGGAATCAGAATCAGATTGAAGCTTCTCAGAAACATAAATTTGTGGATAGACAAATGTAAACACTACGGTTTTATGTTGCAGCACCAAGTCTTGACTGCTTTTTGTTTAAATAAATTGCACAACATGAGCATAGACATACAGCAACTTCGATACATACCTTCTGGTAAACTAACATAGCTATAGACAATGGCCCATTGATAGTTGATGTAGATGTTCTGTAGCCTTTTTGTATCTTTTTGTATGTTTACCAGAGGGTAAGCATTGTATATCTGGTTGGTGGTTTCAAACATGGCTTTTATTTTCCCCAATATATGGGATGTCATCCTTCCCATTGACGAACTCATATTTTTCAGAGGGGTAGGTATACCACCAACCAGATATATATTGCTAGTTGATGGAAAATCACTATTTTCAATGGGAAAATCCACTATAAATGGTCATTTTCAATGGCTATGTTAAATTACCAGAGGGTATACCCCAACAGCATAGAAAAGTAACCTTCGGCAGCGCCAGGAACACATGTCTCTTCCGGGTGGCCGTGCAGTTGCCAGGAAATGACAGCAACTGACTTTTTTTGGGCCATGATGGTTACAGCAAAGAAATTTGGGGTTTGCTACATAAGATATGTATAATATCTACACGTCCAAATTGCAGCACTTATAGATAGATAGATAGATAGATAGATAGATAGATAGATATAATGTTCGCATATATGTAGTATATAACGCGCATATATGTAGTATATAACGCGTTTTTTTTTTTCGGTTGGGTCTGTGGTTATACCTTGCGTGATCCCAGTACGGTCATCATCATTCGGCAACTCTTGAGATGGGAAAAAACGCACGATCTACCCTCTGGTTATCTGAGAGTTTGCTATGGAAAATGACTCAAATACAGCTGATTTATGATGGTTTACCCATTAGAAATGGTGATTTTCCCACTGTTTTTGGTTGGCATGTTGCCAAAGTTTAATTTTGGCAAGCTGCTTCCGTCAGTATTTGCCAGCTTCATTTCGTTGGTTCCGGAACCACCTTTGTTCTTTCTTCTCTATTGTTCACCTTTGGTGGGTTTTCCGGAAGTTGAAGGGAGCATTTTCGGTAACCCCATGTAACGCCTTAAATTTTCTTGGCAAAACTATGGGAACTACGGTTTCTTGTAAGTTGTCCCTTAAATCCGTTGATTGTTTGGTACCCCATGATGATGGGTCATCGAGGATATTCATGTTAAGTTATGTTCAATCGCCACTTTACTTCTTGAACCATGGTTGATCATGGTTGGCACCGCGAAGTCATCACAGTGATTGTTGCCACCCAGAAAACCCCGCAGGAGAAGAGTTCTCCATCTTTCATCCAGCATGGAAAATGCCTGCGGAGGACCAAGGGGATCCCATCCCCCAACAGTGAATTTGGTCCCAATGATGTGGAAATTCGCTACTAAAACCATGGGGCCTCGTTTGGGTGTGCTGAATATTAGAGGGAAGGATTGCCGCTTCTCCGAAAATACGCCCGAATTCATAGCTTTGACTGAAAATTAGCGGGACGCGGGAGGATGCATGAGGAGTCCGTTTGTTGAAATTAGCTGAAGATTAGAATGATTGGAAGCTATGCAGAGTCAACTTCGGTGAACTCTGTTGCAAAAAAAAGCATCCCCGAAAAAAGATCGGTAGAATAGTACGTGACGTCACTGGATTGATGGTTAGTGGGAATCATCCCAAAATCGCTTGATTTTAACTTTTTTCAGGTTCGTGAAGTATGATAGTTCAGCCAATAGATGGGATGTTCTACGGGTATCTTATATAACCATCAACAGCGAATTGTGGATCCGGATAATGGGGGTTTCAACTGAAAATGCTCAGCTCCAAAAAGAAAAACCAGGCACATTTGGAGACAGGCTGGGCGTCCTGAAAAAGGAGGATCATCCCAAGGATCAGCACCTGGCAATCACTGGCTTGCTGGAAACTGCCCCATTTATATCCATTTATACCCTCTGGTAATGACTAACAGTTTGCGAACTTGAAAATGGCCATTTATAATTTATAGTGAGCTTTCCCATGAATAGCATGGTGGATCTTTGCAGTTCGTTTTCTGTAAATGTTGAGCAGGAGGGTAGATCGTTTCCCTTTTGACATGCCATTGATGTTTTACCCGTCGCACCGACAGTGCCAGGAAGCATATGGCACAACGATTTTTGCACAGAATGGTCCTTTCAAGTGCCGCCTGGGTGCAGGTCACCATGGGTTTTTGTTGTGTCTAATGGGGGATACTAAGATATATATATATATATATACACATTAAGATACCATGTTAGGCCATGTTATGCCATGTTCAATCGAGAATTTCTGATGAAAATCCTGGTTACTGCAACCATGAGACGCTGGTTTTGGCATGTTTTTCATGATCTTCTTGTCGTGTTTGGCGCTAGTTTTGGATGGTTTTGGTGATGTCAAGAATGGGTAAACCACCAACCATCATGATCATCATGGGGTCACACTTTGTAGCTGCAAGAATGCTGGAAATGTTGTGGATTTAGAGATTTCTTTGTTCGGTTGGTTGGGATGATTGTCGTGCTTGACCAGTATCCCCGGATGGTTTGAAGCCATCAACCGCTATATGTAGCAATGCTTCTGACTTGATGTAAGCAAACAGATTTGTGGACATGCTGAGTCATGCTGAATCGCTGGGAGTGGATTAGATAATTTAGAGACTCTCTTGAAGAGAAATGCCAGAACTGGTGCAGAATCCATGCTAAGGATGGGTTCCAATAAGGGCTAACGGTAGGTTGCAGCCTGACTTACACTTGGTGAGTAAGATGGTCAAGATTTGTTGTAGCACCAAGGGGTACGAACATTTAGGTATGCTGTGATGTTTCTGATGGTTTAGTGCATGCACGATGCAAATTAGATCGTCAGTCAAAATTTCATCCATACATTCTGGATGGACTTAAGCTACAATAATGATGGTTACTTTAGCCTAATATTGCCTTACCCTCCCTCCGGCTAATTGACATAGAACCTGCCAGATACGGGTTCGAAAACTGCTTTCCTTTAGAAATACAGTGGGTGATTCTCAGGGTCTATCAAAATTGGAGAGATGATCATTCAAAGCGTGAGCTATTCTACTTTGCCCAGATACCTCTCGTTACCCCTACCCCCGGGCCTAGCCCGAAATATGGTGGCATCATGACTGGGGGAAAGGATGGGAAAGGTTTTGTCCCGTCCTTGGGTTGATCCGTTGATCACTCGGTATACCCCTACTTGATTACTTGTCGTGATTTATATCATGGTCCCGTGTTGTGGTATTCAGAACTGGCGATGGTTTTGTTTTGTGGATCCCACATGATATTCAGATGATATCTCCGTGACATCTCAATGCATGCTGCTTGTTTCAACTTATTTGTGGTCATCGCACAGCTCGTTGGCTGACCCCCCATCTTTGTTGATCAAACGCCAAATTTTTCGCTGGTAAAACCACCTGCCGACGGTTTTGCTGGAGAACTCTCTGTTTGTGTTCCGATTACATATATCTCATGTGTTAAAATTTAATTTCTGAAGAGTCCGATTGAGGAGAACATCCACTGATCTCATGCCCCTAATTTTTTTAACACCCCCTTTCATTCCCGTTATGCCTGCTACTATCGTAATTGTGAGTTGAAACAACAACAAATCATATTGATTAAGTAAATACCTATCCTGTTTCTGTTGCAGAAGAAGTACGATTTCTCGATTCATGATGGATCTAGGGGAACTTGTTCACAGATGAAAACCCACTATGACCCCTACTAAAACCATGGTTTCTGGGGGGTGTCTAATGTTAGGGGAACATCCACCAGGTTACCCTCGCCCCGAGGTTGCAACAGCCCCAGATTCTACGCCACCGGCGGCGCGGCCACAGCGATTGAAGCAATTGGCGCTGGAACGCCCTGTTGCGACTTTTTGGACGACGCTTGAAATGCTGGGTGTACCATGGTGTACCATCAAAAACCCATTGGTTTACCCTCTGGTAATTTAACAGTTTGCTATTGAAAATGGCCACTTATAGTGAGTTTTCCCATTAAAAATGGTGATTTTCCATAGCTATGTTAGTTTACCAGGGGGTACCATCAAAAACCCATTGGTTTAATGTGAGTAACGCAATGTAAAAAAAAAACACCCAGATGGATTGATGGTTGGAATACCAGAAAAATGGTAAACTTGGGGATGGTTTACTATTGCTATCTGTTGCTTTACTAACTTGTCATTGTCAAGATCGGGGTTTTACTAACCTATTGAAAAGGGATCAGTCAAAAATCCAGTATACTCTGGCCTATATCGGACTAGTTGCCCTCTGGTAAACTAACATAACTATGGAAAATCACCATTTTGAGTGGGTAAATCACCTATAATTAAATGACCATTTTCAATATCTATGTTAGTTTACCAGAGGGTATTTATAAACAAGGTTAGCAGAACCAGTTCGTAACCAGATAACTGACGATGACCAAATGGAATGTACCCAACTGAAATTGGACATTGACCCAGAATAAGGGCGTTTTCGAAGCTTCGGCGTACCAACGTATCTATTCGGTAAGTCCCTTGGTGAAGGGTGATGTCCCCTATGCTTAAAAAGATGCATCAATTTGGGCCCATTTTTGGATTGGGATTGATATGATTGATCATTTGTCTGGAGATATCTGGGGATATTGGGCCAATATGACATAACTGCTTGGTGGTGACTGGAACCATGGAATTTTCCTGGTTAATCTAATGGTTAATCTATGGTTAATAATGGTTAACAATTGGAATAACAATATATCTGGTTGGTGGTGACTGGAACCATGGAATTTTATGACCTTCCATTCAGTTGGGAATGTCATGATCCTCCCAACTGACGAACTCACTCACTCATATTGTTCAAAGTGGTAGGTCAACCACCAACCAGGTATATATCCAGTTATAACCCCATGATATCTCCATGGTATCTCTATCCACTTCCCAGTTCATTGATCCCATCAACGGTAGGCAATGGCTGTCCAGCTAGGCCTAACTGTGTTTGTGCAGCTTTTCCGAGATCAACCATGGACGGTACAGCTATGTGCACCCCAGCAACATGATGGATGTATTTGGGTTTGTTGAATTCCAGATCTTCTTCATACGTGTTGATTCCAGGGATTGTTAACCCTTCCCATCCCTTCCTCTTAATCAATTTCTCAAATACCCCCGAGAAACCTTGGGATTGGCCGGGATCTATTTTTGTTTTGGAGTCCCTTCTTGGAGGCATTCAGTGGGCGTGCCCAATGTCATATTTTTGAGTAAGATCTGTTCCTAATCTGGTTGGTGGTTTGGAACATTTTTTATTTTTCCATAAAATATGGGATGTCATCCTTCCCATTGACGAACTCAGATTTTTCAAGATGGTAGGTCAACCACCAACCAGGACGGTTTATTTCATGGAACATCCCAACAAAAAAATGGCTGACTGGGGGTGCCCCCATGACTTGGGACACCTCAAAAGAGGGTATTCCCATAGACACCTGGCATCCTGGCAGGTCACCAGCATTCCCATCCTCCAAATATCACGGTCCTCCCATTGTAACCATCAAACATGGAGGGTTTAATTACACGATAATAATATATATAGTCCTAACTTGACATTATCTATGTATGTATATATGCATATGAATATTCTATATTTCGTTATTTTCTATTTCATTGTGTTATATCATATTAATTATTAATTATATTATATTATCACTATATATTGTATTTTATTATATTGTTATATATGATCATGAAACGATCGAAAAGGTTCAATTATCAGCACATGTAACCGTTGAAGTGCGCAGCGAAACGGACCAAGGAGAACCGGCATCTCGGAGAAGTTGGAGGAATCCTCCAAGACGGGGAAGATATGGGAGAAACATATAGGAAACATTGGGAACCATATAGGAAAAACATAGACCAAATGGAAAAACAACGACAGGATAGGGAAATATATGGGATTTTCATGGATTTTCATAGGAACATATGGGAAAATATAGGACACTATAGTAAAATATGGCATATGATCATACACATGTAATTGGCTGCATCATGAGGACCTCACAACGATGTCACCATTGATGATTATGCGATATATTGCGTGTGTGGGAGGAATTATTGGAAAAGAACATTGCTTCAGATTGGTGAATTATCTTGCCTTCAGCATCTCCAAAGCATATTGAAATTTGTTTCAACTTGGAATTGCCCTCTAGTAAATTAACATAGACCTGAAAATCACCAATTTTTAATGGAAACTAGTCTTCCAACCCCGATGACTGCCAGGGTCTATGTTAATTTACTGGAGGGTATCATTCAGCCAGATTTCTGGAACTCTTAGTGCTTAGCAGCTTCCCATCCAAGTCACTTCAGCCATGGGGTCATGGCTTGGTGAGCTCACGAACGTGAGCTATGACCGATCGAACTCACAAACGATGAGTTCCGCAATATTTTCTTTCGAGTTTCCGATGGATTCCGATATATGTTCCCATTTTTGTCCCCATCGTTTGCCCATATTTTCCATAGATTCCCATATTTTCCCATAGGTTTCTATACCTATTCTATTCCTTTGTTCAAACAATTGGGCATAGAGATGATTGGCCCGAGCTTGACTTTAGATTTCAACATCACTTGATGGAATCCATCACATTTCAAGATATTTCAACATATCAACACTTGACTTGACTACATACTCTATATGACTATATGACTATATGATACTATATGTATATATATATATACTGTACACTGCATATATATATGATGTATTTCTGTATTCGGCGTTTTGTATTTCATGCTTATTTTCGGGGCGATACCCAATGGACCAGCCATTGTTCGAGCCAGGTCCCTCTTCTGCGACAACTTTGGTGATCTCGATCGGCGGCCACACCCAGTGCCCTGGCCCGCGAAACGCGGGGAAATCCTGGGATTAGTGGCAGTAATTGAGGTTTCATTGGGATTAAATGGGATTAACTGGGATTTGAATGGGATTTATATTTATATTAATGGGATTTACTGGGATTTAGTCAGATTTATTGGGATTTACTGGGATTTATTGAGACTTTGGATAGTATTCAATCGGATTCAACGGGATTTGTTCATCGGGTTTCGTGGGTTTTTTAATGGGATTTGATGAATGTTATGATATTACATTATTTCAAAAAAATAATGATACCCTCTGGTAAACTAACATAGCTATTGAAAATGACCATTTATAGTGGATTTTCCCATTGAAAATGGTGGATTTTCCATTGAATCATTGTCATGTTAGTTTACCAGAGGGTCCTACATAAATATTGTGATGATATTACATTATTTCGATTATCGACCATAAAACCATGATATATTATCACAATATTTTCAGATAATTGGATACTCGAAAATGGCCAGCTGGAAAGTCTTCCACATAAATGGGCTATTGGCAATACATGTGGGTTTTCCAGCACGCCATGTTTGATTACCAGGGATACATCCCGGGAAGTCAGGATCATTCAGGATTAGATACGAGAGACCCCAAACATGGTTGACCATTGAACATGGTCCCATTTTTCCCCCGTTTTGGAAACGGGACCCCCCTGGTTTTTTGACTCATTTGTCATCATAATAAGCACCAGTCCACAGTTCACATGTTTTTTTCCACATTTTTCATCATGTTTCATCATTATATCCAGTTAAAATCCCATTGGATCACTCTAAAAATCCCATTGGATCACTCTAAAAATTCAATTTTTTCGTCACTACAAAGATCCCATGCAAAACCACCGGTTTTCCCCCATCTTTCCCCAACAGGACCTGGGTCTGAGGTTTCGGATTGTCCCGCCTCACCCTGGCATTGCGGAGTTACTTGGCGAGTGTGATGAGGTTCTTCCAGGCTGGTGTAGCTGGTAAAGTGACGAATTTTTTAAGTTAACTTACTTATCCAAAAAAAAAATGTTGTTACTTTGTTATACTTAGTGCATCTCAGTGTTATTTGGATAGTATGTTGTTGAATTATACTTTATTTGTTAGATTTTTTACTGGCTATTATTTCTATTCTTCTATTTCCATGATGAGGATGATTCTGATGATCATGATAGTACTATTATTTGTTATTGAATTTTACTATTATTATGATGATCATGATATGTTATTTCTATTACTATGAAGATTCTGATGATCATGATAAGGATGAAGATTTTGCTGGGTGCGAGAAACCATGAGGATGGTACCATGGAGAACTGGTGCGGTACCGGAGCTGGAGCTGTTTGATAACTTTGATAGGGACCCAGTAAAAAGAAACCCAGGAATGGGTTTAGCATATTTAATTATATAGAATCATTGGTTTCTAAACCATTGGGGTTTCTAAAGCCATTGGTTTTTACCCTCTGGCAATTTAACAGTTCGCTATTGAAAATCACCATGCTATGAAAATGGGTAGTCATCAGCTATTTCGACTGGGCAATTTTCAAGTTCGCAAACTGTAAACGTTTACTAGAGGGTATATCCCATTAATATCCCATTGAATCCCTATAAAATCCCATTGAATCACCATAAAATCCCATTTGTTAGTCATTACCAGAGGGTAAATTTAGAAAACCCATTGGTTTTACTCGATGATTTTCCCACTGGTTTTCTGGCACCATTGGGGCTCCATGAGTCCTCCACTCACTCAGCATCATCCCAGAGGAGTTTTCCAAGGCAGCCGAAACTGGTGGAAGATTGGGGGCAAACTGCAAACAGTCATTCCATTGGAACTGCAATGGTGGAAGAATGGTGAAATGATTGCGGTAAACATTGGTAATATTTTAAAAACCATTTCAATCTAGAATATATTAGACTCAATGAAAAACCATATGATTTTTCCATATTTTTCCATTGATTTGGCTAAAAAAACCATATGATTTTCCCATTGATTTGGCAAAAAAAAACCTGTTTACCCTTCGACATGGCTTGATGCGGCCCCGTGAATCCAGCTTGATCCGAGGTTAAGACCGAGATCATCGACAGAGAAACCCACGTGAAGGACCGACATTTGGACGGGGGGAAAGCTGTGGTTTCTCATTGGAAAACCATAGGAAAAATGGTGGTTTACCCTCTGGTAAATAAACAGTTCGACCCTGAAAATCACCAATTTTTAATGGAACCTAGTCTTCCAACCCCGATGACTGCCAGGGTCGAACTGTTAATTTACCAGAGGGAAACAGTTTTTTTTCCTGTTTTCCTTTGAGTTACAGGAGGGTAGCCTGAAATTGTAGACATGGCAGTTTATGAAGATTTTTGTGGCCACAAATACCCAGCATGAAAGAACTAATGGCTTTCAGTTGCAGACCGGGTGCGCAGAACATCCACCTTAACTATTTTGGGGCATCAATTCTTGAGGAATCTGCATGACCGGCTTCCAATAGTTGGAAACCAGTGCCGCAGCGAAACGTTGCAAGGCAGGATGAACACCAGGGTGAGAATGCTGAGAGTCAAGGTCCTAAGGTGCTTGAGTCAGCGCTCAGCAGAGTCATGCGACCTATACCGTGCTTTCCTCGAGGGAGCCACATGACACATAGCGACATACCGGCTGGGTCCCGTTTTTGTGGACTGTTTATGGTAACGACTGCAGATTCTCTGCATAGACATAGAAAAACCTTTCTCAAACAAGGCTTCTCGTGGCATTACACACATCGCGTATCTCAATTATATTCCCATCTTTGTTGGTTCTATAATCTTTGTTGGTTATATCAATTATATCATTATGTTTGGGCATTAATTCCCATTCTCTGCTGATTCTATAGATATGGCTAGTTATGTTTGTTGAATCTCTCCTCCCATTTATAAAGCCTCTATATTTTTTCTACCACACTTTTGCACGGGTAAATGAATCCTTCACTCTTACTGGCCTATTCACCCATTATGAGCGGGTAAATCCAAATATTTTTGCCTGGATATACCTTTATGTTTATTCGTCAGGTTGCTTATGTCCACATTTGGCATTGGATCTATGCATTTTGGAGGCCCAAGACTGTGGGTTTGGAAAATCTTAGGCTATGGGATCACTCTGTTTGCAAACACTGTTAAACATACTAGCTAAAAATGATTAATATGTATAGCCTTCAACACATGAATTTTTTCACAACCTCCTAAAAGATAGAGAAGTAATCCTTTACTAAGGACATTTGCCATATTAACTTAGTAAAAAAATCCAGGGATTGATATTTGCCATCACTCATCATCATTTTGCCATATTAACTAAGGATCATTTGCCATAGCATTTACTATTAAGGGCCCATGATTTCGAGCCACCCCGAAAAGACAGGAGCTCCGACCCTGGGTGGAAGCGCCAAGTCTGGAAATCTTCTTGGCCTCGCTGTGGCCTGGTGAAACCGTTACAGAGACAGAGATGGTGGTTTTAGTTTTAGATGTCAAAGAATTATGGTGGTATTTTACCATGTTTTGGATATGTTTTGGATATGTTTTAGATATGTGTTTGTGTTTTTTTTAAAGATGTAAAGCATACAACAGAACTTGATGGTTTTTATATGGGTTTATATGGATTTTTGGCGCCACATTAAATGATGGGGACATTCCACTTCTAGCCAGCCCAAGCCATAGCACCGAAAGCTGGAAATATATGGACATATGACGTATATCAATATCATTCACAGCATCCTGGAAGAACTTTGCATTTTTTGGGTTCACTATAGTTTCAAATTAGAGGAAGTGTTGGACATTTTGATGCAGGAATCAGGGATGCCCGAAGGGCTGTAACATTTTTTTGCTCTAGCATTCAGGGGCGTAAGAGAATCTAAGGTGGAAACGCTAAATCCCATGTTTGGGAATGTTTGGGGCATGAGGGCTTAATTTTGGGTTTCATACTGAGTTGCTTCTGGCATCTGGGATGAATGGCCATTTTCAGAGGTGATGACGTGTCCGGAACACCCAGCCATTCGAAGATTCACCAAGAATCAAGGAACCATCTTAGATCCCGTTATAGTTTAAAGTTTGAAACCTGTCCACATAGAAACTATTTAAAATGGACATTCAATGACACAATGTGTTGATTTAAGGCAGAGTCTTAACCGGAAATCATGGTTTTACCTTCAGGCTTCAACCGTACATTTTCTCTCATCACATTCTGCGAGTCTTACCTATAGAGAGGAACATGTATCACTTCACAAATGCAACTACTACAATGAAGATATTCCCGGTCAACATTCTATTGGTATTGATGCTGTTCATATTGTTGTTTATCCACTTATTGCAATATCGAGTTTTGCACGATGTGGTACATTCCGATAGCGTCAAATAAAGTAATTTAAGTTATTCGTCGGATAATTGGGATTAAACACATTGTTATGATATCCATTAGTTGGTTAACTGTCCACCAAGTAGTGATATGAAACAAAAAACATGTTGTTTGTTCAAACATGTTTCCAGTGACCTGTGACCCCCACACTGGTTCCAGGACAGCCCCCTTTTGAGATGCCGCAAAAAAGGATATCCCCAGAGGAGTCCCATGACAAAAACCCCTATTTGATCCTTCTTGGCGGGACCCTGTAGATTTTCCCCCAAAAAAAACCCAAATGGCCGATGTTCAAGCTATTTTGTGCCTAAATGTGTACCATAAACTTTATGGAACATCACCACGTCTAGTAAGTATGTAAATCATCTATAAATGGCAACCTGTTAAATTACCAGAGGGTACATCCTCATTAGATCCCATTAAATCACCATTAGTTGTTGGCTAAATCCCATATAAATCCCATTCAAAACGTTATACCTCAATTTCTGAAGTGCAAACCACAATTTCCTAAACGCTTCGAAGTATCACTTAGATAAATCCATAAATCCATAAGTGCCAATTCAATACGTATAGCACATAGCGCCTCCATTCTTGATGCTCTAACCATACGTTTCCACAATGGTTCCTTAGATTCCATTCTATTTCCACAATATCTAAGTAATGGGAAGATGACACAAAATAATTCCATAATACTGGGTAAATTTCATCACGACCTCACTACGACCGAACCTTGGATTCATGGTTAGTAAGGGAAATCATCCCCAAATGGCCGCAAGATTCAGGTTAGTGAACTATTATAATTTAATATAAATTACCCAGATAATATGTTCATTCTATTTCCATATCATTTAACGACATTACTGTGGTCCACAATTTATCCCATAATATATACCATAACGATATATTTCCTTAATAGTTCCATATTTGTTCCACACTTAAAAACATGTCCATTTTGTGTTCACTTGGACATTCCATCAAAAACTTCCATCTTATATTACCCATAATCTGGGTACATTATAACGTCCTCACTTTTCTCCCGAGCCCTGGAATCATGATTAATAAGGGAAATCATCCCCAAATGGCCGCAAGATTCATGTTAGTGAAATATTGTAATTTACCAAGATTAATGGTGATCTAAGCTGATTTAATGGGACATAAAAATGGGAATATGATATAGATATCATGGGAATTCCATGGGAACATCATGGCAAGACGGGTCTCAATTTTTCTGGTGATTTGATAGGGTTTAATGGTGATTAAATCCCATAATATTCCATAATAATAATCTATAAGTTTTTTTTTTTTAATGGGATTATTATTATGTGATAATATATCCCATGATAATAATCCCATAATATATCCCACTAATAATAATAATAATAATCCCGTAATATATTCCACTAATAATAATAATCCCATAATATATCCCACTACACTTACCCCCTGACACAGTGGATACTTTCCCAAGTGCAGGGCCTGCTTGGGCACGGCTGGCGCCGTGCGCCTCTTTCCCCACTTTGTGGCCTTTATGGGCAGGCGCAGGGAAAGGGCTACGAAACGTGCTGATTTCCTCGGGTAAAATGGTCATTTACCCAGAACTTATGGCGATTTTCTCTGGGAAAACTGATTTCTTCCGTAAAAAATAGGTGAAATTAGCAATAACACTGGTGATTTGTATAATGGGAATGTGATGATTTGATATGATTTGCATTTGAGATATCAACTGTGCTTTAGTCATTTTCACAAATGGCCATTCTGAATCTACCGCATAGCTTATCCTTTTCGGGGATGTGGCCGCCGTGACAATCGACACCTCTTTGGTGCGGCTGAAATCCGGAAACACCACCAACGCTGGTGAGAAAAAACATGTACAGAGTCAGCCACCAAGTTAGGTGATGTTGATCCAATAAATACAACATGTTAGCAAAACTAAGTAGTAGTGGGTCGACATGCAAGTGGTCTGGATTGGTAATGTTCTGTTCTCTTCAAGAGAAGGAAAATGCAGGACATGAAAAGAAATGACAAGATATGAAAAGAAATGACAAAGAAAAAAAGTGAAAAACATGAAAAAAAATGAAAAAACAAAATTCATTTTTTTCCCTCTTTTGTTTGCTTTTTTTTTATCTCTTGGGTTTCGCGAAAGTGGGATAACCTGCATTTGGTTTTTGATTGAGAAAATGTTTCTTGAGATCATTGTTTTTTCTCTTTCTGCTATTTTTTGTGACAAAACATCCAAAAAGCAAAATATTTGAGAAACACATGTTTTTTTTTCCAGAAAAAAAAGGAAATCGCAAACGTGCTGAACATGTGTTTCTGGTGCGATGTGTTGCGGAAAAATCTGAGATTGTTTGCGCGTGGCCAGCGTTGTCAAAACAAAGTCAGTTTTGATAGGCGACAGCCTGAACAGATTAAATAGAAAGAAGTAAAATCATTTGAGTTCTATCTATGCATTTTTTTGTATATGTATTTTTTTAATTTCTCTTTAGTGTTTTTTATTTGTATTTATGTCTTTTTATTTGTCTTTCTTTCTTTCTTGTGAATAATTGTATTTCTAGGATTTACCGTATTTTTTAACTTTTTGAACCAACCAAACCATGTTGAAACTAACCTACTGCAACCTGCACCACCACTTAGTCTTGCTGAACATGTGTGCCAAAACTTGTTCCAAACGAAATCAATAGTTGAATTCATCAGCGTATCCCATTGAAAGTGGCATTCATGATGATCAAATAACGGAATGATGGAATGCCACGAGTCGCCTTATTTTCTGACACGTTATCATGTTGATTCCCTGAGTTGGATTAGTAGAACACGCGAGCTGGGTTTATGGTTCCATGTTTTTTTTTCTGATTGGTGGTTTGGAACCATGGAATTTATGACTTTCCACATCCCAACTGACGAACTCCATCATTTTTCGGAGGGGTAGGTATACCACCAACCAGTTTTTGTATGTTTTTGTAGGTTTTTTCCTTGAAAGCCGCTGGTTGTTGAAGCATCATTTCCAATGTTTATTGGAGAGTTCTCCCCAGATTTTTTTTGAGACAGAAATTAGCCTCCAGTAATTTAACGGGTTGCTTGTGGAAATGGCCATAGAAATAGTTGATTTACCGTTCTTAGCATGGTGATTTTCCATAGCGAACTGTTAATTTACCAGAGGGTAAACCTCCATTTTCCTGTTTTTTGTCCTATGATTTTCCCATTCAAACCTTAGTTTCCGAGGGTATACACATCCTGCATCCTGTTGCCCAACTCCACGCCGAAAATCCCCAGGCATTTGGAGCACTGTGCGGCCAGCTTTCAGATCTATGATGCTTGGGTGAAAAAATCCACAAAGGAATTGGCAGATTTTCAGGTGCTGAAATCCGGCTGAAAAATGGTGATTTACTATGAAACATGTATAGGAATGGATGTAGTTGTGTAATGTTGTGTGGTTTTCTCATTCTTGGTTGGTGCATTGCTTCTCCTCGTTGCTGGGATCTTTCCATATGTTTCCCCATTTGGGCGGCAAGGAAAATGCTGGACAACAACATGTTGACGGGACAATTCGAATTGTTTTTAAATTGTCATGACAATTTTCATGGCGATGTTTGGCTTCCCCATGGGAAATCCACTACTTGGGGAATCTATCGTTTTTTTTGGTGCCAAAAAGAGACATCTTGTAAAATCCCAATCAATCACAGTCTCTGTGGTAAAATCCCGTGGGCATTGTAAAATGCCAACATTTCTGAGTTTGGCTTTCAAGCCGTATTAACCAGGCATACTCGCCATTCCCCCATCAATATTAGCAATCTAGAAAACACCATTTTGGTTGGAAAAGGCAATCAGCGCATCCACAGCATCATCAAGCAACAATCATGCTGTAACCATTAACCACTAAAAATCACCACCATCAACCATTATCAACCATTATCAACCAACTTGTTAGATGGTTGATCGTCTTAAGTTAATTTAAGGGAGAGCTATTGTTACTTATTAGCTACATTGAATAAGGGGGTTGTCTGAAATATGGTGTGCCCACAATGGTCATTTTAAATACGGGCTCACAATCCCAAGGGAGATGGTTTGACATTAAAATGATAGTTAAGATAAATGGATAGCTATTATTAGCTACAAGTAGAACCCGCGCAAGGCGGGTGGCGGAAGTTCCAGGTTTAAGAAGTGTAACGCTATAGGATCCAAAAAGAAGGTTTGCTTATAGGAGCTGCGGCAGACTTCCATGCTCTTTCCAGGACTTCTGACCTCTTGTCGCAAATTGTGAAACCACTTCTCAACTCTTCCAACGATTTCTCACCTCTTGGCAACTCTTTTCAACGACCTTCATTTCTGCGCACATCTTCTTGACTCTCCTCAACTCTCTTTTCATCTCTCTTCTCCTCTCAACTCCTTTGAACTCGTGTTGGCTCACCTCGCCTCAGTTCCACCTGTCCAATTTTTTCTCAGCCCAGTCGAAGTGACGCAGTTGCAAACTAACTTTCTTGTTCAGGCCAGTTGAATTGCCTTTCCATTCGATGTGGTTTCAGCATTCGATTGTGTTATCATTCTCGTGTCATGTGCTATCACTCAATCCTCCTGGACTGTTGACTGTTACCTGTGGGTCCAACGTTCAAGCACGCTTGGGCCGCAGCATTTTTTCCATGCGCGCGAAGAGCTGTGACGTCACGAGCAGCCATCTGTCAAGAGAGCACGTAAGCAGCCCAACCGCAGGCGTCTTTGAGTCCTGCTGCCTGAAAGGCCAAACGAACAAGAACACGCAAGCTGCACAGCTGTGCGTGCCACCGGAATGCAGCAAGGCGTGGCAAATGCAGGCAGCACAGCCGTGCGCTGTTTTTTTTCCCTCCAAGACCAAGTACCTTTCGAAACGCTAGGGTTTGCACGAAACATTGTGTTTTTTCGGGTAAACGGAGGTTTCGTTGCGGAGAAAAGTAGGCTTGCGAGCGCGACGGTCTTACGCGTCGTCGCTTTAGCGTGGAATCATTCTGGATCTGCGCGCGCAATGTAACTGAGGGTTCCAGGTGACTTTTTCTCTTCTTTGTTTATGCTGTGCTATTGTGTTTTGCATGTGTTGAGGTGCTTTGTGCATTGGACCCGGCGCATCACAGCGACGTGTTTTACAGTAGTGTGTTGCAAGTCGAATTGTCTTTTCCAAGTCCGTGTCGAAACTTCCGTTTACTGATTACTCGAGAAAACACAATGTTTCGTGCAAATCCTAACATTCAAATCGCATCCGTGATGTAACAGTTCCAATGCGATCTGCCAAGAACGACTTGCAAAACACAATACAATCGCAAGACGCAACACCTCTACTCTGCTCTACTTCCGCCTCTACGCTTCTCTTCTCTAGTCTTTTCCACTCTACCTCTACTCTACCTCTTCCCAAGTACCCACTGGACACAATGATGTCCGGGCTAGGGAGCTTGAGGCACATGCCAACTGGACACAATGATCTCTGGACTAGTGACTAGTGAGAAATCTCCTAAGGCACATGCCAACTGGACACCATGATCTCTGGGCTAGTGAGAATGGGACTTCATGATCTCTTAAGGCACATGCCAACTGGACACAATGATCTTTGGGCTAGTGAGATTGTGACTTCATGATCTCTTAAGGCACATGCCAACTGGACACAATGATTTCTGGATTAGTGAGAATGTGACTTCATGATCTCCTAAGGCACATGCCAACTGGACACAATGATCTCTGGGCTAATGATGATGTTCACTTTCCGTAACTCGGAGTTTCCTCTACGAAACTTCCTTTGATCATTTTCTTTACTATCAACTGACATTTCCTCAAAATCAAATCTGACATCCATTATGGATAGTTCAGATAAATGATTTTTAACACAATTAACAACGATCATGATTCACTGTTACAAACTATTATTGACTATCGATAACTGCTAGTAATTCAAATGGGCTAACTATCCCAGGCCCGTGGCGCCAAGCGCCGCCTCCGGCGACTGCGGAATCGATCCAGAAATCGCTCCTCGCGGCTGTCCACGTGCGGAAACACAGCCCGGGGGAAAGGTGGGCAAATTACAAAAAGGGGCGGATTTTTTGGATTTTGATGGATTTTCGTTGTAATTTTGGTGTTGTAGTAGAAGCTTGAACAGATTAAACGTGTTTTTGGATAGGTTTGGTTTGGGTTTTGATGCGCGTTTGAATGATTTTTGATGGGTTGTTCAAAGGTTTTCGCGGCAACGATGAGGATTGACCAAAGAAACTTGTATCAAGGCGAAACATTGGTTAGCATGGATGAACGCTTGGTCAAGAGCTTATTTTCTAGATGGAGTGGGCTGATTCGGTGCGCACATTTCCCAATATACTATTTATGTTGGTGTTTTTACTTGGAGGTTAAACTTTGCTAGCCCCGCAAGAATGATGTTTTCACCAACAAATGAGGGCTGCACCATGTGTTGCCATGGGTCACCACTCTGGCACCCCAAAGGTTTGGATAGTTCCAGATCCCAAAATTCAAGTAAAACATGGTATTAGACATTGTATAAGACATAGTAACATAGTATAAAACATAGTATGACATAGCAAGACTTACCCCCTGGTTATTTAACATATTTATGAAAAAATGGTCCATTATGGTCCATTTTAATAGATGATCTGTGATGATGCCCCTTGCCCTTCAAGGTCCAGCGAGGCGGAAGTGGAGGTCAGCGAGCGCAGGACCGAAAAGGTGAGCTCAGCCTATAGTTGTAGTAATAGTAGTAATATTACACTAATAGGCTGAACTACGTTACTAGTATAATAATACTATTAGTGAGTTACTAAAATGCACTATATATCAAGTTCAGCCTATACACTAATACTATACACTATTACTGTAGCAATATATTAGTGTAATATACTAGTGTAATATACTAGTGTAGTAATATATTAGTGTAACATATCAGTAATATTGCTAATAGTGTAATAGTTATATTAGTAATATTAGTGATATACATTACTAGTACAATAATAGTATAATAGTAGTATTAGACGCGACGCCCACCATTTGCCCCACAGTTTGCATGGGGTAGGATAATATTACTAATTAATGAGTCTACTGGTGCTAGTTCATATTAGTTAACTACTAATTTTACCAATGTAAACATATAAAAATAATAAGTAGCATAAATATTACTAGCAATATCTGATCTTAGGCTATATAACATTCAAGCAATATTAGGAATATGGCTACATATGACTGTCCTGCAGCAGGACAGAGTAAAACCATGACACCCGGGTGATGGATCATTGAAACTTGCGCATGGCAGCCTCATTCACGGCTGCAGTTCCCATGTATAGTAATGTGGAAAATGTAGAGGTAATCAAGGGTTGGTTAATTGTGCATGTCATGTTCATTCAAGTATTGTGAGTTGGTCAAATTTGAGATGTAACCCCTTCCCACTTACTAGCTTCATGACCATCATTCGAAGACGGCTACAGATAGGATGAAGCCGGTTGTCAATTTATAAGGCTTTTAACTGGGATGTACATCCAAAGAAGGACCCAGGATGACTCAGGATGCTTCACATTGCACCATGCTCCCCGTTGTCCAATATGTGAGGACCTCACGTAAAGCCAAAGCCAAGGCCAGCCGTATGGTTCCGGTGTACCGTAACCCACTGGATTGGATGCTTCATAGCAATCTCAAAAGACCTTACCCTGATGACATGATGGTGAATATTGGGGAGGCATCAAAAATTGCAATGAATATGCTTCGGGATTTATTGTTTAGTGTCCAAACTTGTTCCTGGTATATGACCAGTTTGAACAGCAATCATTGTAAGAACTGTGCACAGAACATTGGGCAAGAGGGAGAGAGATATATGATACATATATATACATATTATGTATACTGTATACATTACCTTTTTCTCTCTCCCCCTCTCTGCATACATATATATAATATGTGTGTGTGTGCAATGCTGTATCTATCTATCTGTTTGTTTGTTTGTCTGTCGATGTATTTATCTACCTATTTGCCTATCTAACAATTTGTTTGTCTACTGCCTATGAAGTATATAATTGTATCGTTCATATCTCAACTTTCTGCTGGTGAATGGTTCCCAGTTGTATCGATTCGATTCCCAATTGTATCAAATTCAGTTACTGTATATTTCCAGTCAGATAGTGAAATCACGTTGTTTGCTACAATTCCCTTGCAACAAAAATCCACTATGCACTATTCAGTTTTATTTGATTCTTTCAGCTATATATATATATACATATATTTATATATCCCATATTCTGTTCAAATTCCCAGTATCAGAATCTTCGTGTTTCTGAATATGAAATTAATTTCAGATATGGTATTCAGTGAATAGCATCCGCATTCACTTACAATGCCCATGGTAAAATCCCAACTTTTTCCCATCTCAACGTGGATTTTGCTGCTGAACTCTTTCAGGCCACTGCAAAGGTGAGAGAAGTTGAACCAGAAGAGGTGCGAAGCGGAGCTGAGGGCATTTAAAACTTGACCTGTTGATAGTTATGATTCAACATCCCAAGGTAGGGCATCATCCTCATATACAATAAACCGTCGTAAACTTGTGGTTTGTAATTAGCTTTATCATGGTTAATGGCTCATATTCATTATTAGTAGTATTATGTATCATCCGAAGTACGGGTGCTGTATACATACATCAGAGTTTTCTTACTAACAAAACAAAAACACAAGCAACTTCAAATTAGATGTGGTTTATTTTCGTGAACCAAACCCACCTAAGAATTGGAAACACCTTGGTGAAGGCCATCTAACGTGGCTTAAGTGTTGCTGAACATGGGCAACACACACATATGCATGTACACACACGAAATATATACATATAGAATCCCCCCTTGCAATTTCCCTTACAATATCATGGGGGTCGGACCCCCAGTACATAGGGTTTTTCACCTTTGATTTTGGAAGGAACCCACCTTACAAAATCATATCCTAACCCCTAAGGATGAAGGGTATAACATCATTATGGAAGATAGGTGGACGTATGGCAAGATGGATGGTCTTGATTTTGTAAGGGTGCCAGACCCCCTTGGGGGGGTGCCAAAATGGTCCCATTTTTACAAATTTTGGAGAGATTTTTGAGCCAATTTTACACAACTTTGGGGTTGATTTTGTAAGTATCCATATGCGTCTAATTTGTTTCCATGCTAAGGTTTCGTTTTATAAGGTGATTTTATCTTGTATTATATTTGAGTAATTTTGAAATATTCACAACATGGGTTTTGATACTCGCCGTTTTAAAATCATGGCGCATTATGAAATCAAGCCCTGAGGGTATAGGGGAAAAGATCATGTTACAAAATCAAGGGACCAGACCTGAATCCTTAAAAAATCAGGCCCATTACAAAATCAAAGGGTGTTTTTGGTACCAAATTTTATGATTTTGATATGATTTTAAAATGTTTGCCTTGAATTAGGGGGTTAACTGCTCTGTAAAAATACATGTTCAGTCTTGATTTTGTAATGGTAACCATGCTTGGAAAGGTCTGGTACCTTTGATTTTGTAATGATGTGCACCCCTGTCTGAGGGTCAGGCCCCAGCTTTGTACTTACAGAATCAGGGGGTGCGACCTTCACACTGAATTGCAAGGGGGATCATATAAATGTACAGATATGCACACAATGTATAAATATACACAGGCATGCATAGGCAATGTATATATATAAATATATATATATATGTGCGTGTACAACTGATATCAGGCTTCAATTGTTCATTTTTCTTGGCAAAGTATTTACGATTGGCCGCGATGGCAGGGTCGTGGTGTCATTCACATAAGACCTCAACCGAGTACGGAGGTTGTTAAAACATATTTTAGAACCTGGGTTTGTCAAAAAATTGCTTCAAGTGTGCGAAAACTACCTAACTACCGGCAATCATTGTTTTCTGGCTTAGACGCTCCACGAATTCTTAACATATTGCAGATGGGTGATCACTATTCATCCTTGTGTTGATATGATTTTCTTTCCGGTAGGCTTTATTAAACAAACACGAAAGATTTGTGAAGACCCACAAGATCGGGCTGATTCAGCACTGAAAGAGACAGCCGTTACATAATGAATTGGAAAAACATGCGTTGACATACTACATCAATATATGATTTAGTACTAATAGAAAATCATAGAAAAATGGGAGGTGACATCTCGACACTTATTTCCTGGCCATATGGGGATAAGTCAAAACCTACAATACCAAATGAATGGGGCGATGAACATCCATTTGGCGGGTTTGGCGTGAACGAGTTCCAAGCTCTTGGCTATTCTTGCCATGCAGCTTACCGTTTGGTGAACTAACATATCTATGGAAAATCACTATTCTTAATGGGTAAATCCACTATAAATGGCCATTTTCTATAGCTATGTAAACGTTTACAAGAGGGTAGTTCAATATGCATTTCTTTGCATAACCATTTGAAGAAACGTCCATGGTATATCCAATTTCTGTGGGTTATAGTCCAATAATACCCATCACGCAGGTTATTTATGTGAGGAAAAAATAATGACCAAATCCAGTGGCCTATCATCATTTTCCATACCTTCTGGTAATCAAACATGGCGTGCTGGAAAATCTTAACCGGAAACCATCGATTTGCCCATGAAATAAGGGGCTTAAACCAGTAACATGTCCCTTAAACGAATCCATTGATTCATTTTTAGAGGACGTTGCCATTAAAGCCTCCATAGAAAGTTTGGGGATTTTCCAGCCACGCTTGATGACAACGTTGCGGGTATATTCCAGAATCATCCCATTCCATAATCATCCCATCAATAATCCATGAATAATCAATAGTTATCAGATATTATTATTAATATTATCCCATATCACATTATATAAATATCATTAATATTCCATTAAAATCCCATGAAATCAGCATGAACTCCACATGAAATCACCATTAAAAGATCCCTTTGTTCTTGATTCATGGCAGGTCATGAGCACTGACGGCTCAGAAGTGGCATCAAGGTGCGACACGGAAATAACCATCAACAGCAAAAGGTTAATTATAAGTATGTTTTTTGATTATACACTTAAAATTTTAAACAACAAACAAATGTATGATAAATCTGATTAACTGTGATTTGGTTCTTTTTTGGGGTGGAGTACCAAAGATTGACGATGCATCTGGTTAATTATTTCAGGTAGCTAATGGGAAAAAAAACACATTTTTTTCTGAAACAGGTAACTCATCAGAAATCATCTGTACATGGGCCATTTTCCATTGCAGGCTATTATGTGAATCAACCAAAGGGGAACTAGTTACTGGGTCAACCAACTGAATGGTTACTTTAGTGTATAGCGTGTATTTTAATGGGTATATTTCGCCAACTACCTTTCGCAGAGCATCTAACACTATGTATAAACATTGGCCATTCAGCTAGGTAAAGAAACCTCACATTTTTAACAGTAATCAGCACAATTATATAGCCACTGGAGTTATAGGTATAGCTGGGGAAACCACTTTTCAAGGCTTCAAGGGACGAGATCAGGAATGTTCACCCGGGATTATCCTTGAAGGAGACAAGGATATGTTCTGTGAATCAGCCAAAACATATTCTAGTTTCAGAGAACAAACATGGCCTAACTCGCCATTGCAATGATGAGAGCGGAGCCCCTGAATAGTTTATTTTTGAAGCACTAATTTTGAAGGGTCATTCTCCAGCGGCCATTGGTCAGAGATACCCATGTCCCGGCCATTCCGGCCATTCCCGGAATGGCCATTCCTGACCCTTCAATCGCAAAACCCCAAACAAGAACCAGCAGATACCCGCAGAATCTGCAGAACAGCCTAGATGTCTATAATTTTATAGTATTTTATATGTACCCTCTGGTAATTTAACATAGCTATCAAAAATGACCATTTATAGTGAGTTTTCCCATTAAAATGGTGTTTTTCCATTACCAGAGGGTATCGATCAAAATGAAATCCCAGGGCACTGCAGCTGATGCAGCCCAGAGCTTCGCAGCAGGCGGGGAAGGTTTGAGATGTTTTCTGGCCGAGATGAAGCTACAAAAAATGGTGGGGTTTAAGCCTCAAACGCTTCAAACATGTGGAATGTGAAACTGAAAGGTAGAAATTGCTGGATCACCGACCTTGGTAGGATCAGAGGCAGATCTTGCTCTTCCTCTGGGATGGTTTATTTGACGGACTATTTGCAGGAAACCCCTATATTTCATGGGAAAAGTCATAGAAAATCCATGGTTTCCTGTAGAATTTCCCTTAAACCAATCCGTTGATTGAATCTACTCAGGGACTCGGACTCGTGGAAACAAGCATGCTGTGTGACAACCATTTTTGGACCATAGATGGACCGGCCAACAGCCCATCTTTTGGTCAGCCCAAATCAACCTACCTTCCTTCAACGCCACCGGCGTACGGAATTGCAGACTATATCAATCCAATGAGGGGCTTGTCAAATCAGCAAACCCTAAACATCTTGCATAACTGCAGGAAAAGTTGGGGGATGCAACTTGCTGCTTCTATCAAGTTGCGATCTTTGGAAAGTAACCCTCCAAGCAATCGCCCTTTTTCTATTTTCGGATGTGTGAAGGTACTGCCAGTAACTATAGGGTGTGAATCATACCATGCAATTTCTTTGAATTCCCCGCGTTTTTTTTAGCCCTCCAACAAAGATAGAACACATGTTTCCAGGATGTTATAGATTATAGATGATATTCACGTGGTACTTCCAGGTTTCCCACTTTCTGGATTTATAATATATATATATACCCTCTGGTTATTTAACATAGCCATGGAAAATCACCATTTATAATAGGTAAACCATCTATAAATGGGCCATTTTCCATGGCTATGTTAAATAACCAGAGGGTATATATAGAGTATATGAATCTGCTATAAACGGGTGTTCCTTTGATGTCCATTGAAACCTTGCTCCCTTGGCTAAACTGCGCAGGCCGCCAATGAAGTAGGCTTCACAGTCCAACCTTCACCCGTTGTGACGGTTGCGGCCGCTTGGTGTGCCACGTGATGGGTCAAAACCCATGAAATCCCCCTATGGTGATGGATCATAATTTATAATCCTATCGAAATGGTGGTTTGAACGGGAAAATCACATATAAGATGACTATATATCATATAACTATAATGATATATGGAAAATGATGATATATGGTAAATGATTAATAAATGATGGATTTTCCATAGATCACGGGTTTCCATTAAGATGACTTAATGATTTCCCTTTCCCCATGAGAAATACACCATTAAAAAAAAAAACATAGGGGATATGTTTTATTTTGTTGAGGGCTTCAAGCAAATCCAATTATTTCCCTTCAAAATGCTGGAGATTCATGGGTGTTTCTCACCCTAAAATGGTATCTATAGGGGACCCCAGTAACCCCAGATTTGGTGGTTGATCATGGTTGATTGTCATTTTCCTGTTGAGATGCACCTGCATTTTTCAGTCAAACTATGACCAACCCACTTTTTGTTGGCCACACAGGCATCAAAGGTCCAGAAATACATTCTTTCCAAGGGCAAGCACTACTACTTTTGACTTCGTGTGATAGAATCCAGATCAATTCCATTCGGCAATGCCGGGGTTTACTGCACCTTGGATACTAAGTGGTGTACAGGCGAAAATCCATGGAATTCTCAACTTTCAATGGGTACATAAATCGTGCCAATATATCAAGAGGATTCTCAATTGCCCAAGCTGATTTTCAATGGGTGCCCAGAGAAGGAAGGCACATGTGGAGCAGGGTTTGTTTTATCATATGATTCACCTTCAAACAAATCAGCCATTAAGGTGATTTTGCTGGGATGTGAACATCAGGGTGCCGGAGATGTGCTTGTTAAAGTATGGTTAAGCTGCCGAAGACCTTCATTTTGCTATTATCATTCCAGCGGTAGATGCCGGACGGTCTATCCCAAGGCTGCATGGCTTTGGCTTCTCTGGGTCGAAATGAAAGCCTCTTACGGGACTCAATTTCAATTTCATAAATGTGGCAACCCCAACTAGTAAACCATCCCTAAAATCACCATAAATGGGTTGCATAAACTATCCCAAATGGTAGGATTATGGCATTGGGCTTAATATGGGTAAAACAATAATAAACCATCCCCCAGATCACCATGAATAGGTGGTGTAAACCATTCCCCAATGGGTAGTTTATTATTGTTTAAACCACATTACCAGATTTTCACCACCTCAGAGGATGTTTGCCGTAAAAAGTGGTACATCCAGATGTATAAATCACCTTTCAAGCATCCCAACCAATTGCCATTCATTACCATTTATTGCCATTTATTGCCTCAAGCAGCTCAGAGCCGACACCTTTCAAACATCGACCATCTTCGACATATCGCCGGAGGTCCGAGCCGCCAAAGTTCAGCCGCAAGCGACGCACAGTTCGGCACCGAAGACGGAGGCGGTGAAGACGGAGCCCGTGCGACTGGAGAGACCGGAGGGGCAAGCTTTCCACTTGGCGTAGCTCGCAACGTAAATCGCAAGCCATGGATAGTCGCCATATTAGAACTTGGGTTTCTATCCATGTCCCACATATCACTGGAACATCCATGAGGATCAACCTAGTGGTTTTGGCTGTTTTTAGGAGCTGGTTTTAGAGTTTTTCCCCAGCGAAAATGTGGATTTAAGCAGCTTGAACACGAGATGAAGATAGTTCAGCAGCAAGAATCGGATAACCATGGGAGAAACATGGAGAAACCTACTGGTGAGTGGTTCGAGTAACCGCCATATAAACCCAAATAAATAGAAGCAACCACAGTGGCCGACCTCGCCACAAAAGCATCTCCCAAATGGTTGGGATTGAACCATCTTGGGCCAAGCGGAAAGATGGTGAATATAGAGCTGCATAAACTCACTATAGTGAATGGGTCTTTAGTCTTTGTTCGGAGGATTTACCCCCATTCAACAAAAGCTGGGATGGGAGCATGTGGAATCTAGAATGTGAGACTAACAAGGTCATTTGTTGGGGAACGTTGGCAAATAGTTCAAAACACAACGCGCTGCTTAGGCTTACTTTGTGTTCTTGCATTCAGGACTTGTGTGAACGAGGCTTCAATCATTGCGGTTCTACATTTCGCCAAAACAAATTCTGATGGAACTGCCATCGATGCCGCGCTGTGTCGATCAAGGCTGGAGCCTGTCTGTAGCAGCTCATGTGCCATTGAGCCCAGGATGTGCCTAGCAGATTTCTGGGCACTTTTCTGAGCACTTTCCAACAACATCAAATGTCAAGATCTCGGCCCAGAACGAGCCAGTAGCATACGCAAAATTCCAATTTGCTTTGCTTCGACGGTTCGAGGAAGATTTCAGTTGGTTGCTGAACCCCACACCTGGGATTGGGGACTCACCAGCAGAAATTCGTGCCTGCAAGGACGGGGATGCAATACTAATTGATATATTTTGGCTTTATGGTTAACTCGTATAGCATATTATAACCATACCCATAGGATCCATGTATGCTATATATGGTCACATTTACCATCAATATATATCCCCCAGTCATGCTAGCATATATACCAGCACCATGGATCCGTCATGGGATATGACGATTTGACCGATTCAATCCTCTGCTGTCATCGGGCCACCGGGCCTTGCATCGCCTTGCTGGCGCCAGGAGATCCTTCGGCCCATCATCACGCCCGCCACGCGGCGTAGCGACAACTCCCGGGACCGGGACCACTGGGACCAGGTGCGACGAGGAGCTGGCAGGAAACAACGAGGGGTCTGTTCAAAGTTGGAAGAAATCTAGCTAATATATATGGTATACGAAGCATTAAATGGTATATAGATGGTGTATATATATATATATATGCTCAGCCCCCCCCCAACGACCCCCCTCAACCCGCCATCTGCTTCACTATGCTTGACTTGTGTCTGCACAGAACCACGTTGAAGTCACCAACGAGTCGACCCTGCCAAAAAAAACGAAGAAGCAAATGCGATGATCCAGGAAGCAGTTTGGAATTGAAATGGCTGAGTTGAAGCTGGACAGATGCATGAATGACAGACAGGTCAAGGCAGTAGTTTGGATTTGAAACAGTTCAGTTACGGATTGGCAGATGCATGAGTGACAGACAGGGTTTGCATTTAAGAAATATTGGAGAAATTATGAGTTTTCATATTCTTATAATCTTCTGGGGTCACTCCATGAAACAATTTAAAAAAAAACGAAGAAGCAAATGCGATGATCCAGGAAGCAGTTTGGAATTGAAATGGCTGAGTTGAAGCTGGACAGATGCATGAATGACAGACAGGTCAAGGCAGTAGTTTGGATTTGAAACAGTTCAGTTACGGATTGGCAGATGCATGAGTGATAGACAGTGTTTGCATTTAAGAAATATTGGAGAAATTATGAATTTTCATATTCTTATAATCTTCTGGGGTCACTCCATGAAAAAACCAAAAAAACCTTGAGAAAACCAAAAAAACCAAAAAAACCAAAAAAACCAATATTTAGCGATTCTTTGGGGGGGGGGCCCTCGAGATAGTTTCTAAATATTGTTTTTTTGTTTTTTTGGTTTTCTCAAGGTTTTTTTTGTTTTTTCATGGAGTGACCCCAGAAGAGTCTGAAAATATTGTTTTTTTTTGTTTTTTTTGTTTTTTTTGGTTTTCTCAAGGTTTTTTTGGTTTTTTCATGGAGTGACCCCAGAAGAGTCTGAAAATATTGTTTTTTTTGTTTTTTTTGGTTTTCTCAAGGTTTTTTTTTGGTTTTTTCATGGAGTGACCCCAGAAGAGTCTGAAAATATTGTTTTTTTTTGTTTTTTTGTTTTTTTGGTTTTCTCAAGGTTTTTTTGTTTTTTTCATGGAGTGACCCCAGAAGAGTCTGAAAATATTGTTTTTTTTGTTTTTGTTTTTTGTTTTCCCGATGTTTTTTTGATTTTGGGCCGGCGGTCAATTGTGTTTCTATGGGGCCTTCCCCAAAGTGCCTTAAGATATTGTATTGTTATGACTATATACGAAGAAGACAAAAATGGAATACTAAAAATACGCATTTTATGCTGTAAATAACAATACAAATGACACATTGGGGGGTCGTAGGGGGGGGGTGACCATATATATATATATATGTATATATAATATATATGTATAAATATATATATATATATGGTATATAGTTAGTTGGGTTATGTTGGCTTTGTCCAAGACTGACAAGCCATTGGATTTTGGGCCAAGCCATAGGATTTTTGGTGCTAAGAAATCAGGTTTTTCATTCCTGACAGCACTGGGAGTGGCAGCAAATCGATTTATATTATACAACAAGGTGGTGCCCCATAGTTAGCTAAGTTGGTTATAACTCCCATAACTATGGTTTATGGCAGATATAACTATAGTTAATGGGGTTTATAAACCAACTTATAACTGGGGGGCACCATCCTGTACTCCCTCTCCAAGACCATGTTCTTTTGGCTGGTGAACCCACATTTTTTTCTAACTTTGGGTGGCACTGGGTTGATAGGGATCTTCATGTTCTAGATTAAAAACTTCGCAATGCATTCAGACAATCCAACTTTATGTCGGGGAACCCCCGGTTCTTGCACATTTCGTTTAATATACCCCCAAAAAAGAAAAGTCAAATCCAACTCCAAAAAAGGTTTTTCCTGCCCACTGTTCTTTGTGGTGGTTGCTATACTGGTACAAGGTGGTGCCCAGTAGTTGTCCAACTCGGTTTATACTCAGTTCTATTTTCTAGTGATTTTAGCTATAGTTAGATGATGTTAGATGTGCAAAATAAACCAGATTGTAAGGATGCACTCCTCCAAGAGTTGGGATATAACCCCTATCTTTTTACATATATATATATATCCACCTATCCAGAAAATCCCAATGACTTCTGGATTACCTCTTAGTCAATGAATGTGTAAAATTATATAATCAGACTTGACTTTCTGGCTGCCGCGGAGATTCCCAAGTTCAGCATTCTTTCCCACCCAACTAAGATTTGCCGTGCTTATAACTTATAACTCACTCAACCATAGTATATAAACCAGTTACTAACCACTAAGCTAATCCCATGGCCCATCTAAGTATAATTTCTCGCATTGATTTTCCAGAGTTTACCATCATGTTTGTAGGAATTTGCCAATCTTTTTTGGGGTGACAGCATTTTTTGCCAGGCACCCCGGCAGCCAGCGGCTGCGGCGCCGGCCACGCAGCACTTGTTGCGTGCAAAGGCACGGCCGCGGCCGCGGCGGGCGCCACATGCAGTGGCACCGCAGGCGACGGCGTCGCCGGCGAAGGCACCGGGAGGGACCCTGGATCTGTTGGATCTTAATTCATTTTTGGATTTTCTTTGGATATTTGGATGCGTTTGTCTTCGTAAATTCGTTTTTTTGAAACCTATCGGGACGTAAATATGGAGGTGTATTTTTTTTAACTTTTGGTTACTTAACATCCCAGCATAATAATCACCTCAATAACAAACCCACCTTTGGCAACCCCGAAAACATGGGCTTGTTTAGTCGGTGGTTTTGACTTTCCCAATGGGAAATACAGATAAATACACTAGAAATGCGGAATCCATACTGTAAGGGAATACGTTTTAATTTTTTATGGGGTGGCCTTAAGCAAATCAAAGAAAAAGATGCAAACATGTTTTCAGGATGTCAGTAAACCATATTGTATCATATTGTTACTTCATATTTCAAGGTTTGACACTGTTCTATCTACCTTGGGGTATGTGGGGGTTTTATAGATCTTTAGATTTAGGAATTTGTTGATGAACCTGAATCAAATCGAACGATTTTCATGCCAGGTTTAGGGTTGAGCATGGACCCAGTGAAAGCTGGTTGATCCAACATGGCTCAGTTTTCCCAATGAGTTTGTTGGGGAAAATGATGATGAACCACACTGGACCTGGGTACTATTTTCAGACTAAATTATATCTGGTGGTACATTATAGGGAAACAATAGTTGGTAGCCTCCAACAAGATAGAGCAGGTTAAAATTACCATTGTTTTAGGAGGTTTTGTAGATGAAACCATAAGTTAAACAAAAAGG